GTGTTTCCTACGTGAAGCGGCAACGCGCGTATATACGTGCCAACTCGCGATCGCGCGAGGCTGCTGCCCGTCGAGGAAGTCGAGAGTCGAGAGGCATCCTCGAGGCGGGGATCGTCTCGCGACGGGGCTGTTTATTCACAACAAATTGACAACATCAGAGCAGATCGATGAACGATCCTGTCCTCGCGCGAGAGGAGGACGACGCTGCCGGCCGCTACTGACAAGCGCGCGTCGCTCATCATTCTTCTCGCGCATCATCCTTCACCTTTCCTCGCGGCGACTTCTTCGTTCTTCGACGCGCGCGTCACACCGCACGTGTTCTTCAATTCGCGGCTCGCACGCTTCGCGTGCCTTGGCGTAAACAAACCTTCCCGATTTACCCGCGAGACCCGCGTCGGGTCGGAAGCGAGATCGACGATCGACGGCTCGCTTAATTAGGCGCTCCTCGGAAGCGCAGTCTGATTTCGCGAAGTTACGTACGGTCTGTTCAACAAGAGAGCGTTGGTGATAATCTGAAAAGAATGAAGGATAAAGTCAAGTGGTTCTTTTCTAAACGAGAATAGAAGATTTTTAGTAATGCGCAATTACCTAAAATTTGATCCGTTTTTGCAGATTTTTTACCAGATTTTCGGTATTTCGGCGTATTCTGACAAAGAACGCCATAGTGTTTTTTTATTTTTATGCACGGTTGCTTAAAAGTGAAGACACGCTTTCCTTTAAGTTTCATCTTAAGGTATGACACATTTTCGATGGGATTTGCGTCTGGCGAGAATACCGGCCAATCCATCATAGTTATGTCGCTTTCGAGAGCTTCTCTGACAGCGGTGGTTTTTTCATGGTGGACCGAAATGTGGTGATGCCACATCATTTTCATGCAGGCGGCTTCTGATGGTATTAAGCGAGGTATGTTGACCTTTGCGACGGAGTTTTACTTGGGTCTAACGCAGGGTAAGACTGGGATTCGTCTGAAAAAGACACAAGAGCGCTTCGTTCTCCTTCAAAATCGTTGTATAAGGCGGCCCCCTTTCTGGCAAGTCGTCAATCCACTTCCAGTGGTTTTGAATTTACTTGCTCACTTCCTTACGAAAGCCTCTGACTTTTTAATTGCTCTAGCAGTTGTCGCGATTGTTAATTTTGGTCCCTTAATAATTGGTTAATAAGAAAAACCGCCTCCTTCAACTTAACGCTTCAAATATTTTACACTTATTTTTAAAAATAATGTTCACTTTTAATGACTACTCGATGCAACTTTTTGACGCACACTGCGCAAGGAAGAAGTTAGATTCAAGATTCAAACGGTATATGGTAGACGGAAAGGTATAGATGGTGCTACTATGATTTTCCACAAAAATATCACCTACACTTTCTTGTTGAATAGAACTCGCAGCAACTCGCGTCTCGATACTTTGTGTAAATAGGCCAAAGGCCATGATGCGACGGGCGTATTATTGCGGGGCTTCAAGCTCGCAGCTTGTAAGCGCCTAAGCCACTTTGGCTCACACCATCCGTGTGTGACATCCACACCTCTTGCCTCTTATTCGACACCTTCAGACATTTATTTTCGCGGGAAGCGCTGCGCTGACTCCCCTGCTCTCGTCTCTTCTGCGACGCACCGGCAGCCTCGTCGTCGTCGTCGTCGTCGTCTTATACGGTCCCGCGTGGGGCTCGACGCAGCAATGACACGCGCGGGAACCTTCACGTAAAAAAAAAGTATTCCATTTGTAAAGTGATTTCTCCCATAGTCTCATATTCTAAGCGAAGCCTTTTACAAGAAGAGGATTCCTCTCGCGATAAAGTGAAGCATTCATCGAAAATTTATTAAGATATTGTTCCAACTGTTTTCCTCTTATTCCCAGAGGATTTCCTCTTGTATCAATTAACTTTCCTCTTGTGTGAAGAGAAATATAGTGATTTGAAGGTCCTCTCTGGTTTAGTCATGCTATACCTCGATGACATGAACGAAAAGATAACAGCTCATGGGTTAGAATATTTGGAACGCTTTCTTTAGAAGAAAGGTATGTGTGTTGCTGTAACATATAACGAAGATAATTTGTAAGATAATCTAATTATATTTAGTCAAATACAGTTTACAATCTATTGCAACAAGTTGAATAATATATTCTTCCTTTTAACTGTGTTTCATACAATTGCTTATGATGAACATCTTTGTAACTATGAAGTCCATAACAAAGCTGATTGGAAATTTATTTGTTATGATGTTGTTATTTCATTCGTGCCTATTTATTGTAGAACTGGAGCCAGAAGTACACATATATACGGGATGAGCCAAAAGTATGGAAACCATTAAAAATCTCGAAAGATATAAGTTTTACAGAAAAGTGTTTCAGACAAAAGTTATAAGGCTCAAAACGACGTATAATACTGATCTTATCTTATTGACGTTTGGAAATTTCAAAATTTCAAAAATCATCAAATTAACAAAAGGATGCTATTGTAACAATATATTCTTGAGATCGAGTAGAGTAAAAAAGTCTAATAGCATTTTTTCTTCCGACAAATAGTTGGCGAGGTATCATAAGTTAAATATTGAAAAAGTTTCCGAGTTTTCCTTAAATATCTCAAAAAATATTGGGCAAATAAAAAAATGTTTCAGACAAAAGTCGTTCAAATTAATTGGTAAAAAAAGACGATATAATAAAAGATGGGGATTTCTGTTTAAAAAAAATAAGTTGACCTTGACCTGACCTCGGCAACGCCACTCAAGGTCAAACTGATAACTGATCAGTAAATACATCGTTTTGAGCCTTATAACTTTTGTCTGAAATACTTTTCTGTAATACTTATATCTTTCGAGATTTTTAAGGGTTTCCATCTTTCTTCCTCACCCTGTATATTATTTTTCGCTATGCATGGTTATAATAATTAATTTTCAAATTAACCAGTATAACCAGTAAGAATAAAGTATAGTGAGAATAAATGATAATCCTCTTAGAAAAGAAGATTAAATAATCTGTGTGTAAGAGGAAATTTATATTAAAATCAATAAGATTTGCATTATACATATAACATGTAATTCCTCGAACTTTAAGAATAATGTGTTTACAATATTTCCCTCTTAATCTTAGAAGAATCCTCTTGGATCCCCATATATAGGAATAGAATCCTAAAAATCTAAAATTTAGATAATTCCACTTGTTCCGAGATTACTTCTTTCGGCTGTTCGAGTCGCGCAGACACGAGTTCTCTCGTTTCTTTCTTCTCCTTCGCTCCCCTGCATTTCTCCTCTCCCCTTCTTGCTTTCTTTCCTGTTCTCCGTAAACGATCAGCTTTCAATCGCTCGATTCGGCTCGATAATAACACGAACGCAACGCGTCGAGGAAGTGCCAATTACAAACCTCGTCGACGTGGATTTCACTGGACACCCGGGTCGTCGACCCGGTTCTCCAAGCGGCGGTTGGACGATACGCGTGTGTGCGTGCGTGCGTGCGTGCGTGCGTGCGTGCGTGAGTGCGGCGATCGTGTTTTGGAAAGCATTAACGATAATCCTTCGACACTTCCTCCGCGATCGCCGGCGACGCGTCGTCGTCGAGCGTTGCAACAAACACCGGTGGCGTTCTTATCGCGAGAATGATAATCGCCGCCCATTTGCTTTTGTAACACGCATACGCGTATGCACACGCAGGTGCACGCGCGATAAGTTATTATGACGAATAAATGGCGGAACGGGGGCCGTTGCGCAAGAGAAGAGACAGGATTTGCCGGTCGATGAAGACCCGCCGCGGTTAATCCGATTTCGTCTCTCGTACGATAAGGATGCGATAATACAGCGCGCGATGTAATAACTCCGTGTTATGAGCGCGCGCGAGTTCATCGAACACATCGGCGTGTGTGACGCGCCGCGAATCGCGTCGGCCGTTACGCAACGAGTCTCGTGGCTCGTGGCACGAGTTGTTGTCGCAAGAGCCGAGGGTGCCACCCTTCGCTCCTGCCGCCACGAGGAGCAGCTCGCTCCTCGTTAACAAGCCTCGGCAACGTTAACGATAAGTGTACGAACACGAGAGGCGAGAAAGAAAGGAATTAGCGATTGTGTGTACGCGGCAATGGAACGCACATTCGTTCGAGCGAGCGAGCGAGCGAGCTGTTTACCGGATCAATTACGTCGTAATAATAACAGTTTGACGGACGTGCGAATGCAACTCGCCGAGGTCGCGCCGTCGCGCCGCTGCGGCGAATCATTCGCGACAACAAAGCAATATTTCACTCGGTCTACTTCTTCAACGCGCGAAGCGCGAGCGCGAGCGCGAGCGCGAGGTGCTGCGAAGGTCTCGCGGGCTGCTAGATTCGTGTCGGCCACCTTCGTCTCGCTCGGTCTCGCTGCGGAATCCCAGAGAGACCAGAGAGATTCGACCGCGTTCGTGCAACGTCACACATCGAGAGGACAAGGTAGATTCGTCACGTTACATTACGTGGGCCGATTTCCTGCTTCGCGCCGTTGCTCAACTCTTACCCGAGAGTTACTTCGAAACGCGGAATTCCACGAGCGAGCTTCGCCCGGCGAGCGCAAGCCGAGCTTCTTCAAGCCGTCAGCCTTGACCCGCTTTCGTGTCTTCGACCGGCATCGCTTCCTCTCTCTCTCTCTCTCTCTCTCTCTCTCTCTCTCTCTCTCTCTCTCACGTGCTTCGAAACTTTGACCCTAGACGCGCGCCGGCTTCTCCTAGGGTGCTCGTTTATCTCAGCTCGCGGTGCTTCTCCACCGTCAACCACTGTTGTACTCGCGGCATTGCGCAAAATTAATCGGTCGTCATCTTATAATTAGTCTCCTTGGTATTATCGCATGACCGACGAAAGCGGCTGCTGGCGATCGCGGACGGGCCGGAGATAATGCGCCGTTGACTTTGACTTTGTCTCCGCAAACTCCGACAGGGTATCTTTCTCGCCTGCCCCGAATTAGCCCTGCGCGAATATCCGAGGTTTCGTCGATCGCGCGATAAAAGTGAGGGAAGGACGCCGAACGACATGTGGAAATTCTTTATTCGCGTCGGCACACAGAAGGGCGGGAGGGAGAGAGAGAGAGAGGGAGGGAGGGAGGAAGGAAGGAGGGAAGAAAGGAAGGATTCACGCTATTCAAGCTCGCAATAGTCCTCGCAATAGTCCCATTCCTCTTCGGCGCCGACCGCCGGCGAAGGTGAGCTTGGTATCGCAGTCGTGCCGGCATTGCCGCCGCCGAAGGTGGTCAAAATACCTGGCGGATTCAGAGAGCAGAGATTCGCATCAATCGACGGCCGCATCTTAAGCTCGCGAGGCCGAGCTTAAGTGTTTTACGTGTCGCTGCCAGACCTTTCAGCTTTCCCATCATATTGTTCTGTTTTGGCGCTCCTTCCGCCGCCATGAGCTTCGCGTTTCGGTAAATTGTATGCGCAATGTCGAAGAGGTGATTGAACACAAACTGAGCGGTGCACAGGATCATCACCATGAGGATCGGCAAGCAGAGGCTCGTTTCGAAGTCGTCAAGAAACAAATTCAGCCATTCTGGTAATAAATCATCAGACATCTTCGCCACCAGTCCCTCGGGTTCTCCAGGTTATGTCCTTTTGCGCGTTTCTACTCGGCGAATTTACTGTGTTTCGCGAATAAGTGAAGGGGACAGTTCCGCTGATCGAACATCACCATCGTCCCTTGATTTTCCACGTTGCACGACTGGTCCGCCGATTCCACGATTTTGGATAATTTATACTCAAAAGTGGAGCAGAGAGCATATATATCTTGTCGATTTTTCCTCCGTCGCGAAGATATCTTCAGGGAGTATCACGCTCGTATGTTCGCCGCTCGTTTACGCGAAGGTAGCGGCGACTGTGCAGGCTTACGCGTCACCCACAAAAATCTATTCTATTGTAAAGTGATTTTTCCCATCTAGTCTCTCCTGAGCGAAGCCTTTTTACAGAAAAAGGATTCCCCTCTCAATAAAGCGATTAAAGCGAAGCATTCGTAGAAAATTTATTAGATATTATTCTGTTTTCCTCTTATTTATAAGAAGATTTCCTCTTCTCGTCAATTAACTTTCCTTTTATATGAAGAGAAATATGTTGATTTGAGTTGTCGGCTTCTTTTGTTCAGTCATGCTCTACCTCCAGACATGAACGAAAAGATAATCATATACTCATGGGTCAGAATATTTTGGAACGCTTAATATAATTACGCAAAATGTAATTGGAACGTCTTTTAAAAAAGGTATCTTTGTGTGGCTGTAACACATAACGAAGATAATTTATCCGTATTTGGTCAAATACAGTTTATAATCTACTGCAAGAATATTGAATAATATTTTCTTTCTTTTAATTGTGTTTCGTACAATTGGTTCTGACGAACATCTTTGTAGCTATGAAGTCCACAACAAAGCTGATTGGCAAATTTATCTGTTATGGTGATCTTATTTCATTCGTGCCTACTTATTGTAGAACTTGGAGTCAGAAGTACATCTATAAATATATTACTTTTTGCTATACGCATCATAATAATTTTTCAAATTAACTAGTATAACTACGTAGTAAGAATAAAGTACAGTAAGAATAAATAATAATCCTCTTAAAAAAAAAAAAATTAAATAATCTGTGTATAAGAGGAAATTTATAATTATTAAAATTAATTAACATTAAAATTATTAATATTAAAGTTAATAAGATTTGCATTACACATATAACACATAATCTCTCTCTAACTTCAAGAACAATGTGTTATAATATTTTCTTCTTAATCTTAAAGGAATCCTCTCGAGGCCGCATATAAGAATAAAATCCTCTAAAATTTAGACGATTCCGCTTATTCTGAAATCACTTTTTTCTGGATGGTTCATTTTTGCGAATGAAAAGACGTGGAAAAATATGTAGGAAAAGGTAAAAAATGTACAACATATATTCGTACGATAAAACATTTTACATTTTACATTTACGTCCATCAATCTCCCCAATCGATCCGTTATTTCCTACCGGTACACTTCCCAAGGAAGTTCTCGCGTTCAGTCGGTGGAGTCGCGTAAAAATGAAACAGCCGTAAGGACGGAAACTTTGATTAATACAGAAACAAAACTGCCATATTTGGCCCGTTTGGCGCTTTGCTTTGTCGACAACTTACACAAAGAGCGCTTATTAAAAAAACTTAGAGGAGTAAGCGGTGAAAAGTCACTGGGGGGGGGAGGAGAGTTTTCGGAAAGCGCGCGATGATAAAAATGCTTGTGGAATGTGTCGAAACTATTGGACGGTAATTATTAAAGGTAAGATTAAAAGGTAAGATTAAAGGTAAGATTAAAACAATTAAAACAAGTTATACGGGTAACATCACTACGTCGTCGTCGTCGTCGTTGGCGAGATTTGCGCGTATAGGTACCAGTATGCTGCCGAAAAAGGCCTTTTCATCAAAGGCGTTGCCCTCGATTTGCCGGAAGATCTCCGCTTCTTTAACGCGCGCGCTTATCTTCGCCACTTCACTCGGAGTCGAGTGAAGATACGACGGCGGAGTGATGTCGAATTCTCTCTCGGATAAGCAATAATCGTGATACGGGAACGACTGGGACGATCGGGGCGTCGAGCTTACGTCGAGATTCACGTCCGAGTTCGCTTCATGGCGGGACAGCACTATCGTTTTCTGACTGCTCGTCTTCGCGAAGGACGTGCACACGTAAAACAGAGGGTCGTCCGTGATGCTACTGCGGCTGATTGATTGTTCGGACGAACTCGTCTCCGGTGCGTTGTTGAAATTGCACAATTGCGATATGCTCTGGAGATTCATCGAGTTCGACGTAGATTCGCTCGCGATATCGTGTGAACTAATCGACGGACTTCCGTCGGACTTCGCCGTGGCGCCCGGAAATGAAAGTGCCGCACGATCTACAGCACCTGCTGCTTGCTCGGCTGAATCCTTGCCATCGATCGACGCAGGCTCGCCGACGACCCTCGTTAACTCCTTCTCCGCTGCTCGCCGCTCTTCTCGTTGAGTCGCGTTCGGGTTCGCGATCATTGAATCGTCCTTCCCCCCCGGCGCGAAGGAGTGCTGGACCGGACGGTTTTCGGCCTCCTGCTGTATCGTCTGCCGAGTAGTTGCGAGCGAGTTCGCCGCCGCTTGTGCGGGAACTCGCGTGCTCTCTGTCGGCCGCGTCGCCGATGCCAAAGTTCTACGTTGCTTGCTCAGGTCTAGCTGCTTCATGATGCTTATTATGTTCGCGAAGACGAATCGATTGCTCTCCTGCAGCACGCGCAGCTGGACGACCGCGTCGTAGCATGATTTCTCCCACGATACGCAATCCGTGCTCGAGCCAAGGTTGCCCTGCTAAAAGTTTGGATATTTTAATCAGGGTTGGGAAAGTTACTTTGTAAAAGTATCTGGCAGAGATGTGTGAGTCAAGAATTTTTATGTCGAATCGAATCGAATCGAGTATCATTTTTTAAATTCGAATTCGAATCATTAAAAAATTTAACATGACTATTAAACATGCAAATAACGATGGAAGATTTTAATATGAAAGGGAATTATTGATATTGATGTAATATCATCTTAAAGTAAAATATATATTTAAATATTTAAAGTAATTTATAATTAAGTTATTATTTAAGTTATTATTTAACTTGACTTATAATTAATTATAAGTCAAGTTAATTACAAGTTAAGGGCTCAAACATACGGGCCCAGATGGCCCGTTTTGTAGCTGATGCACGCAAACGATAATGTATTCGATTCCTATTCGTATTATTCGAATTCGAATCATAGGGATTCGGCTTCGAATCGAATCGAATTACATTAGATTTGATTCGATTCGATTCGAATTCGAATAGTTCGCACATCTTTAGTATCTAGGTTGCAGTTACATTTTTTTCACTGAAAAAGTAACTGGTTACAAGTTAAGTACAAGGAAGTAACGAATCGTTACTCTTTAGTTACTTTTTCACAATAATTGTGCTATTATTTTAAACTTTGTAATTATGCAAATTCCTGCAACTTTATATAAAAGTACTTTGTTGACCATTATATTCCTCGTATTGTATATAATTTTTACAAATTGGATTCATTAATTTTAGCAAGCAATTCATATTTGTTTTTTAAGACTATTAATAATAACCGGACAGAGAAATGCCCGGTTGGTTCAGTTTCCAAGTTTTTGCTGTAACTCGAATATTTCTGCATATGCTGGCCATGGCATTTTGCAATCCTTCTCCGACGATCGAGATATTTTATCCATTGCTTGAATTCTTTATATAACTGAAACCAAGCAGCGCCCTTCGCGCTGAATGCAAATTATATTAACAAATAAGGACTGGCGACGCGCAACGGAAATATCCAATAGGCGTACAATTTTTTTTGGAAGGAATACAGGTGGCGTTCGGAGAGGAGACTATTGGCGCTATTGCGTCATTTTATCTTTGTTTTATCTTTGTTTTACATCTAATGAACGATAAAGATAGATGACGCAATAGCGCGCGCACTTTGCAAATGTAGCCAGAATAACTGTACGCTTATTGCGTATCAAGCATCGTACGTCGCGTTATCGTTCTAGTCCGTCAGAAACTTAAGAAACTTAAACTTTGAAATGTATAAAGTAACTATTAAAATAACTGTTAAATTAGTCACTAGTTGTCAAACAAATGTCACCAAGTTAACTTACAGTTATAGATGAGAAAAAAGAAACGAAGTTAAGTTATAGTTACCAAGAAAAAGTAACTGTAACTGTAACTTCGTTACAAGTAACGAGTTACTTCCCAACTTTGACTTTAACGACGTCCCGTTAACGGGGAAACCTGTCGGTAGGATCAAAAAAATTGAATTTTTTTTTATTACATTTTCTTAAAATACATATTGTTAGGAATCCATTTTTAAATTCGTATCGAAAAATTCGGAAAATTACGAAAGTTACAACCTATTATTCGAAGCGACGCACAAGTCAAAATCAGAGCGCTCACTGAGTCTTTCAAAGTTTCGTCACACAATTGCTGCGGAAATTGTGGAAACAATCCTACGAAACCTAGGAATGTAAAAAAGAATTTCATGAAGTCGAGGAGAATTTATTATACGGATCTGGAATTGCCGATTAGACTGAAACTTACGTGAGTACTAGAAGTATGATCGAATAGTACATGAAGCTTTAAACATGAAGTTTTTTTTTTTCGAAATGACTTTGCTTTAACTGGCTTCCACGATTTGAGACAAACTAATGAACCGACCGACTTCAGCATGTAGTTACATATTCGAAACATGTCTCTCTATCGTGTGAACTAGCGAAATTAAAAAATATTATTTTCTCATATTTATTTTTAACGTAAAACTGTCGATTTTAACTGGCGATTTTTCAAATACAATTTTTAAATGCCTTGAAATTATTGAAAAACTAGTTTGTTTTGGGCAAGCTTGTAGATTAATTATCTTACTTGCGTTTTTGTTCCAGTCCACCGTATCTCGAGATTTCATGGGAGCCGTGAAACGGCGCGCGCCTAAACACGTCACGTTATTTTTTGTGTATCTGCTACATCATTATTCACATAACACTATAAAAATTCATTCTTATAAGTTAAATATATTATTATTTCTACAAAGTTTGAAATCAATCGTCCGTTTAGTTTCCGAAGAAAAAAGAATTCGTGAAAATAGCCTATTTTTTTGGCCTACAAACAGGTTCCCCCCCCCCTCCTTAATGACTCTGCGATAAATACTCGTAAATGGTCCAAACCTGCACATCCGCCGACCGTCGGGACGCGTATTCTCGCGCTTTAGACGTGACGCATTTCGGCAGGGAGGACACCTCCGCCAAAGCGATACCGTAGTGATCGGTGGGTGCCGTTCCGTTGTTTAATTTGTGAGTGTATATCAGGTGCAACTGGTCCGAGCCGTTCGACTCTGCCATTTTCGTCTCGAAACAGTGGCTGAGGAAGAAAGTGACAAGCGAACGGTAACTATCTCCGACGGCCCGGCCGCCGGCCGGAGAGTTTTCGTCGAGCCGGAAAATTCTATGACTCACGCAAGAGCATTACGTACATTGTCACATTGTGATACTTATTGCTGAGCTCGGTGAGGTGCAGAAAGTGCGTCGCCGCGAACGTGAATGCGCTCGTCAGCAATAATTTCTCGCATATCGACCAAGCGATGGCCGAGCCCTCTTCGACCGTGGTGTGCCGGCAGAGCTCGTCCAGGACAACGAGAGACCGCGGCGTGACGGAATGCAAAATGTATTGCGCCTCTTTCATCTGAAGTAAACGCATTCGAAAGTAATCTCCGCAGCATTCTCTCTCTCTCTCTCTCTCTCTCTCTCTCTCTCTCTCTCTCTCTCTCTCGGCTCTGGCACCGCGGTTTAATTATGCCGGATTATTGCATCTCGCACGTGCGCGCACTCACCTCGAGAACGTAGGCGGACGCGTTGAGTTCGGCGTCGTCGCGGGAGCATATCCTACAAAGTATGCGATCCGCGACGCGAAACGTCGCCTTCGACGCTGGCACGTAGGAGCCGATCTACGAACGACGATAAGAGCGAATGATCGTGAGATCGACGAGATAAATGAACGCGTAAGTCGTCATAGCTAATGGCGCGCCGCGCCGTTACCTGCGCCATAATTTGAAGTAGAACGATCTGCTTCAGGTATGTAGATTTGCCGCTCATGTTCGGTCCGGTTACGAGGTGGAAATTATACGCGCTCGTTGCATCCTGTTGATTTGAGAAAGAGATCGTTTGGCTGATTGGAAAATGCCGGCGCGCGCGTTCGATTCGATCGATTCGACGGTGTTGGTTCGGCGAATTATTCAACGCCGCTCCGAGACACTCACTACGTCGTTAGGTACGGGGAGGTCAGTGTTGAATAACTCCATAATGGGGTGCAACGAGTCTCTCAGTTCTAATTTCATCCCGAACGACGGCCGCACGTATTCCGGATTGCAACTGATTTGCGCCAGCGACAATACCAAATCCAATTCCGCCACGTCGGCGCTCAGCTGAAACAGGCAACCGATGTGCTGCCTGATGTCCTCCAGCAAGTGAGTCAGCAGACTGCAAATGGTTATTTTGTCGACGCAATAATATTGTGACGCGACGAGGCGCGCGTAAATACACGCCCGATCGTAAATCGCCAATCGCTAATTCAACATTATTCGGACGGAGGTCTGAAAAATAGGCACTGAAAAATAGGATTGTGTTGCTCACGTATTACTCATCACATAAATCTCTTCGCAGGCTTTTCTGCATTGCTTATTCAAAGTCAACAACGCCGTCGTGGTCATCGTAAAGGATCTCCTGTTTTTTCGTACCTGCGTTATTACGAAAGGTGTTACGTAAAATTGAAATGGCGCGATCGATTAGCGCGAGGGAAGACGAGTTACCTGAATAAATTCCGCCGACAAGTCGGAGATCGCGATGTCTAAGCCACGTGGCACAACTACGTGCATATGGTAGCCCAGGTTTACGTTGTATTCTAAAGATAACGGCAGCTTGTGCTTCACGGCTGACACCTCCACTAAGCCTGTTTGAAGAAATTCGCCAAGTTACCAACCGTGTGTATTTCTCTCTCTCTCCCTCTCTCCCCCTCTCCCTCTCTCTCTCTCTCTCTCTCTATTTCAGGACGTTAGGATGCCATTCATACTTTTCATATCGTTGATTAGCTCGCAATAGACTTGCCGCGCGATGTCCAGCAACTCGTTGATGCCGGCTTTTATAGCGAAGCACCGTTGCATACTCGACGAGGTGGATCCCTTGACGAATCTCGCGTCCGCGTGTATTAGCGTCATGATCTTGTCCTTCATAACTTTGAACTCGGAATTTTCCAAATTCTGCAAGACGGCGAGTTCCCGCGAGGAAAACGCGGTTAGTGGATCAACAAGAACATCGCGATCATAGCGGTGGATAAGTTTCAATGGGGACACAGACCTTTCGCATCTTCACGAAGAAGGCGTGAGTGCCGGTCGCGAGAACGGCTTCCAGTTCCGGGACGATGTCGAGGGAACTCTTGAGGAGCAGCGCGTAGTTGAGATTTCGCTCCGCGTTTTGCATGTCGTTCGTGTTTAAGGGCGTGCTCGCTAATGTCAGCAAACGATCCGTGCCGAAGAGACGTTGCACCACCGGCTGTGTGAGACACGCGCATTCTGCCTGAGTCTCGCGGCTCCCCAGTCAGAGAACTATAACGTTGACTCGACGTTGATTCGACGTTGAAATGGTTGAAATGATGAAACGTTAAATCAACGTTAATTCAACTCTCACCGACGTCGGATCAACATTGTGGTTCTGACTGGGTTCTCATGTGCGCGAGATATCTTTTGGCTCTCTCAGCCAAGATGTAACAGCGATTAAAAGATCGTCTCGGCGGACGGACGTGACTCGGTCTACCTGGAGACTGGCGCATAAAGAACGATTGTCGACCAATTCCGCCACGCAGGACTGCCGGTCCACGATCGAGCGCTCGTCGCAAGGGGGTTGGAGAATGGAAACGCGCAGTAGCCTTCTACCCATAGAGGTCAAGCAGCGGTCCATAGTGCCCAGCAAACTGACGGCGGAATGCTTGGACTGCGACACAACCAGTTCCAGACTCCGTGCGCTCTCTATATCTGCGCAATAACAATCGCGATGTAGTTCGCCGCGAGCTTTTTTCCTCCTCTCTTTCGCGTCAGCTCGCGCGGCTAGCGCGACTTACCGATCATCGTGGTGTTCGGTGATCCTTGAAACTCGATCCGCACCGATTTCGGCGCGTAAACCATATGCTGCGCGTATTCCACGTACTTGAGCAACGCCGCGGCGGCCGCTAAGGCGTAATATCTGCAATCGAAATCAACGGACCGTTTCAGACGCGCGCTCCGCGCATCGCTCGCTCGCTTCATTCCGCCGCTTAATCGATATCGCTAATATTACTTTTGTTTCACTATCAATTCCACGGTTGAGTACTCCCTCGCGCACAGAGTCCGCACGCGTTCCATGCCGGCCGACTCGCTGAAGTGCATCCGTAAGATCGGCGTGATTTTCAGCGCGTTGAATTTCTCTTTCATCAGCCGATACAGCTTGCTCGAGCAGCCTCGACGTTGGCACATCGTTTCGGGCATCAGTATCTTTGGGGGCAAAAAGTCTTACATGACACAAGTGTAAGCGGCGGTGGACGGAGGGAAAGAGTTTGGTTCACCCAAGAGAAAAGTATTATAATTTCAGAACAAGCGGCATCATCTAAATTTTAGAGGATTTTATTCTTACATATTGCCCTAAGAGGATACCTCTAAGATCAAGAGGGAAATATTGTAAACATATTGTTCTTAAAGTTAGAATGATTATATGTAATATGTATATAATGCAAATCTTATTGATTTTAATATAAATTTCCTCTTATACATAGATTATTTAATCTTTTTTTAAGAGGATTATTATTTATTCTTATCGTACTTTATTCTTACTGGTTATATTAGTTAATTTGAAAAAATTGTTATAATGTACAGCGAAAAGTAATATAGGGTGAGGCGAAAAGATGGAAACCCTTAAAAATCTCGAAAGATATAAGTTTTACAGAAAAGTGTTTCGAGCAAAAATTATAAAGCTCAAAACGATATATTTGCTGATCTTATCAGTTTGACCTTGAGTGGCGTTGTCAAGATCACAAGTCAAGGTCAACTTAAGGCAACAAAGGCAACAAAACTCAAGGTCAACAAAGGCAAATAAAAAAATGTTTCAGACAAAAGTTGTTCAAATTAATTGGTAGAAAAAGATGATGTAATAAAAAATGGGGGTTTTTGTTTAAAAAAAATAAGTTGACCTTGGCCTGACCTTGGCAACGCTACTCAAAGTCAAACTGATAAGATCAATAAATACATCGTTTCGAACCTTATAATTTTTGTCTGAAATATTTTTCTATAAAACTTATATCTTTCGAGATTTTTAAGGCTTTCCATCTTTTTTCCTCACTCTGTATGTATATAGATGTACTCCTGACTCCAGTTCTATAATAAGTACGAATGAAATAAAATCATCATAACTTCATAGTATAAAGATGTTCATCATAACCAATTGTATGGAACATAGTTAAAAGAAAGAATATATTACTCAACTTCTTACAGTAGATTATAAACTGTATTTGACCAAATATGGGTGAATTATCTTCATTACATGTTACAGCAACACATATACTTTTTTTAAAAAGCGTCCCAAATATTCTGACTCATGAGTATACGATAATTTTTTCGTTCATGTCTGGAGATAGAGCATAACTGGACAAAAGAAGCCGACATTCAAATCAACATATTCCTCTTCATATGAGAGGAAAATTAATTGGCATAAGAGGAAATCCTCTTGAAATAAAAGGCAAGTAGTTAGAATAATACGTATCTAATAAATTTCAGATGAATGATTCACTTTAATCGCTTGATCAAAAGAGGAATCCTTTTCCTGCAAAAGGCTTCGCTTAGAATATCAGACTATGGGAGAAATCACTTTACAAATAGAACACTTTTTTTGGGTGTTGAATTAACGCGACGATGAACGAATCAGACGCCGTGCTCTCACCGACGCAAACTGAATTAATAATTCTTACGAATCAAATTCGCTCCTAACAAGCAGAAGTTCCGCTTCCTTCGATCGAAATGCCTTTCATTCGTTCACCGTCATGTTGACCCGATCAAACTTCTCTCTTTGGTGCAGTAAATACGAGTAGAAAATATCGATGTAAGAATGAAAACGGTAAAGCTATCGCGATCGAGCGCTTACTTCTATCGGATCGAAAACATGGATCTTCGTCAAAGTGTTGACGTATGTCTGGCAGTCGCTGATTTGACAGAGAATCAAATACGGGTACCGAAGATCTATCGCCGCCAGGCCGACTTCGTTCTTGGCGTCACCTCGGCCGGCTGTTAATGCTGTCGCGAGAATATGCACATGCGTGAGTAGCTGTGAATAAGTAAGTCATCGGATACTATGTGGTTTTGCACTGTTTATTATTTCCTTACCGATCACCACTGAGGAATCCGCATTGCTGGACGTGCCGAGCGACGATCTCGCATTGTTGGCCAATCTAGCAAAAAAGCGAGACAGCTCATTAGCGAGAAGCGACATATTGGATTGCTCGGAAAGTAATTCCGGTCTTTTCAAATAGATGTGGTATTATGGTTGCCCTTTTAAGCAATTAACCTCATTTCAAAGCAAAAAATCATTTTACATTTTTACAACGCACGTTTCAAGTTTCATTTGAAGAGAAAAGTTGCTTCGGAATCTGTCTGTCAGGTTGTTTTTCTTTGACGTCCCATCAAAAGTGGGAAACCAACGTGAGCATTTTCGTCACATTTTGCTTTTTTATTACCGTGTAAAGGCAAAAATGCGGCGCAAGCGAGAAAAGAATTGCGTGTCGTGTATGGAGAGAATGTGTTGACTGAACGCCAGTGTCAGAATTGGTTTTCGAAATTTCGTTCTCAAAGATGCACCACGTTCTGCAAGGCCAGTTGAGGTTGATGAAGTCCAAATAAAGGCGTTGGTGGACGCGAATCGTCCACAATTCACAATTCAAATCATCGTTAACAACACGAGAAATTGCTGAGAGATTGAATTTGTCGAATTCGACCGTGTATGAGCGTTTGAAACAACTTGTTTCGTTTCAAAGCTCGATATTTGAGTTTCACACGTTCTCAAAAAGATTTGATTCGTCGCATCATCATCTGAGATTTGCTGTTGAAACGTAAGGAAAACGATCCACTTCCGAAGCGACTTGTAACTGAAGGTGAAAAATGGATTGTGTACAATAATATTAAACGCAAAAGATCATGGAGCAGACATGATAAACTAGCTCAAAGCACATCGGAAGCTGATACTCATCAAAAAAAGATGATGCTCTCTGTTTAGTTTTAGAGTTTAGTTTAGGATTGGAAAGGAATGGTTTTTTTTAGCTGCTACCAAACAATCAAACGATTGATTCGAATGTGTATTGTCATCGATTGGACAAATTGAATGATTTCATCAAGCAGAAGAGACCAGATTTGGCGAAGAGAAAAGGTGTGTGAGAAATGTTGTGTTTCATCATGACAACGCCAGATCTCACACAAGTTTGATGACTCGCCAGAAGCTGTGTTACCGCTTGGATGGGATTTGCTACCGCATCCACCATATTAATTTCTGATCTGGCATCATAAGATTATCACTTCTTTCGGTCATTGCAAAATTCTTTGGATGGTAAAAATTTTGATTCAAATGAAGGTGTCAAAAACCACTTGATTCAGTTTTCTGCCGATAAGGACCAGAAATTCTACGAGGAATCATGTTATCACCTCAAAGATGGCAAAAGGTGTTGGAACAAAATGGGCAATACTTAATTACGAATAAAACTTTTCCTTCTATTAAAAATATCGTCTTTCATTTTCATGCAAAAAACCGAAATTACTTTCCGAACAACCCAATGTTTCGGCGTATCAGAGAGACCCCAGAGAGAGAGAGAGAGAGAGAGAGAGAGAGAGAGAGAGAGAGAGAGAAGCATACAAGAAGTAGTCTATAATCGCGACTAGAGATGTGCGAACTATTTAAATTCGAATTGAATCAAATCGAATCTAATGTAATTCGATTCGATTCGAATCCGAATAATTCGAAAATTTCAAATCGAAGATTCGAATACGAATCAAATATATTAGGTCGTTAAGTATGAAATGTCCGATTTCGAATCAAAAGTTGGGCTTATTATATCTCAAACTAGAAATCTCAAACTAGAAATAGGTACAATTAATCCAAGTATGCACCTAAACTATCGGCACAGTTCTGCCATCTTAACGGTAGCTTATTCATGCCAGCAGCGAAGAAGCCTGAAAAGCAGGTGACGATGAAATCGCAGAAGACGTTTCCCACAGCTTGTTGAGTGAATTGAATATTTTTCCTTGCAAGAAATGGTCCAGTGCTTGGAAGAAGTGATAGTCAGTTGGTACAAGGTCTGGTGAATACAGTGGGTGACAGAGAGTTTCCAGGTTCAGCTCCTGTAGTTTGAGCAACGTTATTTGTGTGACATGTGGTCGAACGTTGTCTTGCAAGAGGATTACCTGTGTCTATTGATCAATCTCGGCTGCTTGATCGCAAGCATTTTCATCATTTCGCCTAGCTGGTTACAATAGACATCCGTTGTAATCGATTGACCAGGTTTCTTGAAGCTGTAGTGGATAATATCAGCGCTGGATCATCAAATAGACACTATTAGCCTTCTTCTGTGAATATTCGGTCTCGGACTGTGTTTCAGCACTTTATCCATATCCAATCATTATGCCGAACACTTGCAATTGTCGAAAAGAATCCGCTATTTATCACACGTAACAATACGATGTAAAAATGGTTCGCTTTTACGTCGTGATAGTGAAGAGAGGCAAGCTTCGAGACGACTTCTCTTTTGGCGCTCGTTTAATTCATGCGCAACCCATTTATCCAACTTCTTTATCCTGCCGATTTGTGCCAAGTGATCCAATATTGTTGAAATAGTAACGTTAAACCTTGCTGCTAATTCACGCGTAGTTTGAAATGTATCCGCTTCCACTACAGCTTTCAGTTCATCATTATCCACCTTGGTCTCGGATCACCAACGTGGCTCATTTTCAAGATTAAAATCGCCAAAACGAAACTTCTCAAACTATCGACGTATTGTACGTTTATTAACCACATCTTCACCAAACACTTCGTTAATATTTCGAGTTGTCTGTGCTGCATTGTTTCCACGACGGGACTCATATTCGAAAATAACATGAATTTTTAACTTGTTCATGGTTACACAAACATTGCTGTAACAAAGACAATTCGAAAGATAATCACAAATCAAAACATGCGTTTGAAAGAGTGATGATGTACCTTCACAACAAGAAAAAGACCAAAAACTGTAAGGGTGAAATATCAGAGATATCGACTGTCGAACTTTAGGTACTTAAGGAAATCGGACATTTCATATTCAATGACCTAATATTAGCGTTTGCATGCATCAAAAAAGCTACAAAACAGGCCGCCTGGGCCTGTATGTTTGAACCCTTAACTTGTAATTAACTTAACTTATAATTAATGACTTAATTATAAATTACTTTAAACATTTAAATATATATTTTACTTTAAGATGATATTACAACATCAATATTCCCTTTCATATTAAAATCTCCCATCATTATGTGCATGTTTAATAGTCATATTAAAGTTTCTAATGATTTCATTCGAATTCGAATGAAATTTCATAGATTCGATTCGACTCGAATTAAAAAAATGAAATTCGATTCGATATAAAAATCCTTGATTCGCGCGTCTTTAGCCGCGACATTTGTATAGCTCACCGTACGCTGCGACGAGAAACGCTCGACAGGTAGGACGACGTGGAGACGCAATTCTCCTTGTTAGGTCCCCAATTACGCCTCGGCGTCTTTGTGTTCGCGGCGGAACTCGCCGGCCCGGAGCTCGTCGAAGGTTTCGCGAGGTCGGCTTCTGCGAATTCTGCGCGAAGACTCATGAGTCGCGTGAGAGCGTCAGTATCGAGTGACAGGATGATACCGAAGCATCACCGCGGATTCTCTCATTCGCCACATATACACCGCACACGGTGTTCGAAACTTTGGCTTTCGGCGGCCATTGCGACCGTGAGAGACCCGCGGTTTTCGCGCGGCGTGGCGACGCGCCGATACTTACGATGCTTCGGAAAGAGATTCGTGACTCGCTGGGTGTTCGACAACGCGATCCTTCCTCTCGACGCGTAACCGCGTCGTCCTCTCGCCGGCATCGGCTGTATCACGTTCATTTTGCGAGGGGAAAACGGCGAGTCGCGATGCCCCCGGCGACTTTACCGCGGCGTCTCGTCCGAAGTTGCCCGCGTGCTGCGATCGAATCGCTCCAATATGGCGCGCAACAATCGATCTCGATCTCGATCTCGACCGCGTGCGATTCGAAGTCGTGTACGAAAACGCATGCAGACGAAAGTATACAAACGCCTCGGCTTCTCAATGATATATTTATTTACAATCTCTCTCTTTCTCTCTCTCTCTCTCTCTCTCTCTCTCTCTCTCTCTCTCATTCAACCTTATCGCTCTTATCAATTTCGCGATATGAACGTACGTTCCGATTAATAATAAATAACACGATCACAATCACTATCCCGCTCGCAATAAATATCGCTCTTTATCGTCGTCTCTTAGAATTCAGATTTACATTTGTATATTTACAGTTACAACAGCATAGTTGAAAATCGATTGTCTCTCGGCGGCTACTTTGTCGAGCGCTCTCGATCTGCCCGGCTCGGCCCAAACTGCTTGCTTCGTTCTACGTGTGTGAAATTATCTACGAACGACTGTGCGCGCGCGCGCGTCGCGCTGCGGATTACTCGGCGAGATATCACGCGCGCCGCGACAATGCAATCGCGCGTGTCGCTCGTCGCGCGCGACAGGCGCGATAGACCAGCGGACTTTTGAGAGGCGCGCGCTATCTATTTACACATATTTTCGTCTTCGGACGCGCGAACTCAAGGTATCATCGAGGAACGGATGGCGTCGATCCCGAAGATAAAGTCCTATTACGTGGTACTGACAGTCAAAATTAATCGCACACAGTGTTGAATACGTCGGGCTATGATCTTCGCGTTATATTATTTATGGATGTACACGCATGCATCCGTCGGCGGTGTCGAGCGAAACGCATTCGGGAATAAGATGGACGACGTGTTCCGTCGAGTGCGCAGTTTGCAAACGTATCTGTATACATTTACAAATCTGTAGGTATACTCCCACGCGAAGAAATCCTCACTCGTCACCCCAAGTTCGAAGGTATTTCGCCCGACAATGTTTTCGCGGTTGAATGAGACGGGCAATTCCCAAAGCACGCAGCAACGTCCGCGGATCGTCGGGCGTTTTTTTTTGTTTATTACTCAACTCGCGATCCGTGATCGTTTCTTGCCCGTCGTCAGTTTCGACTCGACGCGACGCAACGCGCTCTGAACGATCACGCGCGAATTACAAGAGTTACAGGGGGATAGAGAGAATTTGGCGAAAAACGTGTAAAGTGTCTCGAAAAAGAAAAGCACAAGTAGTAACGTGGGCACTAATGAACCCTAATAAGAGGCTCAAGCGTCTGAGATATTTTCGAGAAGAGCAGTATTTTTACACAGCGATTATACACGAGGAATACAGACGCTGCACGTCGCAGCACCACTTGACGTACCCGTTGCCTTCCGTTAACGAGCGAGAGGCACCGAGAATAATCGACGGCACCTTCGTGCGTTCGCGTACTGCCTATTATAATTGCCTAAAATTTACAATGCCGCGACAGCAGTCTCTTAGATAGATTATTAATTGCAATAATAATCACAAATTACGTAAAAAAATGCGTGTGCATACGCGCACGCAAGCACACATACAAACACACACACACACACACACACACACACACACACACACACACACACACACACACACAGACAGCAGAGACGCATAGGCGCCCATGTACCCATCCACCCCCACACACATTCACACACTCATACATGTATGTTATAACGATATGTGTACATGGAGAGATAGACGCGCGACCGATCAAGACTTATCACATCGTGTAGACTTTTCATCAGAATTTCTAGTAAAAAAGAGAAAAAAAAATCTCTCAACGGTACGAACGCTACCTTTCAGCGAAGAACTTTCTTCACAGCGCGCCGAGATCGCGACGATTTCGCGCTCGTACACGCAAACGCACGCACGCGCAATCGTGCGTGTGATTTTCATTCCGCGCGACGCGTCGTTTCCCCGTCGCACTTTCATTCAAAGTAACGCGCACACGCGTTAATATCTTACTAATCGTACGAGGATCGAACGCTTGTCGCGCACGCAATATGTATATATAGAACATCCGCGACGAGATGTAAAGTGATTATTAAAATATAAATTTAAAGACAGATGGTATATATATATATATAGATATATATATATATACATATATAACATGTATATATACGTAGTCATCTTAAATTAATATTCTCAATCGAATTATTTCTTGCATATACATACTTATATACAAAAAATGTCACGATCACAATTCACAAGTATGTGTGTATACATGTATAATTGACACAATGCGCAAATACCACGTATGTAATTCAGTGTAATCGCTAAGATAACTTTCTTACGTTTCTCGACTTTCTGCGTGTTCTGCAGCTTGGCTTTACTCATGATGTAAAGAATCGTTTGTCACTGCTCTCTCTCTCTCTCTCTCTCTCTCTCTCTCTCTCTCTCTCTCTCTCTCTCTCTCTCTCTCTCTCTCTCTCTTTCTCTCTCCAGAAACAGAGAGTGGGCAAGAGGAAGAGAGAAAGAGCCTTTGACGCCGTTTTACCGTAATTTTCGTCGCAACAATCTCGTCTCTTACGCTCCCGCGACTGTAGATTAATCTCTACGATTGTAGATCAATCTCTAGGAGTGACTCGATGGTCAAGATATTGTATCGCGTGAGACCGATAGATATTTATCCTCGATGTCCTCACTCGAAATTCATTGTATAGCAGTCGTGGCGAGTAGTCGGCGTTTGAGCGATAACGATTACTCGTGTTGATCGATGATGGGCTCTTTGGCACGTTTGCGGCTGATGACAATTGGCGAACAGATGTGTGGTCTCGGCATTTCTGCATTTGACTTTTCTGCGTCGAGTATATAGAGTATGAGATATACATATGTAAATACATGATATGTGTGGCTCGGTTTGCACGCGTGATATCAAAAAATGACGGCAGCGATATGATAGCACTGCGGGTGTACCATTCGTAGGAGCAACAGAGGAAGCCTCTCGGATAATCCACGAGCATCGTTTCACACGTGACTCTCGAGAGGTACTTTGAACACCTTGGACGCGAGACTCGCGTCCGGCAAGGACTGCGGTCGTGTGTTGGTCACATTGAAGACGACGTTGCTGGGCCCGCGAAAGCTTACTTCGATGAGGAAGCTCGCGTCAGTAGTCATGCCGACGCGGTTGGTGCTGAGGTCGGGCGAACTGGTCCGCAGCTGACTCTTCTTCGGCCTGTAGTCGCTCCTGATGATCCTCTCGGCCTCGGATTGCAGCTTATTGTCCAGCCAGTGCACTTTGTCAAAGTCCTTGGTGCCTCCCACTGTGTGCCTGCGCTTGATCGAACGCTCCGGCATGCCGTTCTTGCGCTTCAGTTTGGTGGCGCTCTCCTTGCGCACCGACTGCCGCCTCTTGCTGATGTTGCACTCGGTCTTCTCCGTTTTCGTCAGAGACTCCGAGCGCTTGAGCTTGCTGCCCGGCGACTCCGACCGGCCGTCGGAGTGTTTGTTCAGACTCTCGGACCGCTTGAGCTTACCGTTCGTCGGCGACGACAGTCTCTCGCTCGAGTGTTTGTTCAGACTCTCCGATCTCTTCAGTCTCGACGCGGTGCTCTCGGACCGCTTATTCAGCGACTCCGAGCGCTTCAGGCGCGATCTCGCCTCGAAGTTCGTCAGGCTCTCAAATTTTTTCAGCTTGTTGGAGTAACTGGAATCGCCAGACTCGTAATGATGACCCTTGCCGTCCTCCAGTTTCGTGTCAACGTCCGTCTCCTCCGGGCACGCGTTGGCCGACGTCGGCTTGCCCTCTTGAAGATTCGTCGCATTCGGCAACTCGTAACGTTTCGGGGAACCCGTACACGCGCAGTCTCCAATGTCCGCCGTCTTCTGATCCTCGTCCTTTTCGCTCGCGTTCGCCGCGGTCTTCTCTGTCGTCTTGTCCGTGCCGTGACCGGACGCGGTCTTCGTCTCCGATCTCTGCTGCTTGTCGCCCGCGCTACGATCGTTGTTCGGCGTCACCGCTTCCGAGGGGTGCGTGTCGGTCACCGTCGAGTCGGTGTCCTTCTCGGGAGCGTCCTGCTCGCATCGAGATAAAAACGATAGCGTTAGTAACTTCCCTTCCTGCAACCCCTTCTTCCTTCTCTTTCTTCGTACAATCCGCCGTACAATAAATACTCACGTCCTTCGAGCGAGAGAGGTGGCTCTTGTCGATCGACTTGTGAAGACTGGGATCGCGATAAGCTTCCGCAGACGGATATTTGAATTTCAGGGACGCGCTCGCCTTCTGCTCCTGCTGCTCCGCGCCGTCCTTGTTGCAAGCCGCGGCTTCCAGCGGTGGTTGCGCCTGGTTCGACGACTGATTCACGAGAGACCTCCACTTGCGGTCGAACGTGGTCGTGAGGCTGGTCAAAAGATCGCTACCTGCAAGAGGAGGGTTGGCGCGCAATTAGTCGCGTGAATGCGCGATTGTCACGACAAACTCATGTACGCCAGATACACTCAAAGCACCGAGAATCGGCTTGAAATCGTTACTGTCGTTAGCGTGAAGAGTACAGACATCTGCGCGGTGACGAGTACATGTCCGTGAACACGCATGTCGTTAAAACAAGGCGAGAATTATAAATGCCAGAGAGTGTGTGTATGCGCTCGGTCTGTCGCAGCTGGTGAGAACTCTCGCACGCGGGTGCATCCCCGCGTAAACGAAATCGCCGCGAGAGAGAGAGAGCGAGAGAGAGAGAGAGAGAGCGAGAGAGAGAGAGAGAGAGAGAGAAAGAGGAAAGAAAGGAAAAGAACTGCAGCGCACAAACAATATAAACAATCACGGCAGCAGCGTCAACAAAACAGTTGTTCGGCGGCCGCGTCGGCTACGCGAACGCGATCATCGCAGTTTTATCGCAAGTTTATTACAGGGAAAATTAATTCGCTAATTATCGTCTCCCCCTTATCAGCAGCGTCGTCGATGCGACGCCGATGATAACCGCCGGCGATAGCCGTTGTTGTCATTGTTAAAATTATCGTTATACTCCGCCGGCTGTATACATTTCAACAACTGTCGACCGAATAATAATCGGCGTCGTAATAGCGGCCCTTTCTTCGGCGCTGCGAGGATGAAACTAAAGATACGTCCGTATTCTTAAGCATAATTCAAAAGAAAATAGACGATATTACAAAGGAGTTACACAAATGAAGAAACGGCGTCGCAAGTATCGTCACTCGTCTCTGCCAGTGAGGGACCGGGGCGGCGAGGAGGGGGGGGGTGTGAGGGCTGAAGGTGTTGCTGCGCACTCGAGCAAAGAAAAGAATGCAACTTCCAGTGTTATCTGCGCGCGGAGGAAGCCGTTTTGTCGAACAAAACGTGTTCGCTCGCAATCACTTCGGCGATGTGCGCGTGAACATGATTGTTGCTGTTGTTATTATCAATATTATTATTATTATTATTATTATCATTATTAACGGCGTCTGTGGCGATTGAAGTGGTTAAACGATTATCGCTTGGGATGCGCGCTCGCTAGCAAACAGCAGCGGGGGGAGAAAAACAGCGACGTCGTGAGGCGACACGAGACAGACAAGAAGACGACACGGTACGACTACAGACGGTTAGTCGAAAGAAAGTACAAAATATATGGACGCGTGCTTAGTGTGGGCGTGTGTATGAGAGTCTGTGTATGAACGTGTAACGCGTGTGAACTGAAAACGTGTGAAAGCCATTCGGGTGAGCCAGCTATCAGCTCGTTGGACACGTTGGATGCTCAGTGGCGGTTTCAGGCTCTGGTCTGCCAGCGCGACCTGGGATTTACCTCGGAGGAACCGGTTTAAAGTCTTGGCGGCGGGCCCAACGGCAGGGCCTGAGCCTGGCAGCAGCTTTGAGAGGCCCGGCTCGCCGGCGGGTTCGTTGTTGTTGTTGTTGTTTGCTGTTGAGGACGACGATGATGATGCTGCTCGTGCGTCTCCTGCCGCCGATGATGATGAGACGGCAGCTGGTGGAGACGCGACAGCAACCAGCGATTGCCGAGAAGACTCGACGACGATTGTTGATGCTGATGATGATGATGTTGTTGTTGTTGTTGTCGTTGTTGTTGTTGTTGCTGCTGCTGCTGCTGCTGCGGCGGCGGCGGTGCTGGTTGTTGTTGCTGACATTGACACGGGTATGGACATTGGCATTGGGACTGCGACTGGCACTGGCATTGATATTGGCGACTGGACCGGTGTTTTCGGGGCGGTGCTACCGGGACCTGCGGTACCGTACAGGTGGGACGATATGTACCACCAAAAACCCGGGCTCGCTGTGTGCCTACACGTTCAATGTTCAATACGTCGTTCACTCGCCTCATGTGATGACTCGGTTTCGGCTGCAGCCGGCGGCAGAGCAACTCTCGGCTCTTCCTCTCGTCTTCCTCCTTTGCGAACCTCCGAACCCACCGTACGTCTCCCATTCTCTCTCTCTCTCTCTCTCTCTCTCTCTCTTTCTCCTCGCGTGATAACGCGGTACGTGGACGACGTTCCTGAGATCGAAGATGCGACTCTCTCGAGCTCATTAGCATCGATCAATCAGCCAATCAACGGAAAAGTACACACGAAAGAGGAGCGCATCGCGTGACTTCCTTCGAGAACGCAACGCGAGGAGACGGAAAGAAGAGAAACGGAAAGAGAGAAAGCGGATCGAGCAGGGAGAATTGAAATCTAGAGCTGGCGCCGTTTCTTAGCCGCGATCTGCCGGCTCAGACAGATCCTCAGGCTCTCGGTCCTCAGGATCCTCGAAAGTATGAATCTTGAGACTCGACTCTTTGGGTGTGTCTGATCGCAAAGTCGTAGACTGAGGCGGGCAGACAATTAGTTTATAATTAAGAACACAGTAATCGGCAGAGGCAATCTTCAACGAGAGAATAGGCAGGCAGGCGAGCAGTAAACGATTCGGAGATGCACACGCGTTATAAAACCAAAAAACTGACAGAGAGAAGGAGAGGGGGAGAGAGAGAGAGAGAGAGAGAGAGAGAGAGAGAGAGAGAGAGAGAGAGAGAGAAAACTAAGTTATATCTCACTAAGAGAACGGATGCTCTATCGAAGTGTCAAACAATGGCCACGCATGAAAGAACGCTGCGAAGCTCGTCGTTAGAAAATTGCTGTAGAGTAATCTGTAGCGCAGTATACGTGTGAACGCGTGATTTTAATCCTCTAAGAATAAAATCGATCTTTGTGCGCGCGCGCGGCAAGCAATAACCGATGAATCGTACGCGCGTGACAAACCTTCGGGAAACATGCACGTGACGAGAACTTGTGTGTCCGATAAAACTCGTTGCGCACACACGCACACGCACAAACACTCACGCACGCATACTTGATGAAAGAGCAAACTGCTGAAGATCGCAGAAGCCAGTCGTGCGAGGTCATCCGCTTATCTGAATGCCGCAAGCCAAAAGAGTGCCATGCACATTACAACAACGTGTGAAACTCCGGAGGATCGGCCGATGGACGACGAGTCGCAGACGTTGAAGATGAAAGTCTCTGCTGCTTCGCTCGTCGCGGACTCGTCGTCGTGGCCGATCCTCCTTGCGCTTGTGATCGCGAGATTTTTGGAGCTTTCTAGAATTAAATTCTGTTCGCTCTGTGTGTGTTTGCGCGCGCACGCGTATGTGTCTATGTATGCACGGGTGTTGGCTGTGGGCGCGCGCGTGTACGCAAAAAGCATTGTGTGCATCCTAAGTGTGTCTATACTAAGGAGTATGCGAAACAGAAGTTGCTACGTTCTCGAAACGTGTTCGCTGGCAGGTATGATAACGGGCGGAGCACAGCGTTAAAAATCGGAAGAGTCCCGGAACAGTTATGTAACTTTGTGACATACACTTTATGATACATGATATATAATATATAATCCAAAGAGATCGCTTGAAGCAAATAAGAGAGGAGGAATGTACCTAGAAAGCTTTTTGTTAATAGTGAGTATCTTCTGTGTCCACTGCAGAAAACAAGATCCTGCTACACTCACCGATCGTCAGAAGCGATATTACACAGAGAAAAGAGATATATAAAAGGGAGTGAATAGAGAGTAAATATGTAAATGGCGGTATAATTTTACTCGACTTGGACTTTGGAGAGAGAGAGAGAGAGAGAGAGAGAGAGAGAGAGAGAGAGAGAGAGAGAGAGAGAGAGAGAGAGAGAAATAAGATTGTATATACGTAGATACATATCTCGTGAAAAACGGAAAGAGGACAAGCAAGATGTAGAGTATACTCGCGCGCGTTTCACGTACAATCAATACATTACTGTACCGGCAGACGTGACACGTATTTACTCTTACTTAACGTCTTTAACAGCCAACAAGATGTTGGGAAAATAGCGATACAACTGCGTATAATCCATCTTTCAAATATTCTGTGTATAAATCTACCTGTATAGTAATATATATGCAGAATGGACCCAAAAGCCTCGGAACGGCCAAATATCTCGGAAATGAAGCATTTTAGAGAAAAATGTTTCATGCAAAAGTGAAATTTGTAAAATTTCAGGCGATGCGTTACGTAGCAATATTAATATGACTTTGAATAATGTTGTCGAGGTTATGTAAGGTTCACTTTGAAATTTTTAAACAGATTTTTTATTATATTATCGTCTATCAATTAATTTCAACAACTCTGAAACATTTTTCTGTTTGCCTAATATTTTTTTAGATATTCAAAGAAAACTTGGAGATATCTCGGTAACTTTTAACTTGGGTAACTCGGTTAACTTTTGTTAACTCGATGACATTTTCAAAGGTCATCAAGTTAACATAAAGTAGGGCGCTATTGTAACAGTATATTCTTGAGACTAAACGGAGTAAAAAGATCTAGTATCACTTTTTCTCCCGACAAATAGTTACCGAGATGTCGCAAGCAAAGTATTGAAAAATTAAATTCAAAAATTAAATTCAAGTTCCTTAAATATCTCAAAAAATATTGGACAAATAAAAATATGTTTCTGACAAAAGTCGTTCAAATTAATTGGTAAAAAGAGATGATATGATAAAAAATTGGCGTTTCCATTACAAAATTTCAAAGTGATCCTCACATGACCCTGACGACATTGTTCAAGGTCATATTAATATCGCTATGTAATGCACCACTTGAAATTCTATAACTGACGTTTGCATGACATATTTTTCTTTAAGATGTTTTATTTTCGAGATATTTGGACGTCCCGGAACTTTTGGGACACTCTGTATGTACAATATACACGAATCTTAATCCTCTCAGCTCCAATTGTCACAGCGTGGTTTGACGTATCTAAATTTCTACGCGTCAGTCGAGTTTCAGATTCACCGACACATCCCTGCCGAATAGCGAATACAAAGGAATCGTGCTCACGTGTACATGGTTCCACAAATCACACTCTTACGTATATTTATCGCATATATCAACGCATATATATATATATATATATATATATATATATATATATATATATATAAATCGACGGACATGAATATATACTAGACTCTCAGATATACGTCGACAACGCAAAAGAATCGCTTCGGTATCTAAAACCGAGTGCATACGAAAGAAGAAAAAAAACTCGGGATAGCGATATCACGTGGTATCACAGGTGAGGGTGAGAGTGAGAGTGAGAGAGAGAGAGAGAGAGAGAGAGGGAGAGAGAGAGAGAGAGAAGGAAGAAAGTTATGTGATACTAACCATCATCCGAGACGTCGCCTGGGACACCTCGCTGCTGTTGCGACGGTGACGGAGAGGACTGCGAGAAATTGTGTACTTCGTGCAACGAATCTAAACTTCCATATCGAACCGGCGGCAGGCAAATCGACTCCATCGACGGCTGCAACGTCAACAAGAACGTGAGCGAATATAAAGTCGACGTTTGTATCAGACACATTATCAAACGACGGGTTAATAACGACGCAAATCGACTTACATCTTTATCAGTTTTGAATTTCTTAATAACACCGTTGTTCATCTTCTCGCCCAGCACGTTGCTCAGCTGATTGGTGGCCTGCGTCTTCTGGTGTATCGTAGGTTGCTGTTGCATGGCTAAGGACAACGGTGACCTCGTGGTCGACCGCGACCTGGAGTCTCGAACGGGTCGCTCGGACAGGTCCATCAGCGACTTGTCGGCGAGCCTCTCGTTCAAACCGGACAGACGTTCCGACAGGAGATTCGGTGACACCGTGGTGTCGACTATGCTGTCGAGCAGGTCGTCATTTTCCATCTCGCGTTTCGCCAATTGCCACTCCATCTCGATCCTTCGTCTCTCCTCCTCCCTCTTCTCGGCCTCGCGTTTCTGGCGATGTTGATCCCGCTGTAACATCGCTCGCGTCTCCTGCTCGAACCTCCGTATCCTCTCCTGCGTGGTCGCGCTTAAGCCGGCGTACGTTCGGATAGCAATCTCGTCATTCTCCTGCTTGGTCTGGTTAGACGCGCTGGACACGGTGGAGCTCGTCTCCGCCGAGCTCAGGCCGGTCTCGCTCGACAATCTCGGCGAGTCCACGGACGACGAATGAGTCGCGTACTTGGAGCGATTCGGCGACGCTCCGTTCGACGAGCCGCCATTCGTCGTAGCGTCGGCCGACAGGGATCGGTCGGGACGGTCCATATTGTGATTCGATTGATTCTTGCTCTCGTGCATCAGCACGATTTCACTGACGGAGCACTGCCGCTCGTTCAGGGCCATGCTCTGCCGAATCGTCGGCGAATTTTCCGTCTCCTGCTTCGCTTTCGCCTGTGTCAACAGAGATTGTTGTTAATGCATTGAAATGCAGACGCGACTGAATCACAATTGACACTAACCTTATCGCTGTCGTGTTCACCGTTGTCGATTTCGTCCTGTGTTTTTCGTCTTCTTTGTATCTTTTTGTTAGCTGCGGATATGATTGAAGATACAATGTCCCTAGCCGATGCCATGTCGCGCATGCCTGTTTTATCAAAATGAAAGAAGGCGAGCAAAATAAATACATTGCTATCGAAGCGAACGACGGCAATCCAGCGACAAATGAAATGTACAGCGAGCTCGAACAGTTATATCTTAAAAGCGCTAATGATACCGACAATGAACGCAAAAAAAAACAAGGCTCGCGTTTGTGATGAGTGTATAGTAAACAAGAAACGAGAAGCGCGTACACGAAGAAAGAGCAACTGATTAATCTAAAGTACCTTCAATTTTCTGAATGTTATTTAACAAAAGACTATGGTTAGTGTTGGATGTGGGTTCGACCTCGCAGCTATCGGCTGGCAGGCTCAAATTCACGCTCAATCTGCTCAAGTCGTCCAAATCGTCCTCCGAGAAGAACCAATCAACCTGTTAGAAACAAAAACACGCATCGGTCCATTTAAAGCATCAATTAGACGAGAAGAGATAAAATGCGCGACGCACATGGAGTCAGTGTTGAGAGAACTTACGTTATTCAGCAGATTCTCCACTATTTTACACTGATGGGACATGTCGTTAACCATGGTAACCATATTGTCTCTTGAGCCACTCGCTCGCACCAGTGTCGGCCCGAAAACGATCGCCAAATTCTTGGCCTCCATCTTGTTGGTTTCACTGTGCTCCACTATCTTCTTCAGATGCAGCATCAGGTGCTTCAACGTCTCAAAGTGATGCTCCGGGAGGTCTCTCAGCAGCTTTCGTATCGTGGTCATCCTTCTCTGCGGATCTTCTATCTTATCGGCGTCGATAAACATGGGATACAGTTCAGCTGTGAATAAGGAGTCGGGGAGTTGGCGGAAAAACGACTTCAGCAACGACGAGATCACGTTGACGTCGCTCCATCGTGGATCCTGAACAGACACAGTTTGCGTAACGCGAGCGTGTAACCCAAGGGAATAGCGTGTGTCGCCAGGACCAGCTACTACGTCGGACACAGTACCTGAAAGTTCACGTTGTTGAATCCGCTGTTAACGCTGTCCGTAAGTTGGGAGATCGCTGCAGTGTTTCCGGGCACCCGATAGATCCCCACGACCTCGAGACCTCTCGCTTCGACGATCCTCGTGCATATCTCGACGATCATTGGCACATCGGAATCTGGAGCACGCGGGCAAAGCTCGAGCGGCACTTTAAAGGTGGCTCCTTCAGGTGGTAATTGCGCCGTGGGCGACGAAGGTGCACCAGTCTGACCATGCATCCTCCTGAACTGCTTCGCCATCCTTCCCTTCCAAGTCTTCGACTTGGGCGACGGTAAAGGCTCCACCGTTTGGCTCGGCTTGCGCGTCTTGTTCACCGGCGACTGACCGGTTGGCGACCGATTTCTGAAGGACGTTAACTTCTTGATGCCCTTGTGGCTCGGCAGGGGACTCAATCTTTGGTTGTTGCCGGGGGAAACGGCGGCGTTACTGGAAGTTGTCGGACCCGTCGGAGTTTGCGGAACGGCTTGCTGCTTCGACGTGCAGGATGCGACGTCCTGATGCACAGAAACGTGGAATGTCAGTACCGTGGAGTCTTCTACCTCGGGTGACGGTTTTGCAGCGCACAAAACGATGTTCTATAATTAATACTCACCGATGATCTTTCTGCGGCGGCCTGAGAATGAAGTGACCTTAACCAGAGTGCCATGGACGCCGCATCCTCCGTTTGTAGAAGCACTTCCGCCGTGGGATTTGCTATTCGCAGCACGTGTTTCCGCTTCGTATAATCCTCGGCGACGTCGACCACGGAACACCTGACGTCGACAGTTTGTCCGGCATTCGCCTCGTTCTCGGTGCTCAACGAAGGACTCTGCATCCGGAAAATGCAAGTCGAGTCAATTGTCGCGCTTTGTTTGGCGAACGCTCGCTGACACATATAATATAAGCGGTACGATTTGTCGCGAGATATTATCGTTTGAAAGACGGCTCACCTGACTGTGACGATCCTTGTAGAAATATATTATAGGACCACGGAGGACACCCCAGACCTGCTTCCAGGAACGATCGGTAGATCGCTGTAGATGTCGTTAAATCAATTAAAAGTTGGATAACTTAACATATGTATATATATAATGATTGGTATAAAAAGATACTAACATAAAAAGTACACGACGGATGACTGAAATGTTAGGTTTTTGCAATCTCACCTTGCCATCGAGCACTGTGAATTTAACATGAAGGGATCCCTCCTGTTCCACCGGTTCAACGTCCTTCGCAGTTCCATCGCAACTGTTGGACGTATCGTGCGCAACAGCGATGCTATTACTGGAAAAGAAGAAAAAAGCACTTGTCAAACGTGCCGCTGACAAACGCGTGGGAACCTTTCGGAGAGTATCTACCCAGCTACGACAGCAACATCATTCGCAAGTTCAGAGACGACGGAAAGAACGTTTGTCGTGGCATCGACTCCGACGATCGCTGACCGATCATGGACTACTATTCGTGCGAGCCCTCGTCTTTTCCCTAAATCGAAAACGACACCGACACAACATCGACGTCACATCGATCTCCGGTTTATTAGTGTCATTCCGTTAGTAACAATCAGCCAATAAACCAACGTCCGAGAAGACACTAATAGATCTACATTGCCAAGTAGTTCAGGACATGGCATGGAAACACGTACGATCACAATGTGGTTTTAATACACAAGTATTAGAGCAGGAATGTGTCTCCGACATCACGCGGACACGAGTCCCTTATCACAGTAGGAATAATAAACAAGGATATCTTATCTAATGCCACTCATCAACAATTAACGCATACTACAACGGGTTGCGGGTTCGCGACACACGCATATGTATTCCGTCCGTATCTCCGTCGCGGGAATTATCGCTCCACTGGCTCGTTTTTCCGCACGATCGTATCCTCTTTTCCTTTTCTTCTACGCGAGAGACACTCTACGTCGTGATATTATTTTTAACGACGCTGAGATACGTTGGAGAGAGGAGAGATGATACGCGAAATTGCGCGAAACTCTCATGCTTGTACGCCGTTACGCCGCGATTCCGTTTGTGTCCTACGACCGGCTGGCTAAAGCTAGACAAGAAGACAGCGCAAACTTCAACACAGAAACGAAAAGTGGATCGAGAAAGAAAGAGAGACAAGGGGAAAGAGAGACAAGGGGAAAGAGAGAGAGAGAGAGAAAGAGAGAGAGAGAGAGAGAGAGAGAGAGAGAGAAAAGAGGAGAGCAAAATATACATCAGCCGGGGAGGAGAGAAACGCGGAGAAAGACTATAGAGAGGAAATGTACGCAGACAATGCAGCTTTTCCCGTGCTTCTCAAGAGGATTCCGCTCTCACCGATGATGAAAGTTTCGATGCAAGGACGCGGCCTGTGTCATGTCCTCGAAGATGCGTCGCAGAGGCGTTATGTCGCTCGGAAATAACGGTGGTCGCCATCGTCTATGCGCACTGGAAACATGGACATGAACGGCTGCAGCTGCCAACTATACTTACTCAACATTCAACAACGCGTAGGCGAAATCGCACACCTTTCGATAGGGGGGAGAGGGGGAGGGATGAGAGAGGGAACGAAACCATATCGTTTCGTCTTGCACGAGCAACGACACGAAGATGAAGAGACACGGGAGAGCCGGGACGATCTCCAAGAGGAGAAGACAACGGCTGCTCTTTTTGGAAGAGTCCAATAAAGAACGATCAAGCCGCAGCCCCAGCAGGCTAGTAGCTCGGAATTCGCACAACGTCACCGTGGCATCAGACTCGCACTGACATATCACTCGGGATTATTTACCTCCTGTGCATGTGGACTGGTTCGGTGTCGCTGAGCTCGAGATCGCTGTCGACGTGCATTCGTTCGCTCCATGTCGCCTTCAGATACGAAACCCGCCTGGTAGCTCGATCCTCGTCACCTATTCAAACAATTACGTCAATTGTAATTCCGCGCGCTATAGTCGCGCGCATACAGAAAGCGTCATTCCGTCGAGGAGCCTCCGAGAAGCAGAGCGGTACTCTCTCTCTCTCTCTCTCTCTCAATAATTTCGATGGAACGTGCTTCTCCGCTGTACACCGTTCAACACTTGCGTTGTAATTACATGTAACGTTAAAAATACCCCGTCTTCTCGTTTACTCACTGATCTGTGCATTCTTCTGTCGCCTGAGCACGACGCCGTTCTTGGTCGAGCCGTTGGGCGAGGAACCATTAACCGGTGCTGAAAGAGAAATCAATGGGACGATTATTAACGCTTCATGCTCGACCTTTATGTAACGCAGATACATAAAGATACATTAGATACGTTAGATACGTGTGAGTGACGCGTCGGTAAACCGCATATCTGCGAGACGTGATAACGTCGCACGAGGAGGAAGCAGCGTGGAGGTAGTATCGTAGTAGAAAAAAAAATTAAGAGAGAGAGAGAGAGAGAGAGAGAGAGAGAGAGAGAGAGAGAGAGAGAGAGAGAGAGAGAGAGAGAGAGAGAGAGAGAGAGAGAGAGAGAGAGAGAGAGAGAGAGAGAGAGAGAGAGAGAGAGAGAGAGAGAGAGAGAGAGAGAGAGAACTAACCGACTTGCATCTTCGCCGAATGTCCCGTCAGGTAATTGTCCTGCTTTCGCGGCTTACTGTTGTCCTCGGTGCTGCTCCGTCTCTCCGCGAAATCTTCCTCGGCGGTCTGCCACGTGTGCCTGGCGCTTCCTCGCGCCGGACCGTTCGTAGCCTCCCAGGATTCGACGCTGTTGCTGCGCGCCCTCAAACGCACCGACTCCGTCTCCATGATGGGCATCTCTGCTGGAGATTACGACGTGTATTATTATCGTTATCGTTATTTTATTCAGCGGACTAAATATCGCTTAACATTCATCGCTTTGTTAATGATCAACGGAAGTGCGACACGGCGCACACAGCGTGCTGTGGTTGTAATAGCCGCCTAAACAGAAGAGCAAAATATCGGAGATGTAATTGTCACTTGGGGTTACCGGTGTGTAGCATAAAAAAGCTCGTCGACAAAAAGCGCCGTGAGAGCGTACGTGTGTAGCGTATGTGTGAGGGGAGGGGCAGTTAAAACGTCCCCTTTGTCATAATGCCGTCGGTGCAAATTCCGGTCCCATAGGCTTCATCTGGTTATTCTCGCTCGAAAGCAAGTTCGGGAGTGAAATCGCGTATCTCTTCTGGATGGTTTGCGATGAATTATCGTGTGTGACCGATCTCTTCCTCGCGATTTGCCTCTCCTTCTCCCGCGCGCCGTTACAAACTCAGTTAGAGAAGCCGACAACGAATAAGAAGCGTGATAGAGTGAGGTGTGATAAGTGCGCGCTAAACGTCATTATTATTATTATTATGTCATCTTCTCGAGAATGAAGTACCCTTATGAAATATCTGCATTCTGTCAACGATACGTCGCGCATTCACACAAAAGGCAAATTAATCGCCAAGATACACAGGACGTAGCTGGACAAGACGACACTGCACAGACAATGGGACACAGCTCTTTGATGTTTTATCTACCTTTACTCTCTTTATAGTCAGCCGGCGGCTCACAATGGATATGTTTGCTGCCTATAGGAATTATTCTGTTGCCTTTCGATACTGCACCTAAATGATGACTGCACTTGTTTACTGAGCATTACTGAGAATCGTCGTACTGCGAATGCTACGTTAGATATATAATTTGCGAAATACACAAAAACTATGCGTTCGATTCTCTCGCTTAAGTCGCCAAGCGTCACTACTCGCTTAACACGTAAGAAAGGGTATAATTCGACGCGGCGAGTGATAAAGATTATGTCTGCACCGCGGCCTCGCGGCCGCAAACATACCAGTGTCGAGAGACTTGGTCTCCCTCGACGGCAGTCTTCTGGATTCTTGACTCTCAGCCTTGGACTCAAACTCCCTTTTCCGCACAGCTACGTTTGGTACGTTCCTCGTATTCGACAATCTGGACAGTTCGCTCTTGTAAAGATTCGTCCGATCGCTAGCAGGCTCGTCCTCGTCGCTCAACAGACGACCGGACTCGAACTGCTTGGCTCGTCTGGAAACGATCTGCAGACCCTGCGGCGGCACCGGAAACTTCGTCTCTCCGGGCTTCTTGTCTGGTCCCGGTGAAGACGGCAATGATGAGGTGCCGTTTCTCATATCCTGATTTGCGATCGCGCCGACCGTGCTCGTGACGTTCTCGTGTATCCTCGACAGGGTGTTAATGAAATTGGCCTTGCTCATTGCGCGATATTGTTGCTGTTGCTCCGGAGCCGCTTTACCGGAGCCGCCGCCGTGAGCATTTGCGAGGTAAGTCTCCTTCGCGAGCTCGTCGTCGTAGAGAAGCGAGTAACAGTGATCCCCGGCGACGGGCTGATCGTCGCCGACGAGCTGTTGCTGATCGCCTCGATCACCTTGCGACTTGGTGTACTCGGAGTCAGAGTCCACGTCCTTTATCCTCTGCACGCTCTGATTCGACGGCTTGCCCCCTGCCAGGTTCACGGTGGACTTGGGTATGCTCCTACCATCCATGGAGGATTGTCTTCTTGTGGGAGATTGCTGTCGCTGTTGCTCGTTGCCGGGCGGCCAGATCGGTCTCTGCAGTTTCTGCGGTCTCGCGTAGAACTCTCTCTGGATCACAGCTTGATTGAGACCGTTGCTCGCTTGAGATCGCGGCAACGACGTCGGCTCGGAGGTTGCGTCGTTTCCTGAGACGAACCAGCCGATAGGGTGACTCGGTCGTCGCAGGAATTCCGCCTTCTGCTCGAAACTCTTGCGCAGACGGCTCATAATGACGGAATCGTCGGAACACTCGTTGCCGGTGAGAGTCGAGTTCGAGTCGTACGGCGACACGCTGTCCTTGCTGACGGGCGATGAGTCTCGTCTCGACTCGATGCTCAGCCGGCTGGAGCCAGGCTCGCTCGACCTCAACGCGTCGAAGCTGCCGTAGCTGGCAGTCTCGGAATCGTGTTTCATGCCGCTGACATTGCTGCAGCCGCTGCCTTCGCTGGCGCGACGCGCCACCATCCTCTTCGTCGGCCGGTAGATCGGCACCTGCGGCTCCGCGTGCGACACCGGGTAACGCAGCAGAGACGAAGGCTGGTAATGATGAAGCGATTGCAGCTGATGGTGATGATGCTGGTCATTGGCGAAGCACGTTTCGTTGACACGCACGCGCTCGTAAATCGGGTCATTGATCCGATCGTAGATCTGCTCGTTACTCGGTCTCGAGTACACCGATTCGGGGCGAGTCCTGTCGTACAGATCGTATCTCGAATCCTGGGACGAGCGGCCGTACATCTGCGAGCCCGACGTGACATCAGTTGTCTCGTGCAGAGACTGCAGATTCCTGGCTGCCGGTGGAACCATGTCATCCGACGGGTCGTAGAGCGCGCCAGCGATCTGCGCCTCCGTAAGCGGCTGCTGAATCTGCTGAGCGCGACGATACGGCGAGTCCGTCGACATCGACGGCGCCATTCGGCTGTTGTTGTCGGCGAACGCTTGCTGCTGCTGCTGCTGTTGCTGTTGTTGGCTCCTACGGCTCGCCTCCTCGTGATTCGGATGCGATGACGACGAAGACGACGATGACGGATCAGACGCCGGACTATCGGACGACGGCAGAGAACAGACCCAGGACTGCCGCGTTCTCTGTGACGGGCCTGGGATCATGCTGATCGATCTGCGTTGCTTCTGGGACAATCTCTCCGGAGAACGCAGCCGCGGACGTTGATTCGTTTCCGGATTGTGCGCCGTCTCGCCAAAGTACTACAAATTCACGTTACACTTTTAAATGAGCTGCTCCTTTCTATTAGAATCGCATTGACTTCGCAAATGGCAACAAACGAGACAAAATTCCCGGGAGCAAGCGTCGTGATAAAAGCAAGTCGCCAAACGCGATCTCGTACCCTCTGTAAGATATCGTCCTCCTTGGAGACTACGAGAAGCCGCAGCCACGGTCCAGCTTGCTGAATACGTTGCACCACGCTGGCGTATTGCTCGCCACGGGTGGGCGTTCCGTCGACGGACACAACGCGATCACCAGTGCGCAAACCCGCCTCGGCCGCCGGTGAATTTGCTCGGACTTGCTTCACGAAGATCGTGTCCATAGGCTCATCGATCTTCGTCCGTTCGTGCCCTGGCAGCATCTGTAACAGTCATGACATGGTGCTCATGGTGTTGGATCGGGATTTTCTTCAAGCACTTCAGAGTGCTCACGCCGCGCTCGTCTATCCAGGATACTCACGCAGCAGGACTCGGGCGGATAGACGATGAAGTGCCGCAGCGTGAATCCGTAACCATTCTCACCGTGCCTCAGCAAGAGAGTCCGAGGACCGCGGGGCGGAGTGTTCTCCTTCTGGACGTACCTGGAGGACGACGTCTGGCCCGAGACACCGCTGGACCCAGTAGCCGGTCCAGGTGCAGGCGGCGGGGGAGACAAGTGCCCTACCTGCGACGTGCGATATTACGATTGATTGACGACTCTCTCTCGAGAAAAATTTCCAATTATTATTTCGCTACTTCCCTCGCCGCTTATTTGCGCTTTCTACTCGGTGACGTGCAAACCACTCCTCGACTCTGATCTCGTTATCTCGTTATCTACCATCTAAAGTCGATGCCGATAAGCGTACGCGCGAACAACAAGTGAAGAAGTCGTGAAAATACACACAGACGCACGCACACGCGCATCTCATCAGTTTGCCTCCAAGTTCGCAAACATCGCCGCCCCCCTTCCCTCCCCTACCCCCTCCGCAGTCGTTCAATATCGAAGACTATTATATATATATTTATCACCGCTTCCCCCTTTCTTTCTCTCTCTCTCTCTCTCTCTCTCTCTCTCTCTCTCTCTCTCTCTCTCTCTCTCTCTCTCTCTCTCTCTCTGTCTAATTACCGAAATAGGATTCCGTACTCTCGCGAAACGAGAGAGTATTTGCGGAGACATCGATCGAGCTCCTTCCTTCCCCCCCCCTCCTCAGGACTTGTACCGTCTGGATGGACCGGCGACCAGAAAACGCGGTGCAACGCGAAAAAGCGGCAGACGGAGAGCTGTGGACGTCCGCCAAGAATTATTCCAAGCCGACCCCGAAGAGCGGAGGCGGAGCTGGAGATGTCGGCGAGAGGAGAGCGCGTTCTCGCTCTTTCGCGGTGGGTTGAATAAAGTTTGGCGAGCCGCCAGGAAGTAGCCGTGCTCGAGTTGACGGTAATGCGCACCTAAGATCGAGACGAGCGGAATTCCGGCCGTTCGAGGCGGATTTCTCGCCGCGCGCGCGCTTCGGGGCGCTTCGGCGAGAAAAGAAAGAGAGCAGGAGGAGCGGAATCGAGGCATCACGCGGAAGCGCGAAGGGAAACTGCTATGTCGCGTGAAATCGAGACGAATATTCTCGCTCCGCACGTAGCGCGATATCCATTTGAAAACGCACGGGGGGGGGGGGGAGAAAAGGAGTAAAGTGAAACTAAAGGCTGGACCACAGAGTTAGCAGCGCGAGAGTCGACGATAACAGACGTGCCCCTTCCCCTCCCTCCTCCTCCTCGCCCGTCCCCCCGTCGCCGCGAGCGCGAGACCGGTCGCCGTATTTCGCGGTTTTCCGCGTTATCTAATCCGCTCCGACACGTTTCACGCGCGTGTACCGGCGCGCGGCTATCGCGTGTTCCGGAGATTGCTTCTCGCCCGTGTAATTAAACGAGTCACGGCTAATAAACGATCAATTAAGCCTTGAGTCGCGAGTTGAGAGAAAAGGAGGAAAAGAAGTGAAGACATTTAACACGGTTAAACGTTCAGCGAACACGTCCGACGGAGGTGGATTCGTCCATTCGACGTCTTCGACCGTGCGCGTCGTCCCCGAACAAGCGGGACAAGAGCGACGCGACGATAAAGGGATCCAATGGGTGCGTTGACAAAGCTCAACAGTTGAGCATCCGATGAGTGAGCAGTAGAAATGTACACTGAACGCAAGCCCGATCAGTTTCGCTCGCTTTTGTTGCGCGAGAAAAATGTGAGATAAACTTACTGAATATTACAGCCCGTCTACATGCTTATGTGCCTTGTAATTATTAAGTATTTTTATAAATATAATTCATATGTGTCTGTTACAATGTATTCTACACCATCCTTGACATTCTCCGCTATGCAGGATGCTATATTTCAAACGTAGCAAGTAAAAAAATCTCGAAAACTATGAAAGATATTAAAAAAGGCTAAAACACGTGTTCCATGATTTCAAAGAGGAAAGAGAATGGCATTGTCAGTTTTTATTTGGAGGGCATTTTCAAGATCAGTTGAAGGTCAACTTAATTTTTTTAAATAGAAGGCCCAATTTTTTATTATATCTTCTTCTTCTACCAATTAATTTTGGCAACCTTCGTCTGAAACATCTTTTTATTTGCCTAATATTTTTTGAAATATTTAAGGAAAACTTGGACTAACTTTTTCAACATTTAACTTACGATATCTCGCTAACTATTCGTCGAAAGAAAAAATAGTATTGGACTCTTTTACTTGATTTACTATCAAGAATATATTACTATAACAGTGCTCTAACTTTTGTTAACTTATCGACTTTTGGAAATTTCAAAATTATTAAATTTTGATTATTTTCTTTACTCATGAGCTGCGTGCCATATTGGATCGGAGACTGATCAGTAAAGGTAACGACGAATATTTATGATGAGAAAAATGGCGACCGCTCACTCAACATGTTGCGAGTGAGCGCATCGCTCAGTGGCGTTCAGGACGAAATCACTCAACAGTTGCACAACCGTTGAAGTGTCGTGAACGCACCCAATTATATCGAGATTCGTCGCACGAGCGACACTTTCCGGTGCTTCCGCGATTTTCCGGCGAGTTCCACGACGGCGAAGTCGGTCGGTCGGATGCTCCCGTATGGAAAACAGATCCGAATGCGGCAGCGACGACGACGACGATGACGATGATGACGACGACGGCGACGATGACGACGACGGCAACCACAATGTAGGTCAGAAGAGAATAGGCGTTGTCAACGCTAAGTGGGTCACCGAACCACCGGTGCGGAGCTCTCGGTCAATAATTACACGGACACGCGCGTCTTCGGACACGTCGCTGCTCCACTCGCCATCGCGTTGTCGTCGCGAATCGACATTCGATATCGCGTGCGTGAAATGTGTCCTATCGCTCGGCAGACAGCAGCGAGGACGAGGACAAGGCCAGAGGATGAGGGTGGCGCGGAGCGTGATTGAAGAGGAGGTATGCTCGCAGTCGCTCGGGATGAGGGAGCGCAAGGTCGACGCGTGATCGACGAGAGAGATAGAGAAAGAGAAAGAGAGAGAGAGAGAGAGTATGTATGTGTGTGTGTGTGTGTGTGTGTCAACCAAGTCGTTTGCTCACCCTCTCGGAGTCGCGAGAGTCCCTCATTTCAGCGGTGCACCCGGAGCGGATAACTCGACGGCCGATCGCGGCTCGCGATTCATTGACATGTCCGCGCGCGAGAAGAGAGCCGCGAGCGGGCGTAAAGAGCGCGTAAAGAGAGGACGACCCCTCTTCGCGAGTCCCTTCCAGACACACGCTTAGGCGGCGACCTCGCCTAAAGTGTAATCAGCCGTTAGCCGATCGCAAACCGGTTCACACCGCCAACGCTCTCGCGCGCGCAGTTCTCATCTTTGATTCGCAGTCTGTTATCCAGCTCGGCTTGACCGCGATGTGCGCCGTTTCCGCCTTCACCGGCGGCGGCGGCGGCAGCGGCGGCGGCGGCCGCACGCGGTGAAGGCGCGCAGTTCCGACGTCGATAGCGCCGAGTTCCGGTGCCTCCGATCGACTGCTGTTACGTAGGCCGCTTCGCTCACTCGCAGGAAATGTACCTTTCCGGCGAAGTTCCGCTGCACGTCGCGCGACGACGCCCCTTCCGTCATCAAGGTTCCTCACGCACCCTCCCGTGCGCGCGACTGCCTCGCTCGAAAACCGGGGCTTTCCTACTGCTACTGCCCTTCGCCTCTCTCGGGGATCGCCGCGGATCAACGTCGCGAGTCGTCGTCAGCACGAGTGATTTCGGCGGTTCTCAATTCGCAGCCTGAAAACGCAGGCACGCAGCGCACAATAAGCGCCGTGCGACGGCCGACGACCGACTCTCCGGTGGCTTCCTGGAGAGTGAAAGTCGCGCCGATAGTGTTCTCCTCGGCTGGACGACGAGCCCGGCCCGGCCCGGCCCGGTCGGTCGATTCTCTTAGCTGCCGTTGCGGAGACGTTGAGCTTCACCCACACGTGCGGTCGAAAGTCAATAGACGTCGCGATGCGACCAGGTCGAAATATGCGGCCCCTCGGGCCGCATTCAAGTGACACAATGAATTGCCGCGAGGCGAGGCGCGGATAACCGGTCGCTTTACTCTCGCACGGCCCCTGGGCCCTATTTATGGGATTCTATTTGCGTCGAGATGGACCCAGCTTCATTCGCGACGGCCTCGAGACGAGGAGGAGGCGGTTTCGCGCGATCGGCCGAAATCGGCAGCTCGTCGAGGCGCGCGTGCGCGCGCGCACCTCTCGATGTCTTCCTGCTTCCGATAAATTTCGCGCACTGCGACGCGCGGCGTATTCATCTGTCACTCGGAAGAACACTCGCAGAAGGACTCGGACAGTGCGCGAAGTCTTCCCCTTCCGCCTCGGTGCCACGCGGACAAAATTGTTCTCGCTTTACGCCAATCGTCGCGCACCGTTCGGCCGTTTTCTTCGTATCTCGCGCGCGGCACCGCGCTAATACCATTCAATACGAGATAGCCCGCGCGCGTACAACGCGGGCTTATATAATTTCGCTCTGCAGGGTTCTTACGTAAGAAACGCGAGACGCGAGACGCGAGCCGCGAGAGCTCGACGACCGACGCGAGCGAGCCGGCACGGCGGCTTCCAACTCTTTCCCGGCGGCATTGAAAACGGCGTCGACGTCGGGGCTGCGTCGGCTGCTCTTTTCATGCCACTCGCGTCCGTTTGTCCTGGCCGGGTGTCCGCCTCGGTGAAAAGCTCGCGAACGACGAGTATCATCCTCCTCGACAGGCAGCTTCTATAAATTCGCCCGTGCGCGCCCGAAGAGCGTTTCCCGAGCGTCGGCCGCGCGCGCGCGCGACTTCGGCGGGCGCAAAAATAACGGGAAAAGTTGACCTCGTCCGCTCGCTACGTCTTCCACTTCTGGCTGTCTTGTATCACTTGTTTGTTGATCGTGTTATCGTTGACCTTCCTCCGAGAGAGAGAGAGAGAGAGAGATCATGATTCAAACGATCGCGAGAATTATCGAGACGCCGCGCCGCGGGGACACACACGGCTCGCGTGTAATTGCGAGACGAGAAAAAAGGCCGGCGGCAGAAAAACGCGCTTTATTACGACGCCTTTTTCATCATTATCTTCGCACGCCTTGATTCATACTTCGTCGAGTTATTCCCGCACGTTGAGACACACACATACACACGCACGCATGCAACAGCCACTTGTGGTCGATCGGCGCGGTCTTGAGAGAAAAAAATAAAAGAGAAACACGTCCTCCTCATCGAGCGCACTGCCGATCGTCGTCGTCGTCGTCGTCGGACGTGCCTCGAATCGAGGCGACAGCCACGGGCGCCTTAATGAACGCGTCGCGTTTGACAAGCAGAACGCTCGTCCACGGCGTGACGCGACCTCGTCGCCGCGTGTCGCCAAAAGAAAATGAGAAAGAGGTCCGCAAGCGACCAAGAGCGGCCAGCCAAGGCTTCGTCGCGAGGCAAAGTCCCGGACCGAGGGAGCGAGTCATCGAGACCGCGTTGAAGACGACGGCTGAAAAGAAGGGCGGGAAACGCCTTCTCGCGAATCTTGTGTCGCGGCGATGACGATGACGACGGCGGCTCATGATCTCTCTATTCGCGATTCGATCTCTCCTTTGGCCGCGAGCCTCGCAGACCTCGTCAATCGCCGAGGTCGGCAACGAGCGAACCTCGTCGCCCTTTAAAGCGGAACGCATCTTCCCTCGTCGCGGCGCCCCCGCTTCATCATCCGATAAGACCACGCACTGGCGACGCACACCACGTCGTTCTCTCCCTCCCGCCTTCTCTCGCGCGCTCTCTCTATTTCTCTCCGACCGGATTTGCGTCATCGCGGACAGATTCAGGCGTACACACGGTGGGTGGACTAATCGGAGAAGCAATCGATGTGCGATCATTGTGGCGAGAGAGCATGCTACGCGATTATGCCATGGGTCAGCGCGAGAGAGACGAGAGAGAGTGTTCGTCCCCGAGTGAAAAAATTAATAAGGCTCTGGTAAGAGTCTGTTTATTTCTTCCTAACATCAATCGGGCCCTAGTAGGGATAGAAAGACAAGGGCCCTATAAGATATGTAACAAATGGTCCTTAAGGCAATAAGGCAATATTATGAGGACCTTATAAGGCAATAGCAATAGGGCCTTATAAGGCAATATTAATAGGATCTTATGAAGAAATATTTTTATTATTGCTTGAGTAAAAATATTCGTCCTTTTCACGCCAAGAAATTTAGTCTGTGATTTCTTTATTTCTTTATAACAGGGTTTCCCAACCTTTTCTGTATTTCGCATCCCTAAAAATTTATTAATGAACCCCCTGCAAAAGAAATTATTCATGTCTTGTGGCAAAAATTAGTTATTAGGCTTTTAAAGTGAGAAGTTAATTTTTAATAATTTATCATTACACAGTATTATTTTATAGAAAACTATCATTTTGATATTATAAAATTATTATCCACGATATTAAGCTTCGCATAGTGATATGTAATGAATATATACGGTACAGATACGTAAGAAATATATAATTTTAATAGTATTTTTTTCTTAATTTGATGGTAAAAATGCCGGATTATTCCAAAATTCATCTTAATCATTATTAATTACAATCACTTTTCCTCGCACCCCCAGGGGGTGCGAGCACCTCCGGTTGGAAACTCCTGCTTTATAACCTTGTTAGTATACAAGAGTTTTTTATTTTAAAAATACAGCATACTTTACAATAAAATATACCATTCTTTACGTATAAAAATCCTGCTACTGTTTTTGTTAAAGTTTCAACTGCATTTCAAAATGAAAGCAATATTAGAAAAATCCTTGGAAGAGACTAATGAATATGGTAACTAATAAAACTAATAAAATGTTTTTAATTGCGGTCTAATTAAAAGAATCTTTAAAAGAACCAGACAGAGCGTATCTACTGAAACAATACTAAACTATAACAATTTTATTACACGTTTCAGATCTTATTAATTTTCTATAACAAAACTTGATTTTGTACATCTAAAGCATCTTTGAAAGATCCTCCTAAGGCCCTCATCAGTTTTCCTTATCAAAGCCTTATTTCGTAAAATCCAAGGTATCCCTAAAAGATCCATCTTGGGGCCTGTAATAATAATGAATCATCCCTCTCTAAGGCATCCTATTTCCAGCCTCATCGGGGCCTTATGCTTCACGAGGATGGCCCTAATTTCGATTTCTCGCTTGGGTCCACGTGTTCACACCTCCAGCGAACGCTGGCAAAATTAGCCGCGCGGAACCTGCGGGAGAAATGCACAATGCGAGCATTGTGGGCCAGCGCAGCTCGCAGCCGCGAGCTGCGCGGAATAAAAAGCGCAACGACAACATCAATTATCGCCGCGGCGGCCGCGCGACAGGTGCGCGCGCGTCTCGTTGTCAGACGCGATTTATGTTTATCGTTTTTGTCTCGCCGACGAGCGGGAGGGAGGAGCGCGAGCGGTCGTTCGAAATTTACTCGAGGAAATTCAACTCGCAGGCCGCGTCGCGTCGCGTCGCTTGTCAACACCCCGCTTCGGCGAGACTTCACGCTCCGGGTGTTCGCCCGATGCGACCGAGTGCCTTCGTCGGCCGCTTCGCCCGTTCCGGCGCGCCGCCCAGACGGACGATAAAGTCTCGGATTTTGGAAAGTTCCAACCTCGGGAAACCCACGCGTCCGTCCGTCCGTCCGCCTCCGGCTGCGACCTGCGAGCGATATCTCCGTGTCTCGGTGAGAACGCGCGAGAAATCACCCTGTCGACACTGTATCCTTAAACAGCGTGAGCGCTCGCGCGCTCGCGCTGAAAAATGCTTTATTTGCTCTGCGGCATAACACTCTCTCGGCGGACTATTTTTAAGCTGCTTATTTATGCAAACTGCTACCGCGCGTTTGCTACCGCAACCGGAGTGGTTTACCGCACTCTCTCCTTCTCTCGAGATGGTTTACGTCGAAAATCATCGAGGGATCCCCGGTCGCCCTGCGGCCGGCGATTTATCTCTCCCGCCGAGCGAGGAACGAGCGCAACAAGCCGGTCGAATCGCGTACGCATCGGATATGCGACCGGTCAATTTTCGACGACGACAACGTAGGAAACCGCGAGGTTGCTTGCTTCGTCCTTGTCTCCTCATTCGTCAAATAGATCAGCGAGAGCGTCTAATTTCTCAAACGCGTCATCGTCGTCGTCGTCGTCAGTTGGAGCCAGCAAGGGAATCCCGATGAGCGAGTGCCGACGTTTTGTTTGGCGGAAATGCAGCTGGAGCATGTCGATTCTCAAGGAGAGGAGAGGGGGCGGAGGGTTTCCCGATTGGCGGGTTGAGAACCGTTGCTCGCGAGACGAGACCGCGGCAACGGCCAAGTATCGGAGGAGCGCATTCCGGCTAAAAATTCGCGCTCGTCGAGGAGAGATAGCGAGCGAGCGAGAGAGAGAGAGAAAGAGAGGATTCAACCACGTGCTCGTATTCGCGAATACGACGCGCGGATGTATTTCGGCCGCGTTCCCTCTCTTTTCGCGCGTCTCTCTCTCTCTCTCTTTCTCTCTCCAGCTTTTCTAAAATTACCGCGAGGATTCCGCGTCGCCGCGGGATATGGCGCGGCCGATCGCGTATCGCGTATCCGTCCGCGAAAACGCTCGCCGTTAATCGTCCGCCACCGCATTGGCCGGCCGCCTCTGTCTATCGGCGATTAGGGAACACAGGCGGCGTAACTCACCACGTGCGACTGCCTGACGAAGCTCCGGTGGTTATTTCGGTCGTCAGCCATTGCGCCTTTTCCTGAAAGCGAACACATGCGAGATATACATTACAGCGATCGGGCAATTTTCAAATTTTCAAATTCGACGGGCGGCTCCCGTGAACCGCGCGGCGCGAGCGCTTCGAGCGGTCTTCGTCGTTCCGCGCCAACGGAAGATGAAAAGGAGCTCTCGGCGAGACAGCGTCGCGTGCAGACGCGCGTCTGCGAAATACGAGACCGCGACGGCCAGCTGCATCGTCCGGTCCGGTGCAATAATCATCGGAGGTGACGGCGAGGAGACTCGCTCGCTCGCGGGCAATTTTCCCCCCGAGTTGTTTCCTCTCCTCGGAGTGCGGCCCCCTCTCGCGCTTTTCCGCCGACAATTTTTCTCGAGCGGGCAATGTCGGCCGTCTGATCGGAAACGGTGAGCGACGCGCACGACGCGACGCGCCGTTCGCTCGCACGCAATCTGTCGCGCGCATCTGCGTTGTAGCGTCGCGAAACTTATCTCGAATGTCGAAGCAAAAAAAGTACGCGCACACAAGCCACACCCATCGAACGATAAGTTCGATCGACTCGAGAGCCCGCTCGACGATCCGATTCCAGCGCGTGTGGAAGTACACAGAGCTCTCGAAGGCGAAGGAAGAGAAGAACGAAAACGCGCTCTCCAGCGACTCGCGCCAACTTCACGCGGCGCGGCATTGTCGCGGTCGCGGTTACGATTAATTAATTCAACGACATCGATCACGCGAACGCTCACGTTCTCACGGCTCTCGCGTGCGCGGATCGACTCGCGAAACGTCGCGTCTCGCGTCGCCGAATGGAGCTCGCAATGTTGCGATTAGCACCGCGCACGCACGTGCCTCCGCTCGGTGCATTCTACGTATGTACCACGTACTATGTATCGTGTATATACCGTAGTACACACGTGTACAACGCGAGTTCCCGCTTAACGGGGAGTTTTCGCAATATCATCCCTCAATGTACGGTAAACGTAAATCGCGAACGTTATTCGCTCGGAAATAACGTCGCCATGTACGCGAAAAATAGCGTTCAAGATTTACCGTATCTGAGTGACGGTATTGCAAAAACTCCCCACTGTCTCTCAGATACGGTAAACGTTGATCGTGAATGCCATTTGGTCGCGTGCACTGCGACGTTATTTCTGAGCGATTAAGGAGTTTTTGCAACACCGTCTCTTAGATACGGTAAACGTAAATTGTAAACGTTATTCGCTCGGAAATAGCGTCGCCGTGTACGCAACCAATAGCATTCACGATTTACCGTATCTGAGTGACGGTATTGCAAAAACTCCCCACTGTCTCTCAGATACGGTAAACGTTGATCGTGAATGCCATTTGGTCGCGTGCACTGCGACGTTATTTCTGAGCGATTAAGGAACTTTTGCAACACCGTCTCTTAGATACGGTAAAGGTAAATCGTGAACGTTATTCGCTCAGAAATAACGCGACCAATAGTATTCACGATTAACGTTTACCGTATCTGAGAGACGGTATTGCAAAAAACTCCCTAATAACATTCATAATTTATGTTTATCGTATCTGAGAGACGGTACCGCAAAAATTCCCTAACGTTCGCGATTTGCGTTTATCGTGTCTAACAGACGGTGTTGCAAAACCTCCGTCTATTATCGCGGCACATATCCGTCATTGCGCGCATCGGCGGCCGCTTCCGACGAACGGTCGCGGAGTCACGCGTACGCGGCCGTCGTCTCCGAGGAAACTGACGTATACGCACGCTTCGACTTCGCTTCGTCATTCGTGCTGCTTTCGACTCGATTTCGCGCTGGAGAACGCTGGATGAAAACCACTGTTTACGATCTGACAATGCGGTACACTTGCACACACATACACACACACACACACATATACACACACACACACACATACACACACACACACACACACGTACCCTCCTCGCGCGAGCGAGCGCGCGCGCGCGTATTTTTCCCCATATTTCCCGTCAACGCAGAGTTCCTCCCGACTCAACGTCCGCGAAAGTCTGCGAGAAAGAATTAAATGCCCGACATCGAATCGCGTCCGGCCGTTGCCGTTGACGCGCGCTCGATCGAGAACGAGACAGGACTCGTCGGGCAAGTCGTATGCTCGCTTAAAGCGAATGAGCTTTAAAAAGCTATGAAAGGAAGGCGGAAGCGCGTGAGATCGCATCGAGCACACTTACATGCATTTCCCAGGTAGACGGCGACGCAGGAGCCCGCGGCACACTCGCGGACGCGCCACGCTCGTATACCGTATGTCCGATCGGCGATCCGCAACGTGAAGCGCGTTCGTGGGCGAGCGAGCGAGCGAACGAACGAACGAACGAGCGAGCGAGCGAGCGAGCGAGCAAGCGAGCGACACAGCAATGGCAGAGCAACCCGTTCGAAGGAGGATACAGTTTCGCGACGCGATGGCGTGAGAGCGCGAGAGGATTCTCGGGAACGCGCACGGAGAGGAGGGAGCCGATAAATCGGATGAAGCTGTATATATCGCGAGGAGAAACGCCGCGCCGCTATCGCGGCTACGTACCTCGCGTGTACAGGCGAGATCAGCACACCGTGAGCGATGCTCGCAGCGCCTCCGCTGGCGCACGAAGACGCGGGCCGTGTCCTCTCATTCACGTCGGCCGACGTAGCGTCGGATTACCGTCGACGTAGCGGCGCCGTGGCTCGTCCTGCGCGCTGCCTCCACGCTGCTGCCTCCTCGACGTCCTCCGCGGCAACGACGACGGCGACGCGCGGCCGCCGCTCCGGCACACATTATAGCGACCTCCCTCTCGCCCGTCGCTTGCGCGTTCCGGCTCAGACGCGCAGGATGTCAACGGCACACCGGGAACGGGAACACGACAGCCGGCTCGGGGGTGTGCACTACTCCTCGGCGCGAGGAGTATCCTAGGACGCCGCCGCGCGCGACGATGAGAGCGAACGAGCACGTTACGTCAGAGACGCGCGCGTCTTACGGAACTCCGAAAAACACACTAGCTCTCGCACCGTTGTCTCTCGACGGACGCATTCGACACCAGCAACATGGCGACCTTCCAGCGTTCGCTCTTCCCACGGAGAGGAACCGAGCAAACGGGACTCCGGCAACGGGGCTCTCCGCGCCATCTGTCGGCGCTGAGCGCATACACATCGCGCGAAATTCGTCGATCTTGTTATCGATGCGTGAATGTGACTTCTGATTGGCCCGTGAGCGTTTAGAGAGCGTTGCGTCTGGAGAACGTCGCTCGTATCGACCAAGCTCGTTGGAAGTTCAGCTTGACCCGAAGCGACTATAGGTTTGTTCTTTTCCTCTGCACCGCTGCATTAAGTGCAATAAGTTCGAGTGAGACAAGTATATCGGGTGTTTCAGACCATCCGGGTCACCCGATTTGTTCGTTAACGCGACAATTTAGAGAAAAATATTTCAGACAAAAGTTGTAGGGCTTCAAAGGATCTATTTGCTGACGCTGTGAATCTGACTTTGGGATAACCTTGAAAAGTCCAGTCAAGATCAACATAAAAATCTTAAATAAATATCCCAATTTTTTATTACATCATCTTTTTCTAGCAATTAATTTGAACAACTCTTGAAACATTTTTTTATTTATCTGAAACATTTTTTTATTTATCTAATATCTTTTTAGATATTTAAGGAAAACGATAACTTTTTCAATATTTATCTCACGATATCTCGCTAACTATTTGTCAGAAGAAAAAATGGTACTAGACTTTTTTGCTCTATTTAGTCTCAAGAATATATTGTTCTAATAGCGCCCTGAATTTGGTCAATTTGTTGATTTTGAAATTTCCAAAAATCAGCAAGTTGATAAAAGTCAGGGCGCTATTGTAAAAATATATTCTTGAGACTAAATATAGAGCAAAAAAGTCTAGTACCACTTTTTCTTCCGACAACTAGTTAGCGAGGTATCGTAAGTTAAATATTGAAAAAGTTATCAAGTTTTCCTTCAATATCTAGAAAAATATTAGACAAATGAAAAAATATTTTAGACAAAAGTTGTTCAAATTAATTGGTGGAAGAAAACGGTGTAATAAATAATCGCGGTTTCCATTTCAGATTTTTATGTTGATCTTGACTGGACTTTTCAAGGTTATCCCAAGGTCAAATTCATAGCGTCAGTAAATAGAGTCAGTAAATAATTCAGAATTCCTCTGAAGCCCTACGACTTTTGTCTGAAATATTTTTCTCTAAAATATCCCGTTAACGAAACGGGTCGATCCCGGTGACCCGGATGGTCTGAAACACCCGGTATACTTGTCTCACTTTAACTTATTACACCATTGCAGCGGTGCAGAAGAAAAGTACAGACCGTATTGCGTCGTAGAACGGTCATCGGCCGAGCGAACGATAACGAACCAATGACGACGTCGCAGCCTCGCGCGGTGAGCCAATCATGATTACCCGAGTGAGCCAATCGCGGCCGTTTCGATGGGCCAATCACGGCAGTCGTCGCAGGCCTTGTACTCCGTTCGAAACGCACGTGCTGACCGCGAGACCGAGCGCGCGCGCTGAACAGTGCAGTGTATCGTCCTGTAAAAAAGTGACTCGAACGTCGGCGCTCTCCTCCGATCGGCACTGGAACGGACGATTCGAAAGTGTGCGTGCGCGTGTCCGTTGAATCGGGGAAAAGGAACAGAGGAGTTGTCGGTGCTGAAAGAGGTGACCCAAGGAAAGGGAGAAGAGATCGAGTATATATCATATAGGTTGTCGTTGCCTGCGTCTTCTCCTTTCTCATCGCTGTCGCCGTCGTCGTTGTCGTCATCGTTGTCGACTACTTGGAAATGGCATTAGGTGCACAGATCGAGACCTCGGAGACCGGCGGAGACAACGCGAAGATTCCCCTTCTAAGCAGCGAACAGGAACACGAGACTGCCAAGGAGACAACCGGTGAGTGCCGAGAGAGAGAAGGAACGTTCTCTCGCTCGCGCGATACTGCGTTCTTTATCTCTTTTTAAGGTTAATCGAGGAGAGCGTCGCGCGTTCTAACGTGCTCGAGTTATGTAATTTCTCGACGACGACGGCGACGACTAACCCACCCACAGGACGACGTCGTGGTCGTCGGCGTCGCGTCTCTCTTTGTGGCTCCCCCGGGTCGTCGTTCGTCCGTTCAATTTGTCGTGCAGTCGAACGCGCGGAGCCGGCCTCGATCGAGCGAGCGAGAACGCGAGCGAGGGAAGGCGCTAGTGGGAGCGAGACGGTGAGCACGACGAGGCGCGTTATGTAACCTCGCGAATTGCGCGAATCTCGGCGCACACGGGGTCATGTGAGCCGCCATATCGCGAGAGGAGGCGGTGGCGGGAGGGCCAGCAGAAGACGCATTCGCGTTAGAGGAGCAGAGCCGTCCTAGCAGACGAATTTCTTTTCCAGCCGCCGGCGAAAGCGGATTTCTCGCGGGAGCGAACGCGTGCGCCGGCGACACTTTTTGTGACGAGTCATGCTCTAGTCCGAGCGACACAATCAGCCGCTCTCTCGGAGGGCACTCGCCGGCAGGTGAAACGACACGCAATTACAGAGAGCGAACGTAGCCTTGGCATTTGGCCCTTCGGGTCAGTAATATAGCCTGTCTGATAAATAATTCAGATCGTCTCATTTGTCCAGGTCGTAAACTCCCTCAAGTGTCAGTGAAGAACGAGCAGATCGCTCCGGGAGAACGGGCAGATCGCTCCGGGAGACCGAGGATATCGGAGGTCTCGTTCGACACTGGCAGCTCGCGATTAGAACGATTAGCATTGTACGAAGAAGAGAGCGTGACGCGTAGGCTGGCGATAAGACGAAAACCTCGCAGCGGTCGAACACCCTTCCGGGGGTTGTAATAGGAATGGCAAATTCTTCATCGCGCTCGAGAGGAGAATTTCGCTCCGCTTAGGAACAATCATTTATAGATCTATAGATCGCCGCACGCGCCGCCAGGGTATACTGCGGACGCACACGTGCTGCACAACGCGCCGCGTTTACGTAATGCGTCTCCAGCTAAAGCTCCCATGATGGAAAACATCGAGACAGAATGTTGTCTCTCTCGGGGCTGATCGTTGATGCAACATTGAGATTTAGGGCGAGCGTCGATTACATCAGTGTTTGTTGAGATGTTTCGAGGGGACCCAGCGTGTCGCAACTTCGATATTTATGATAAACTTCGCAATACATACGATTTTCATGTGGAAGAGAAAGAATTCGGTTTTATCGTCGCGACGGACAATGTATTCCTTCGCCTTAATCTGTGAAAACCGATATGTCGCGACGATAGTTATGCTATCGGTCTTTTCAAGCGACTCAAGGCGAGGGGAATAAATTTCCTTTGATGAAAAGAGCAAAGCGTATTCCCGATGCGCTCATTAAAAATGCAACCTAGTGACCGCGCGAGGCGATTTACATCATAATATCGGCGTCGTTGCGCCGCAAAATATCTAAGTCTAGTATTTTATTTGTTTGTACCGCAATCGATGAGCGTCGAATGTAACAAGTTAGTAACGAGTTAGCGTCTAGCTGAAAGCGTCAAATGCAAGAAGCAAAGGTCGAGCCGCTCTACAAGCGCGTGTTTTCACTCGTGGGAATAATAGTGGGGCAGAATTGGTAAGAAGCACATATTGATAAGTGAGGGTTATCGGCGGCGTTGTTGTGACGCATGATACGCTGCGAACGATCAACATCCCTCGGACGTACTTAATCGTTAAGTCGACACAGCTGCTCGCGCTTTCGTCCTCTTCCAGGCCTAAAGTGTAAATCGATCTTCGACGCCGGTGAAACTCGCACGTAACTCACACGCATAAGTACTTGCGTGACACTACCCCCCCCTTCCCCCCTGGGTCTCTATATTTAGCTGTAAACACTAGATAGAGAGAGAGATCGAGTCCACTTCTACCTTTGAGCTTACATTCGGCTATTACGGACTTTCTAATTGATCGATGTGACTTTCTTCTTTCTCAACGGACCGTCAACTTCAAAATACTACTAGAACAGGGGTTCCCAACCAGGGATGCTCGCACCCCCTGGGGGTGCGAAAAAACATTCTTGGGAGTGCGAGGAAAAGTGATTATAATTAATAATGATTAGGATGGATCCATTCTGGAATAATCCGGCATTTTTACCATCAAATTAGAAAAAATGTTATTAAAATTATATATTTTTCTGTATCTGTACGTATACATTCATTACATATCACTAAGCACAAGCGAAGCTTGATACCACGAATAATAATTTTATAATATTAAAATTATAGTTAACTTCTATAAAACAATACTATATAATAATAAATTATTATAAATTAACTTCTTACCTTAAAACCCTAACTAAGACTAATGTTTACCATAAAATATACGAATAATTTTTTTTTGTAGGGCGTGCGAAAGTTCATTAATAAATTTTTAGGGGTGCGAGATACAAAAAAGGTTGGGAAACCCTGCTGTAGAATTTTGGAAACGACGTGTCCGAGAAGCGAAGTACATTTGGAACCTTTCTCTCTCTTCACTTAAGGGAGGAATTACATGCAGAGCAATAATTCCATTTTCAAGGCTATTTTTATGAATTTTTTTTAACAGAAACGGTAGGATCAATGAACTTGAAATTGTTATGTAATGTATTCATTAGTAGTAGTGTAATTATGTAGTGTATTTATTAATGTTCAAAGTATAAAATAAATTTGTTGCTATCTATATGGAAAGTATATATAAAACATTAGATGCGTTTATCTGGAAACACCATTTTCTTAAACTGTCGACACGATTGCGCAAAAACTACTGAACCGAATAACTTGAAACTTTTACACAATATATAGTAGACATGTAGTTTTCGCGCCCCTACCTCGAACACAGTTATATTTTATTTTATTCATTTCTTTAAACATGATTACAAGTCGAAAAAAGTTTCATTTTTGATACTATTTTTGTACAGTCATTATTTTCCAAACTTGGCTTCACTGCCTTCATTTTGGTACGGTTCTATAATGGCAACCGTATATTCTAAAAATCTTTCTCATTTTTTGATTTCAGAGTAGTGAGAGGCCTGGAATCATGTCGACAGCAAACATAGAACTCGCAAACGAATGACTGCATTTTTATCTATAATTGCAAATTAGATCGGTTCTTGTGATTCAATAAAATTTATTTTATACTTTGAATACGTTAATGAACACACTTTCCACATAGGTAGTAACAAATTTATTTTATACTTTGAACATTAATGAATATACTGCGAAAATTTCAAGTCCATTGATCTTACCGTTTCTGTGAAAAAAAATTCGTTCTGTTCTGTTATTAATTATTCTGTTAATAATAATTCTGTTAAAAAAAATAGCCATGAAATAGCACGTAATTCCCCCCTTAACACTATGCCGTCCGGTGACACCACTTTGGTGTCATGTGAAAATTTTCACGCAAATGCCGGCGACATCATGTTGGTGTCGCGGCGTGTAAAGCTATCGAACAAATGCCGAGATATTGAGATATTGATATTAAATTATTATTATTAAATTATTATTGATATTGAGATTAGTAAAACAAAACATTTTATGATCTCTCGAAAAACGCCGGTCGAAAAACAGGCGGTAAGATCTACACGAGACCTACCGACGCCAGACAAAAAATTTTGGTCACACGTTGCGGACGTCAAAGTGTTAATATTTGTTTCACATCGTGCTACTATCGCGACGGCGAACTGCTCGTTCTGTTTCTTGTATCGACAAGAAAGGAGCTTGATAATTGGTCTCGGCTGAATGCGAGCGATTTGCGAGCGTACAATCAATCGTTTCCTCGCTGCATCTGCGCGTAAGGGTCAACGAATGATAATGACACGTCGGCGCGATTCCGCGGCGGGCAAGGCGCCCGTGATTAAATTAAGCGACGGCTTAACGGCGTAGAGCGAGAAAAGCGCGGCTCATCAACGGTATAATGGGCATCAGAATGGGGTGGGCGGTGTTCCGTGAATGATATTACAAGCGTTTGCGCGCCTCTCGCATCAGTCGTGAATGAAACGCTGATGGGGTGCGTTCATTTATCGACGCTGCGTTAATGAATATACGACGGGCGAAGAATCCGGCGAAGTCTGCGACCAGAGTCACCTTTAAGCCGATAAAACGTGCAATTTCAGTTCCCTCCGCTACTTGTCGGCCGAGCCAGCCATGAATGTCATTATTACCTGTTGCGCAGTTCGCGTATTGCTTTGACGAGTTTTAATTTTCCGAAACTCGATATTGGTAAAGCGATATCGCTAAATAGCTCTTCCCTGCTCGTAGGAGACTCGGCGATAGCACATCTTATCTAGGTCCGGTTACACGCATCGTAAAGGTAATGCGTTTCGCTGCAGACTTTATGCTCACAAACGGCATGCGATAGCACGACGATAAGATCATAGAACATCAGCCGTGTATCGTTAACTATTATCGATTAACCAGAAAAAAGTAGGAAGCGAACGATCCACGTGTAGGTTTTTGGTGTCTTCTCACTGAAGATATATACCGTTTCCGTCGCTCGAGGACGTTATTTGAAAAGCGTAGATGAAACAAAACGGGATTTGTTAAGAGAGTGACTGAGTGCTATTTTTACAAATTCCAATTGTGGCGCTTCTCGGATTCTCTTTACACCTCACTTGCGCGTCCGTGAAACTGTTTTTCTTGGAGAATATATAAATGTCCCGGCAGTTGTATAATACTCGCATGAATGATGAAATAATCTTCTTATCAGTCGCACTATCGTGCCTATGACTGAGGCCACAGATATTCGTGGAACGCCGCGTATACGTAACTCGATCGAGATGGAAAATAAAATCCAAAAGCGTAAAAAGCCGAGACACGCGCGACTGACCGACTCGAAAATTTGACTCGAAGGGATCGGACATTGTCTCTCGCAGATCGAACGACTGATCGTCACCGACGATCCGACAAACGCGATCTTCTCGCCACGAAATCGATGCATATCGCTAATACAGGCTAAATATAAATAGCACGGCATTTCGATGCGTACTATTTACTTTGTCGCTTTATTTATAAGCGCATCGGTGAATGCGACGAGTAGCTGGAGAGTGCGTCTGTAACAACACGGGACTCGAGTCCCCGATGTATTTATATCCTTACCGAGCGCGTTGCAACCCCCTTTCAGTGTCATGGCGAGAATGAGTTCTTCACACACGCGCGATTTACCGAAATTGTTTTGTACTTTGTTCCCCCAACTCGACTCAGTACCCGCGCGGCTTTCTTCTCATCTTTACCTAGAAGCAGGATTTCCCAACCTTTTTTGTATTTCGCACCCCTAGAAATTTCTATCAATGAACCTTCGCACCCCCTACGAACAAAAAATTATTCGTATGTTTTATGGTAAAAATTAGTTGTCAGGGTTTTAAGATAAGAAGTTAATTTATAATAATTTATTATTGCATAGTATTGTTTTATAGAAATTAACTGTCATTTTGATATTATAAAATTATTATATTATGGTATCAAGCTTCGCATAGTGATACGTAACGAATATATACGTACAGATACGTAAAACATATATATAATTTTAATAACATTTTTTTTTAATTTGATGGTAAAAATGTCGGATTATTCCAGAATTCATCTTAATCGTTATTAATTACAGTCACTTTTCCTCGTACCCCCAAGAATGTTTTTTCGCATCCCCGGTTGGGAACCCCTGGCCTAGAGCAAGCTGTAATAATTGCACACATTGATGAGAGATGCAACTGCAGCGATCGATTGAATGAGCGTCTGCGGTGAAATGTACAATTTATCGTTTCATTTATAATCGCATTGGTGCTTAATAATAATTATTGCTGTTTGCAGAAGTGAAAAAGGAGGTGGAAGAGAGCGGTAGTACGAGCACAGCCACGGAGAACGTTGTCGAGAAGGGAGAAGTCGAGGCGACTAAGGAGAGTGAGAAGGAGAAGGACAATAAGAATAGTGATAAGAATGAGAAGGACGCGGATACCGACAAGGAAAAAGATGCCACGAACGAACAGGAGGTTGTCTTCATTCAGGACATGGGTTTTACCGTCAAGATCGTCAGCCCTGGTTCCGAGCCTTTCGATATCCAGGTGTCGAGCATGGAGCTCGTGCAGGTAATGGTTGGTTTTTTAACGATGAAGAATTCTCGCATGTGTCTCCGCATATTGTGATAAATATTTCCAAGAGATCTTGATAACAATGGTCCCGGTAGTGTAATGTGATGTAATGATGGGACTTTTTTTTTTTACCGACGTGTGTGATCCTGCTCTCTTTCCTCAGGAAATTCACCAACTACTCATGGATCGCGAAGACACGTGCCATCGTACGTGCTTCTCGTTGCAAATGGACGGCAACACGCTGGACAATTTCGCCGAGTTGAAGAACATCGAAGGCCTAAAGGATGGCTCGATCATCAAAGTGGTGGAGGAGCCGTACACGATGCGAGAGGCGCGCATACATGTGCGACATGTGCGCGACTTGCTCAAGTCGGTGGATCCAGCGGACGCTTACAACGGCGTGGAGTGCAGCAGCTTGTCGTTTCTCAACATAGTCACGAACGGCGATATCTTGGAGAAGAAAAAGACCCGGGCGGACTCTGTTGATTGCACACCACCGGATTATATTATACCTGGTTGCAAGGACAGGCCGCTGTTACCGTTGCAGCCGCAAGCGAAGGAGCAGAAGTGTCCGCCATGTTTAAAAGTTAGTATAACATGATTTATTCTGTGTGAAGTCGGATAGCTTCTAAGTTCCGTCTTTTCATTCTTCTCCAGGTTCTAACAACGTCAGGATGGAATCCACCGCCCGGTCACAGAAAGCTCCACGGCGATTTGATATACCTGCACGTAGTCACTTTGGAAGACAAACAGTATTACCTGACTGCATGTGCCAGAGGATTTTTCGTCAACCAATCGACCAAAGAAGTATTCAACCCGAAGCCGGCGACGCCGAGTCACCTGTGTCACAGTCTTATCGAACTGCTGAACCAATTGAGCCCAGCGTTCAAGCGAGGATTTGCCGCCATGCAACGACGTAGGACTCAGAGGCATCCTTTCGAACGAGTGGCCACACCGTATCAGCTTTACGCATGGAGCGCGCCGCAAATCGAGCATACCATCGATGCCATTCGCGCGGAAGACAGTACGTTCTCTCGTCAAATTTGAATCTGTCTTCCACAAGTAAAGTATGAAATTTGTCTTAATTTAGTCATTGGGAAGCGCCAATAAATTAATGATATTTATGGAAGAACAGATGAGATAAGTTGGGCTTAAACAATTTCTCTTCATCTACTTTAGCGTTCTCGTCGAAACTGGGATACGAGGAACATATCCCCGGACAAACTCGCGATTGGAACGAGGAGTTGCAGACCACGAGGGAGTTACCACGTAAAAATCTTCCCGAGAGATTACTGCGAGAGCGTGCCATTTTCAAGGTACGTCGCCCGTCGCTCTTCGTTTAAAGCGAGTAAGAAAGATAAACTTTCATTAAAACGAAGGAGAGAGATTACAGCACAATAGCTGTAAAGTAGTGACAAAAATTATACAATAGCTTCAAATATCATCAAGTATATTATTATGAAATCATTCTGAACGTTTTTTGTAGTTTTAGATGATAAAGATATGATAATCCTCCAATGATTCTGTAATCCTTGATCACATTAAATGCTTTGTTCCTACGTGTTATTTAGGTCCACAGCGACTTTGTGGCCGCTGCAACTCGCGGGGCGGTGGCTGTCATCGATGGTAACGTGATGGCAATTAATCCCGGGGAGGAAGCTAAAATGCAAATGTTCATCTGGAACAATATCTTCTTTTCACTTGGCTTCGACGTGCGGGATCACTACAAAGAATTAGGTGGCGACGCTGCGGCTTTCGTTGCGCCTCGCAATGATTTACAAGGTGTTCGAGTCTACGCAGCTGTTGATCTACCTGGTCTGTATACCCTCGGCACCGTTGTCATTGATTACAGGTGCGTCGAAGTACTTTTCTAGTGTTGCTAATAATCTTCGTCGATATAGCTTTTAAGATGTCATAACTTATCTCCCATGAATTGTATCTCCTTAGAGGCTACCGCGTCACCGCACAATCCATTATACCGGGTATATTAGAGCGTGAGCAAGAGCAGTCGGTAGTATACGGATCGATCGACTTCGGCAAGACTGTACTCACACACCCGAAATATCTTGAATTGGTAAATAAAGCAAGATACAAAGGATGTGCAAGCGAGATCTGTATCGCGTTGTTTCGTGTTTAGCTGAACAAGGCCGGGCAGCAGCTGAAGATTCTCCCGCACAAGGTAATCAACGATGCCGGTGAGGAAGTTGAACTCTGCAGCAGTGTGGAATGCAAGGGAATAATCGGCAACGACTCGCGACATTACGTGCTAGATCTATTGAGGACCTTTCCGCCTGACGTGAATTTCCTCAAATGTGAGTCAAAGGGCAAAAACATGCGGTCGGAATATCTCAAGGCGCGTCGTACGTTAGTCTTTCTTATTCGAAGGAATATTTTTTCCGTGCAGTGGAAGGCGTAGAGCTGAGCAAGGAAGCGCGAGCTCTCGGATTCCCGGTCGAGCACAAGCACAGATTGGCTTGTCTACGTCAAGAACTGATAGACTCGTTCGTTGAAGCACGATACGTTCAGTTCATCAAGCACGCGGCTGTTCATCTGCAACAGCTCACGTCAGCTAGGAGGTCTCAGAAGGAGAAAGAAACGGCTGCTAAGATAAACGTATTTTTCTAAACTATATTTTTTATTTTTTAAAGTCATATTTTTACATATCGTCACCTTTTTTGGTATTCCTTACAGATAATTTGAGGCGAAATTAGTAAAAGATAACATAAATATTGCTTAGATGTGATTTTGGTTTTAGGATGACAAGAAGGAAGATCCGGCTATTCCTGTAACAACGGTTGATAGTAACAAGGAAGATTGCGCCCAATCACTGATAGAGGCTGATGAAGCTAAGAAGATCGTCGAGAGCATCACTGACTCGATCACGGGGGGCGAAAAACAGGAAAGTATGTGTAACTTTTTTGTAAGGAAAGGAAAGTAACTTTTTCTAAACACAAATGTTTTGCATAAAGTGGCACAGTTAATTATAATATAATATCTTAACGGATAAGAATTTTGAGAAGGAATATTTGGGACTGCGAATTTCATAATTTGATTATAAAATAAGAATTGTTCTAACGGAAAACTGCTTTTACAATAAAAATTCACCTTTCGATAACAGTGGAGGAAAGCACGAAAGAAGTCGTACGAAAAGCTGCGGAAGCGGTGGGTAGTTTGCGAGACGCCGAATTCGATGTAAGGTTCAACCCGGATGTGTACTCGCCGGGCGTCAAGCATCCTGATCCTAATGGCGTCGAACTGAAGAAACAGAAACAATTGGTAAAGGATGCTGCTGATTTCCTGCTTACGATGCAGCTGCCGACGTTCGTAAGTTCGTTTGTTATTGAGAATTGAATTACGCAACGTCCAGTTAATTTTCTGTCGCATTCGAGAATTACACTTATCATTGATTCACATTTGGGAAATACATTATAATATTTTCTCTGAACTTTAGTTGAGAATTAAATTGCCAACTCTTTAATTTACCTTCAATTTTTAATAATTTTTAAAATTTTGCCTTTAATTTTCAAGGTAAATTTGATATCATATCGTTCTAGATTCGAGAATGCCTAGACCATACAGCGGCATCGATGGACGGTGGCACGTTGGTGGAAGCTCTTCATAGTAAAGGCATCAACGTCCGGTATCTCGGCAAATTAGCAGCAATGTTAGCCGCGGTACCGCAGTTGCAGTATCTTAATCATATTGCTGTATCGGAGCTGATTCTTCGATCGGCTAAACACATTTTCACCTCTTATATGCAGGTATTAATATTTAAGAATCGAAAGGTAAGATAGCAGAATTTTTAGCAATACATTGTAAAACTCATGTGTATAAAATATTTCGAAGTGTAAAACGTCGCGAGACGAATTTACGAATCTGTAAACGTGCTATTTTGCAGGGTACAGAGCTGATGAGTCTCTCGGCGGCTGTTAGTCATTTTCTGAATTGCTTACTGTCCTCAGCGCAAATTATACATCCGCAACAAAATCTAGAGGAGGTATCGCATTAACAAAATTAGATTGATAGATTAAGTTAGCGTGTTATTAACGAGTGAATTAACGAGTGATTTTACTTCAGCTTCAGAGCAAAACTGCCAAACGTCGCAACAAACGCAAGGGCAGGAACAACGGACCGCAACAGTCCGAGGTTGAGTGGGCGTCTTTGACACCTAAATCATTATGGCAGCAAATCAAAGGCGACTTAAAGGCCTACTACGACTGGGAAACGCCGAGTCCGGAGTCCTTAGATGCCACGATAGAGCATTTCCATCTACAGAAGATCTCATTGCTGCGTGGTTTCTGCATTAAGACTGGCATTCAGATATTGCTGCGCGAATATAACTTCGAGAATAAGAACCGGGCGACATTCTTCGAGGAAGATATACTGAACATTTTCCCTGTCGTCAAGCATATCAATCCTAGGGTGAGTCAATGACAATCATCTAAAAAATATTCGGGATGGTTCCAGCGATTTTTAAAATGTGGGATAGTCCGCAAAAATTCGTACCCAAAGGTCTAAAGGACTTAACCTTGTTTTTAATCATTCTAACTTGTTTGAAATTAGATTATTACTTGCTGAAAATGAAACTAATATTTAACTTGCTTTAAGTTTGAGTTAAAGTTGATATTTCGAGATTAGGAAAAATTTAATCTCATCTGGCTTTTTCAAGGCCAGCGACGCGTACAACTTTTACACCACTGGCCAGAGTAAGATTCAACAAGGATATCTAAAGGATGGATATGAACTAATCAGCGAGGCATTGAACCTTTTGAACAACGTGTACGGTGCTATGCACCCTGAGATAGCACAGTGTCTCAGAATGCTGGCGCGTCTGAATTATATAATGGGCGATCACGCGGAAGCGCTTGCCACTCAACAGAAAGCCGTTCTCATGTCAGAGAGAGTCAACGGCATCGACCATCCGTACACCATTACAGAATACGTAAGTTATATATATATATATATATATATAAAATGCAAACAGAATAACAATTTGTGATCATAAGACAAAACTGACGTTTCCGCTTTCCTCTCCATTTGCAGATACACCTCGCCCTGTACTCATTCGCCAACGGCCAAGTATCCGTATCATTGAGATTACTGTATAGAGCGCGTTACCTAGCTCTCTTGGTATGCGGTGAAGATCATCCGGAAGTAGCCCTGCTTGACGTAAGTACAGTAAAATAATCCCTAATCAATTGAAACCACGACTCCAATACAAAACACGAGTCGCAGACGGTAACATTGTTTTCCGCTTGCAGAGCAATATTTCCCTGATTCTGCATGCTGTCGGCGAGTACGAGTTGTCCTTGCGCTTCCTGGAGCACGCGTTGGCATTGAATCTACGTTATCACGGTGCGCGTTCACTGAAAGTAGCGATGTCGTATCATTTGGTAGCGCGTACGCAGTCCTGCATGGGTGACTTCCGTGCGGCGCTGAACAACGAGAAGGAAACATACGCAATCTACAAGCAGCAGCTGGGTGAGGAGCACGAGAAGACAAAAGAGAGCAGCGACTGCCTTCGTCACTTGACGCAACAGGCGGTTGTATTGCAGAAGAAGATGAACGAAATCTACACGGGTAAGTCGGGCGTGAGCCTGCCGCCGATCCAAGTGCAACCACCAAGCATGGGCTCTGTGCTGGACATGCTGAACGTCATCAACGGCATCCTCTTCGTGCAAATCAGCCAGCAGGACATCGACAATTTTAAAGCGGAAATTGAGAAGCGGCAAAAGGAGCAGTCACCCTCTGTGGACTGCGGCGGCGGCAGTGGCAGCAGCAGTAGCGAAGCTACCAACAAGGCAATTGAGGACAGTTGCAAGAAAGACGATAAGGAGACGAGGAAGATGCTAAACAATGTGGCGGAGAGGAAGATCGAGCCGAAGATAGAGACGAAGAAGCTGGAGGAATCCGATGAAGCGGCGACGTTAGAGCCAGTCGTGACGGCAGAAAGCTGAGCCTTTGGCTCCGCCATCGCGAACGACGAACGAATATTAGTAGTCTTACCTTTCTCTTTTTTCTAAGCCCTAGTCCTTTTCCGATGTGCTCGCTGCATGCGCGCAGCGTTTTCGTCCCGAAGACTTCGACGACGACGACGACGACGACAACCTGGAGCGCAAAATAAAGGACCGTCGTATACTTTGATTATGTTTGTTATTTGTACCGTTTTATTGTGCTCTTTCAGGATCGATTCATACACCTTCATACATCAGTGACGTATTCGAATCAGTGTTGTGATTTTCCTCTAATGTCACACATATAAGTGGACATGTTCGTGAGCACGTTAAATGTCGTACCGTCATCTTGTTTTGCTGTTCCCTTGTACTCGTGTAAGGAAGATCTCAACGCTGAAAAGAGCAAACATGTCGTTGATATTGTGTATAAATCAATCTTAAAGCTATTAGTCAGTCAGGCTACGAGAACGAGACTGTTACAAGATAAGACGCGAAGCTACAACATTTGTTGTCGATGGCGTGCTTACGAAAAAGAAGTACATTCGCTGAGATCGAACATGGTAGACAACGATCTCGCCTGAGCACGCGAAACGCACACTCATTTGTTATATCAGATGTACATAACGAAATGAAGTGCCATGTCGCTTGGAAATTATTCGATGCAAACACGTTAGATAGTCAACGACGAGATAATCAGTAAAACTCCTCGTCACTTCAAATCGAAGAGCCATATGCGATTCTCTAATCATACGCCCTACGACGCAATTTCATTGAGAGCTCGAATACATTCATCGCGCGACAACGCAACGGCGATAAACGGTGATCGTTGATGACGGGCCGATGAATTCGCCAACACTCGATAACATTCGATGATCGCATGATTAAACAGCGAATTCACATTAGATTCCGGAAACTGATTGTTTTTTTTTCCGCTACTACCTACTTTTTATGTGTTGTATTTCTTATATTTTAAATCGCATTAATAATTTTATACTAGTGCCTTTTTGTGAGATCATTGTTTCCTTTTTCTATCGTGTTATTGTATGTCGCTCGAATCTGATTGCCACCGATAAGAGTCTTCTTTTTCTTTCGGTTTTTTGTTAGCTTTTAATTTGACACTCTAATCTTTCATGAAATTCAATCTGCTCGTTTATTACGTATGAAACAGCTGAGGAACCGACCGATCAAGTTTCAATGATCTCAGATATTTTAACATGCCTGCGCGTTCTATATATAAATAACAGTTTTATTTAAGACAACTTTACACACGGACGCTGAAAAATTATGTACTGTATATGGTGTGTTTTAAATTTTTCTGAAAAAGGAATAGTGTCAAATTAAGGGTTGAACTATACACGCGCGAGAAAGTGTGCTTCCAGTTATTTTCACGAATAATCTCAAATTTTTTAGATTTATGATCCGCGACAGGATTCTACTTGAATTCTGTTGCTGTGTAATTATAGAAAACCACTCGATGGAGTAATCGCGTTTAATAACTATTAATCCTCAAGTGTTTCTTACATTGTACAACAGGTAAAATTGTGTAAATAGTATTCCGTTCCGTGATTATAGATCGTGTCAAACGCGTTTTATCCTTAACAGACATACTTAATTGTTATAAGGTGTTTGCCACACCGCACACTCAACACACTTGATATCCGTACGCACATGTTAACGCTACCCCTTGATATTCTCGCTCTTGAAGATGTGGTAGTGATAAAAAAAAAAAGAGAGTACAGCACAATGTATGACATTGTGGCATATTCTAATCATATTCATTAATATAGAGTATTGCGGTAACAGATCGTTAGTGGAGTTACCGCGATTGTAGTTTGACTTGAAGATTGCTAGCGTTTTCGCTATTATAGTCTTTAGCTCATAAGAGAGAACGAGAATCGATTGTTACCAAGCTCCATTAGAATTAAGATCCATTTCTTTTTGTTCGTTGTGTCCGCTCTGCTCCATTAGATATGTCCGCGGTTTGATTCAACGTTTCCTTCCCTTTTTGTTCCCTCAACATGTTACACGCATACATATGTGTTTCGTCGCGGTCTAATCAACGAGCGAGATATAATGATCCAAAGTAGTCACAAAATATCATTAATTACCGAAGAAAATAGCGCCGATTCATTTCTCGATGACCCCCTCGTAGATTTTAAGCAACTTAGGCCTGAAAAAATGCACCGTTGCCTGCAATAATATTAAGAGCGGAATGAACGAGAGATCGAATGATCAATTTACCGCTGTGCGGAGTGATGTATCATCACGACGTACGGATCTCCCCTCGCCGTCTCTCGACGGGCTCTCATTCGCATCGCAATAATAATTATAAATTGCACTTGTTAGCCATGTTGTATTATAAAAAAAGGAATATAGCTTATTAAGACTTATCCTCTGCCCTCCTAATCCAAAAGGGCGTATTTCAGTTTTTATGTTTCCAGTATTAAAGATTTTGTATAAAAATCGATCAGAATAAACAATATGAAATAATTAATTCGCTTGTGTCTCGCAATCACTCGTGCAAAGAAATCTGTTTTGTTTCACTTTAGAATAAATACAAACAATAAACTTAATGTTATCCTCTTATACGCCTGTTTGGCTTAGCAGGGCAATGTCATATATAAAATAAACAGAAGAGTTGTGTAAATTTGATAAATTTACCAACCGCCATGTGTATTTTCTTCAACACATGTTGCACGAAATAAAATAAACCATTTTATATGTAACAAGTCGAATGGCAAATTTTATTCCTCAAGTAAGCCCATAAACAATACTTTACGGTCGATTTAGCGGTCCGGTAGCGCCTTCAATAGGACGCTTTTCTTTCTCACTTTAACTGGTTTCGACGAATCGTGAAGAACCGTTCTTTTCACACCCAATCTATTCTTCAAATACTGTTTCAATGACTGTAACGCGTCCAGGCCGCCGCTTCCGTCCTTGAAGTTCATCCATATGCTAAACATGTCATCATCTGAAACCGTCTCTTCCATATTCGGACTATCGATTTCCACGAAAAGCTCGCAAGTGAGCAAAGGATCGCATTTGCTCGAACTCTCCTCACTTTCTTCTTTACTCCTTACTGATAATCTTTCCTCCAAAGAAATTTCATCAGCTTGCTTGGCGTCGACATTCTCTTCTAAAACAGACACTGCGTTTAACGTATCTTCCGTGTACGTGCTTACGTTAACACAATCGCCGTCTACATTTTTCAATTTTTTTAACGCGAGCTGCTGTGCTAATCGTCGTTTTCTGCGCGCGTGCTCCCATGTCTTTTCCCTGACGGTCAATTGACATACCCAACCGTCGAAAATATCCTCGAAAGTTGGTACTTCTTGTAATTTAATCTGTCGTGATAAATTTAAGTTGGATTAAAGCAAGTTGAATCTCCGTATGTCTAATGTGCGAGAAACAGATAATATGATATGTTACATTCAACTCTTTTGCTGTTGTACTTAGAAAACTTATCACATCGTCCATACTAGAAAATTCGTCCTTCACAGGAAACGTTATCAATGTTTTGTGATCCCTGATAAGTGGCGCCGTGGATTTCCTAGTTTTTCTAATAAAAGGTGCTGTAGTTAAATCCATGACGTCTTTCGGTAGAAAGCTCCATGCCAAGGCCCACCTATTAATGAAGAATTTTAATCGCTTAAATCAATGTTTTATCAACTTGATAATTTAATAAGTAGTTAAAAAGATACCGTGTTGTATAACCCTGACAGAATTCCGTCCATGTTGCATTCTCTATATTTTTAGACCTTATCATTTTCATAAGACGAAGCAAGTCTATCTTCTTCCCTATCATTGTGCTGTATATTTTTATTTGATCTTTCAGCTCAATACTCTCCTCAATCATTCTTGTCACAAACGATAATTCGCCACCTTTGGTCTTCAGCTCACCTTCATTTCCACTTGGTGCATTTCTCGGTGGCAAAGTCTTTGCAACTCTTTCATCATTCCCCTCGTTTTCAAAAAAGGGTGGATTGCACATAGAAAAGTCATAAACTTTATTTTCTTCCACTGCATCCTTAAAAATGCTCTCCGAGTTCACTGTAATTACTACATTAGGAAATCTCTTATTATTTAAAAGTAATTTTACTCAATATTTGTAAATTAATTAGCTTATTTTAAGGAAAAAGAAAACAATTATTAACAGTGTTTACTTTTAATTAAGTCTTGTAGATTGTTCCTTCTTATGCAATTTTTTGCATGCTCTACACTTTCCTGGTCCACCTCTGTACCAATCATGTGACATTTATAGATCTTGGCTAGTAACAAAGCATATACACAAATTGCTCCTGTGCCTATTTTGAATATATCAATTAATATGTCAGTCACACATATTGATATCAAAAGTATAAATAAACTACAAAATAATAAATATATTGATTATTGTTGCTAAATTCTGCAGAGCATTGTCTTGAATATCGATTTTGGTAAAACTCTTATTTAGGGAAGGCAGCTGCAATGACACTGACCTTGACATGTATTGTCAAGGATATCATTCTCATTAACATTCAAGAGGTTTTAGCCGTTGCTCGTTATTTGTTAAAAAGTTATTAACAAAAGAAGTTTCACTAATAAAACATAATTTTTTGACACTGTACACATTTAACATTTATCACCTAAAACTCGCAAGAGGTTACTTTGGCATACAGTATAGACAAGCAGGGGAGGGGCTTTGCTCCCCTAAACAGGAGTTTTACCTCGATTTTTATTCTCTTCTTTGGTTTAAAAGAAAAGGTATTCCATATACCAATATCTATTCCTATTGTTTCATCCATTGTTAGTTTGAAATGTCGCATCAAGTCCTCGATCCATAGAATATAATTCATGCGCAGTGTAAGTGCTGGATTCAATCTATCAGGTGGTATGCTTACATGCAGATCAAAATCATGCTTCAAAAGTGTCTCTGTAAGTACACGGACACTTTCCTCCTTCTTGAAGTCTAGCTTGACTTTCCCTGTAAGATCCTACAAAATAACATTATGATTATCATGAATACTTAAGTATCAAAATATATTATTTTTATCTACAAAAAAAGTATTTATGGTAATTGTGAAAAATAATTATGAAAACGGGCCTCCTCATCAATTTCGTTGAAACTTTGCACAATTGTGTATTTTGATGCATAGAACACGATTTTGACAGAAAAAAGTATTGCTCTCAAACGGATTGAAAGTTATGAAGTGATAAAAAATAACACATGCGAGGTTAGGAAATCTGTCATGCCAATAATACAGAGACTCATAGGGTGCGTTCCGTTCTTTTTAGTCGGAAAGTATAAAATAGTACATGTGAGCGGGGGAGGAGCTCCGCCCCTCTCCCACATCCCCTCCCCAAAGGAATCCTAACCTAATCCAACTACATCTTTATATATTGTTGAAAAGATTATAATTTTTAAAACCCACGCTCAACAGTATATGATAAAGATATAATAAGTTTGGTTAGGTTAGGATTTCTTTGGGAGGGGGTGTGGGGGAAGGGCTCCGCCCCTTCACCGCTTTATATGTACTCTCTTAGGGCAAGAGCACAGGCTTTTGCATAACACATAATACATAACACATAAGAGAATAAACTAATTAGTTTTCTTCATTTCCCTCGTCAGGACAGAAATGAAGAACTCTGATCGGTTGATTCTCTTATGCGTTGTGTATTATGCGTTATGCAGAAATCTGTGCTTTGGCCCGTAGTCTGTATTATCGGCATGACAGATTTTCTAACCCCATTCGTGTTATTTTTCAGATTTTTATAACTTTTGATCCGTTTGAGAGCGACACTTTTTTCTCGCAAAATCGCGTTTTAAGCACCAAAATACACAATTGTGCAGCGAAATTGGTGAGGAGGCCCGTATTTTTCACAATTACCTAAACTTCACTTCATTCACTAAGCTGCATAGTTTTGTCTTTAATATAGAAATGGTAATAAATGTTATATACCGTGATTGCAACCTTGCGGAACTCTGGATACAAGATTGCAAGCTTCTTGTAATTCGGTGGATTTTTATATTTATTTCTCGGGTGAATATATTTCTTCACGTGCATCTTGATCAACGTTGATAGGAACCACTATATGTCAGAAACAATTAACAATAGCTAACAATTAATTGTAGTTCGGTTATTTGTAATCTCGAGTATAAAACGTTAATCCCGAGTATAAAATGTTAATAAGAATATTGTCGAGTTGTGTTACGAAAAGTTTGGTTGACTTATTATTAAACGTACTACGACACCTCGATTCTGTGCTACAATGGCCACATTCGACAGAAAAAACCAAAAACCAATAAACTTCCCACGCAAGAGCGTGTATGCGCATGTTTACGTTTACGTCACAGCTTCATGTCAGCTGCTTTCAAGCGTCGTCTACAATGGCAGTAAAGCCAGCGGCACACGGTCTTGTTTTCGTGCTGGATTGCTTGCTGGATGAAAATATTGCATTCTGATTGGTGCATTTCCATCCATCTTCGTAAAAGTACCAATCAGAACGCAGTATTTTCATCCAGCAGGCAATCCAGCATGAAAACAAAACCGTGTGCCGCTGGCTTTAGTGTGAACCATGGACGTAAGAATATATGGACGGAGTATAAAGTGCTTTTAAACGTGGTCTACAATGACAGTAAAGCCCTAAACACAATGCCAGGCAACAGGCAATAAGAATAAAAATAGACCAATCACAATAGATTATTCTTGTAATAGTCGATTGTGATTGGTCTATTTTTATTCTTATTGCCTGTTGCCTGGCATTGTGCAAGAGGCTTAAGGGCCAGAGCACAAATTTCTGCGTAATGCATAATACACAACGCATAAGAGAATCAACCAATCAGAGTTCTTCATTTCTGTCCTGAGGAGGGAAATGAAGAAAACTAATTGGTTTATTCTCTTATGTTATGTATTATGTTATGTTATGTATTATGTGTTATGCAAAAGCCTGTGCTCTTACCCTAAGAAATGGACCAACTACAGTTGATTATTTTTGTGAGTGTATATTTCTAAATCTAAAAGAATATACCAATCAAATGTAAAAGCTCATTGAGCGGGTGATGCTAATGCCGAGGGTACTGGACATGATGAGGTAAAAGATTTTTTCCAAACATTGGCGGAAAAAAGTGCACGATCAACTATGCGAAAATTCAAGTGAATTCCTTGCAGCATTCCAAGAACTTTTTGTCTTCTGCAATTTTCCCCCAAACCCCACCATTCTCGAGTAAAGAATTCAGAAAGTTTGAAAATTTCAATTTTGGAGGCTGAATAAGTGAAATTAGTTTGCGTTATAAAAAAAATGCTTCAGACAAAAGTTTCATTTTTTTTTACGTAGAATCGATTGCCGATGTGAAAAATAGGGGTTCCTATTTAAGAAAAAAAAGTTGACCTTGAATGACCTTGAACCCTTCACCCGAGGTCAAAATTGTTGATGGCATCGAATGTCCCCCTTAGAACTGAACAACATTTGTCTGACATTTTTTTCTGGAAAATATCCTCGAATTTTATTCAGCCGGCCGGATTAAAATGGGACACCTTGTATATATCTGAAAGTAAAGACAATTCATCTACCTACATATATATTAATAACGAAAATCCAAAGAACTTAATTGCAACTAGCCTTTTAGAGACAACAAATTGAAATATTTCTCTTTCATTATCTCAAAATATTCATTATCTCAAAAATAACTAAAAGCGCGTCAAATTCAAAGCAGAATTGTAAATCTAACTCGACGCATACTCTATGGCTTGTCCAAGATATAACATTTCTCTCTGATGCACTCTGATGGTGAGCACGTGGAATCGGGTGTACATGGGAAACATGTTTGAATAATTAATTTTTTACAAATATGAAAGATAATTTAGTTTTCTTTAATGATTCTAGAAATTTGTGCGAGTAGTTGCGTGTCATAGAAAAAAATATATATAAATTATACCTACATACGCATATATATCGAAAGATATAATTCACAAGTATAACTTTTACATACGTGGTCTTACATGCATGCCGCGCGCTAGTGCTGAATATTCAATTTATTCATTTATGGATAACAACTTACTGAGACATGAATTTTTCAGATAATACAAAAAGTGTGCATACAAGCTACAGCTAGCGAAATGTCTGCAGCGAATGAAACACAAGACTCAACGGCTAAACACAAGACCCACAGGGACCCTAATGCGGGACGTAAGGCGGAAAAGAAGAAAGCAAAGAAAAAGCATGTTCAGGAATTAACAGATAAGCAGAGGAATCCAAAGGCGTTCACATTCAACTCTGCGGTAAAAGCCGAGAGGAGATTCAGGCGTAAGCAGGACATTGAAACCAAAAAGCAGCATATACCTTTAGTCGATAGAACACCTTTGGAACCTCCACCGATCATGGTGGCTGTGGTGGGACCGCCAAAAGTGGGCAAATCTCTGGTTATTCAATGCTTAATCAAAAGCTATGTGAAGCAGCCTTTGACCAACATACTTGGTCCAGTCACTGTTGTATCTGGTAAAAAGCGAAGAATTACTTTTATGGAATGCAACAATGACATCAACAGCATGATAGATATCGCCAAGGTGGCAGATCTGGTACTGCTACTGGTAGATGCATCCTTTGGATTTGAGATGGAAATATTCGAGTTTCTAAATATATGTCAGGTGCATGGTATGCCTAGGGTAATGGGTGTACTCACTCATCTGGACTTGATCAAGAACTCTAAACAAATGAGAAAAACAAAGAAGACACTGAAGCATCGTTTCTGGACAGAGGTATATTCCGGCGCAAAACTGTTCTATCTCTCCGGCTTGCTGCATGACGAGTACCTGCGTATGGAAATTAAGAATCTAGCACGCTTCATATCTGTAATGAAATTCAGGCCCTTGATTTGGCGAACCACTCATCCTTACATTCTTGCTGATAGAATAGAGGATCTGACATCACCAGAATTAATCAGGCAAAATCCAAAAATTGATAGAACAATCAGTTTATATGGGTAAGCACAGAAAATGGAATAAAAGTATTGTATCTTTGTCTAATCTATGTACACACATGTATCAATTACGTCAGAACAGTGCAAAGATATAGATATTATAAATTATTATTAATTAAATTATTATTATAAATTATAAATTATTATAAAATAAAAGAACAATTATTTTTAGAATTTTACCAAATATGTACTTTGCAAACATTTCTAAATCTTGGAGAGCATCTTACATGATGCATGATAACAATTTTTTTGATAGCATTTTTAATAATTTTCATTTTTCTCAAGTATTTTTTCAAGTATTATTGTTTATAAAGATTTATATGAAGTATATAAGATCTTATTTACAATTTATGTATTTGTAATTTATATATTAATAAAATATATAACCGATCTACTTCAGATATGTCAGAGGAATTCCTTTGAATAAAGAGACGTCTGTACACATACCCGGCTGCGGAGACATGAAGATCAAGGACGTGAGCTTTCTACCAGATCCCTGTCCCCTGCCGGAGCAAATCAAGAAACGTGCCCTGGTGGAGAAGGAACGGCTTATCTACGCACCGTTTTCCGGCGTCGGTGGAATAGTCTATGATAAAGACGCCGTCTACGTGGAACTGGGTGGTAGTCATTCCTATAAGGAAGAAGACACTGGAATAGCTAGTGTGTTAATGAACACGCAGGAGACGCTTGACCAGAAACTCCAGCGCAGCGAGCTGCAATTGTTCAGCGACGCCGCACCGATCAAATCACAGGATGTAAACGAGACTATGACACCTTATATAGGCAAATTGGTGGTAGAGAACGGAAGAATTCGTCGGAAAGTGGTATTTAATGATGACAAATCTAGCGATGATGCGGGCGAAAATGTCAATCAAAATGAAAATGAAAACAATGAGAACGACGACAACGATGATGATGTCGACAGTGACGTTGAAAATGAATCGAGCGATGAGGAGACTGTGGAACTTGGAAGTGAGAAGGGCACCAAGAGGAAAAGAACCGAAAAAGACGATACACAGAGTAAAAAGAAGAAAATATCGGCTACTGAAGTTGAAGATGATATGAATCTTGATGAGATTGAATTGATGAAAGATAAGAGGAAGCAAGTTCTCCAAGAAAATACTACGGGAGTGTACCATTCTCTGAGTAAAGAATCAGACGTACTAATCAAGAATAAGGTTTCGGAAGCACTAAGTTTCCTCGAGGCAACTAAGAAGAATGCGAAACAAGACGGCGACGATGAAAGTTTCGACGAGCTTAGTGACGGAGATTCGCGTGCGGGATTAGAGATGGACGATTCGGATCAGACTAGTGATTCCGAGGAGGAAGAACTAGAAGACGAGCAAGAAGACGAAGACAGAGAAGAGCACGAAGAAGAGGAAGAAGAAGAAGAAAAAAAGGAGGAAGAGGAGGAGAAGAAAGTAAAAACGAACAAAAAAGACGGTGAGATGGACGAAAGCAAAGAAGTGGCGGATGAGTTAAAGTGGAAGGTGAACTTAGCCGAGAAGGCGAAACAGGCGTTCATTAATCGCCAGCAAAACAACAAAAATCTGATGAAGCTAGTGTACGATGTGTTGCATAAGAACAACTCGTCGACCAACAAGGAAACGAAGAAAGAAGAGGAAGAGGATGAAGAGGCCGGCGAAGATATAGGTGAGATACTGCGCACGGTTCAAGAGAAGCAAAAGCAAAAAATTCAAGAGCGAGAGTTGCAGAATCAGGAGGAATCAGTTTTCTTCACAACGGAGGACCCGCGTGATTGGTTAGAGGAGGTGAACAAAACGCTATTGATCAACCGTTTTGTGACGGGCAAGTGGAAGGAATCGGAGGATGCTGAGGAGCTTCTGAAGTTGGATGACATGAACGACGATGAGGAGGAGATATATGGCGACTTCGAAGACTTGGAGACTGGGCAGAAGTACGAGGCAACTCGGCCGGCATCCGAAGAGTTGCTAGCGGAGGACGAGATGGATGAAAAAAAGAAGTTGTTGGAGAAGAAGAGAAAGCTGAAAGAACAATTTGACGCGGAGTACGATAACTCGGAGACAAAAACGTACTACGACCAGCTGAAGGCCGAAGTCGAGAGGCAGGCGGGTATCAACAAATCAGAGTTTGAAGGTCTGGACGATGATATGAGGGTACAGCTGGAGGGCTATCGGCCGGGGATGTACGTGCGTGTGGAGATCGAGACGGTGCCGTGCGAACTGATCACACATCTAGACCCGACTTATCCGCTCATCATCGGTGGTCTGCTGCACGGCGAAGAGAACATCGGCTACGTGCAAGCGCGCGTGAAGAAACATCGTTGGTACTCGCGGATCCTTAAGAGCCGCAATCCGCTTATTTTTTCTGTAGGCTGGCGGCGTTTCCAGTCATTGCCGATCTACTCCAAGCTGGAGGATAACCTGCGCCAAAGGATGCTCAAGTACACGCCGGAACACGTGGCGTGTATGAGTCACTTGTGGGGCCCTATCACGCCACAAGGCACCGGAATATTGGCGGTGCAAGACGTTGCAAGCAGAGAGCCAGGCTTCCGCATCGCGGCGACCGGCTCGGTTGTAGAAATGGACAAGAGCACGCAGGTAGTGAAGAAGCTCAAACTGACCGGTGTACCCATGAAGATCTATCGCAAGACCGCGTTCATCAAAGATATGTTCAACAGCGCACTCGAGGTCGCCAAGTTCGAGGGTGCTAGGATTAAAACAGTATCGGGTATCCGTGGGCAGATTAAGAAGGCGGCGGCCAAGCCGGAAGGTTGCTTTCGTGCTACATTCGAAGATAAGATACTGCTGAGCGACATAGTGTTCTGTCGCACGTGGTATAAGATCGACGTGCCGCGCTTCTACAACCCGGTGACATCGCTGCTCTTGCCACCGGCCGAGAAGAATCAATGGCGAGGCATGAAGACTACGGGGCAACTGAAGCGAGAGAGGGACATCCGCGCCGAGGCCAACAGAGATTCCATGTACACGGCGATTCACCGAGAGCCTAAGGTATTCAAACCGCTCTACATACCGCGGAAGTTGCAGAAGGAGTTGCCGTACAGAGACAAGCCAAAGCAGGCCCCGCCGCCGAATCGCAATCCCAAGTTCGGCAAGGGCAGAGTCGCCGTGGTGCGCGAGCCCGAGGAGCGAAAGGTCGCGCGTCTCATGAGAATGATCAGGACGAGTTACGCGCGCAAGCAGCAGCAGACCAAACAGGCGATGACAAAGAGAATCACGGAATATCAAGCGCGAGTTGCAGCGGAAGGAACCAAGAGATTGAAGAAGCAAAGGGAAATGAAGAAAGAGGTATTCAGGAATCTTAGCAAGCTGGAGAAAAAGGAAAAACGAGTAAAAAAGTAAAGTGTTTGGAGAAAAAGAGTGTATATAATGAACGCTGGTTGAACGAATGATCGCCGATAGTGCCGTTGATCTCGTCGGACCCGGCCTCCGCGGTGTTGAAACTGATCTTATTCGTGGGGTGTAGCTTCAAGCGACCGTCGCAATATCGTCGTACACAACAGACCATCTACCTACAATTAAATCTCACTGAGTATATTGTAAATATTGTAAATGAAATTAACGAAACAAATATTGCTTTATATAGAAATATATTTGAAATATTGTTTATGTACATATATTAAAGATATGTAAACTATTTTAGTATTTCTGCTGAAAGAAAATTAAAATTAAAATTGGAGCGCGCACGCGCTGCCCTTCCGGAGTCAATAAATCGCCGGTTAACTGTAGCAATTCGAAGATGAAAAACGTTTGCGTCTCTTTCGGAATTAGCGGAGGCTTCCGATACGTCTCGTCGAGGCAGCCGGAGGTAAATTCCATCCCCTATTCGATCGCGATCGTGCGATCGCCCAGTAATCAGCGTATCGCGAGAACTCGAGTAACCACCAACTTCGCTTCATCGGCCTCATCCTCCCCTCTCTCTCTCTCTCTCTCTCTCTCTCTCTCTCTCTCTCTCTCTCTCTCTCTCTCTCACATTCTCTCTCTCTCTCTCACACATTCTCTCTCTCTCTCTCTCACATTCTCTCACTCACTCTCTCACTCACTCTCTCTCTCATTCTCTCACTCACTCTCTCTCTCTCTCCCTCCCTCCCCCCTCCCTCCCTCTCTCCTTCTCACCCCCCTCTCTCTCTCTACATTATTAATACAACGAATAATTAATTATTTATTAATTATTTCAACTCAGTAGATTGTCGCCATACTTTCCATCGTATGAAACATATGTAAAATTCAAGTATGCTTCAGCAAAAATGACAATAACGAAATGATTTAAGAAACATTTAAAATTAATCTTCAACGCTGTACTAAAACCTTTTATACGTTTGCTTCAATTTCGCATTTTATTAAGAGATAATAACATAGTTTTCGACATAAAATGAACAACTTATAATATATTTTGAGAAAATAACACAATTGACATGTCATGTAAGAACTATATAGTTAATGCATTTTTTGTTTGTTTCTATCATCGCATTTGTAACTAGAATTCTCAATATTTAAATCTCTAATTATTTTCTAGAATTAATCTCTTGAAAAAAAGAAAATAAACTCATACATAGATATAAGTTCGTATATAATTTTTAAATTACGCGAAGTAACGAAGGAATCTAGTATTATGTGGATATACAATTGTTAATAAGTGAGAAACGAAGGAGAGAGAATTTTTATTTTATAAAACAGTTATTTGGGTTCGTGTCTATATCGCAGGAATTCATGGGCATCATATTTTTGCGTTTAGGTGCGGTTGCAGTAGGTATTCGAAAACCGTCAGCGGTTTTATACTGTCTCTTGATGTTCGCTAAGTGCGTAGGTATTACTTCGACGGATTTCATCGATTCTGTGGAATATCTGCGAACAATGAGAAACGTGAAAGAACGTTCAGGGAAATTATTCCTTCGTTTATCAGAAAATAATGTAAAAAGAAATGTGTAAGAAAGAAAAACGATCTACTATGGTTATCAAAAACTTCTGTTTCTATTGTAATCATTTTCGATTCGAACGCGCGTGACAATGGTGTTTGCCGATTGTTCTTCGAGTTTTCGTCTCTTACCCTGAGCTCGAATGAATAAAAATATTAGAATTTTTCGGTGTTTTTATTGTACTCGGCATGTGTCGCGAGGTCTCCCGTTGTACGTCGGAGAACAATAGCTTCTTGTCGAATTTATCCATCTCGATTTTTAAGTTCAAGTACTTGTCGGTGAGTTTTTTCATGACATGTTGCACGGTCAAATAATGATCCTTCAGTATGTCGTACTTTTTCTCCTTAAAAAGCAATCATGGTGACATGAACATGTGAGGATCATAAAAACAAAATAAGGTACACTCTAAACTCTAAAGTGAAAAAGAGGGAAAAGAAGAACACAGCCTGCAAATTGTGAATTCTAAATTCTAAAGGGACGAAGAAAAAATGACCTGCGAGAAACAGTTAAATATATTTTAAATATGTTTTAAATATGTTATAAATATAACATCATATTTGTCTTTCATATGAACCAAGTTAAACTCAAATACAAAAACCGTGGTTAAATGATAACCAAAATCTTATTTGTTTCAGATATAGAATCAAATTTAGGACTCAGTTTTTGTTAGGTGCATATTAAATATTAATATAATCTGTATATACGTCTGGACCAAGTTAATCTAATCGCTGGATCATATTTAAATTTAATTTAGATGCATATTAAAAACATATTTGAATTAAGTTACTTTTTAATTTAATATTTATTAACTTTATAATTCAATTTTATTTAATATTAATTAATTTAATATTTTAATTTAATTTAATATTTAATATTTTAATATTTTTAATTTAATATTTCTTATTTTAATCTGACTTATAAAGAACAAATATGAACTATATTTAAAACATATTCAACTGCTTTTCGTGGGGAGAGATAGCCTCTTATGTGTGTATGTGTGTATGTGTATGTACGTACAAGTTCGAGAAAGCGCTGCATAGTTATTTTCATCTGTCGGTTTCGAAACTCGTTGACTTTTAACAGGATCTCGAGAGTTTCGGCGAATGGCACGAATAATTGGCGCACGTTGGGATCCTTCAATGGCTCTTTCAGTGTCACGGATATGAAGCCGATGTACCCGCATTGCGTGCACTGCTTCTTGGCTGCAAAAGTGCGACAGGAACGAGATGATTTTGCGGAGAGTTACGGATGATGGAGAATCGTGACGTCGTTTTCACAAGACTCGCTCTCAGTACGAATACCTTGTTGCAAGCAATCCTGGCAGTAAATATGTCCGCATTGCGTTATATTATACGGCTGTTTCCCTCTGTACATCGGGGCGAAGCATTTATTGCATATTAACGTATCCATGTGTGAAAAAGTATCGCAACTGGAAAAGTACGAGACGTGTGACTCGAGAGATCAACATTTTTTTTCCCGCGACTTACGAGTACTACTTTGAAGCCGGAAGTGATATTCTTACTCGCATCGCGATGTATTCTCTCCCGTCTCGTTGAAATTATAATACATTATACATTTAGAATGAAATAATTAAAACTTACTTACACTCCAAATGTATCAATTGGACGAATCAAATTCTATTTCTTTCAATATAACGGAATAGACGATAATCGTGGGCGGCGATTCCACACAAATTTCAAAATGGCGCCAAACATGGCGGCGCGAAACTGGCCGTGTTCCGAAGTTCACTGCCAGTACTGAAATATATAGTTTGTGTCACTCAAACTATAAATTTTCAGCGCTGACAGTGAATATCGGAACGCAGCCACAGGGTCTGTTCTTTTTAGCTGCACTGCTAAACCGGTGCAACAAGTTAAGCCCTAAACACAATGCCAGGCAACAGGCAATAAGAATAAAAATAGACCAATCACAATCGACTATTACAAGAATAATCTATTGTGATTGGTCTATTTTTATTCTTACTGCCGTTGCCTGACATTGTGTTTAGGGCTTTAGAGTGAGAAATATATAGTTGTCTCATTCTAACTTGTTGCACTAGTTCAGCAGTGCAGTTAAAAAGAACAGACCATCTATATACACAAGCTGCGTTTCAATGATCACTGCCAGCACTGAAAATCTATAGTGTACGTGACATAAACTATATATTTTCTGTACTGGCAGCGAATTTTGGAACACGGCCTTCGTATCTCGTCGGTGACCGCAAACTTCAATGGCAATGACTAATTTTTAACATTTATTTAATTTAATAATGTTCAACAGGATGTAATTCCGGTACGAATAACGATAACGAAATAGTTCGAACAGAATCTATAGTTTGAAGCTTTTTTGATTTCCGTGCCTTACGACGTTTTGATTGTTTTCAGCTGAAATATGCCGAATTAAGTAAGAAATAAAGCAGTCACTTTACTCTTGCATTTCATATTGTGAAAAATTAATAAACTTTAGACTCACAAATATATCTGGAAACTGAGAACTTCGAATTGTAAAACGCTTCTCGAGACACGTTATCGTTATTTTCACCGAAATTACAGCCTATTGAATTTATTTAACGGCAAGTCAAATAAACTTTTTAATTTCAAGTAGCACGACACAACGATGAATCAGACAGATATTTGATTTTCGTATAATATCAATGACAAATCTCAAGTGAATTTTTCTCTTCAAAGACGACTAAAATAATAGAACAGAAGGATTTCCTTATAGACGTGAACAGCACTTGTGTGTATCATTTTTGACGCGAGAAATAAGAGTGAGCGATAGACATTACAGGAGACAGCCACCTTTGGCCATTTAGAGAAGTGCGGAGTGTAGAAGAAAGGGTAAAACGCCATTTAAAGTATGTGCTCGTCAAAGCACGATAACAAAGGCAGCGTAGAAAACAGATAGGGAACGGACGGATAAACACCTGTTGGTTCTGCGGAGCTGCCGCGAACCGCAATGACCCACCTGTTCAAGAACCTAACCAACAGCATTTGGCATGCATTCCATGCATTGCAGGCCGATTCTGGTAACACAGTTGCCAAGTCAAAGTTAAAGGTAAATGTCGAAAAAGTAGCTCAGGCTGCAAGTCACAATATGTGAGTCATATTTGATAACTAGTCTTATTCTTCTTTCTTTATGTTTATTAATTTACATATTTTGGTTTAATTTATATCTTGATTAGTCTATTTAGGTACTATGGAAGGTTTATTCTGCATATTTGTTATCTGTCTACAGGTTCTAACAGCCAATATCGGTACATTAATGGACTTGTACGGTGTGGAGAAGGGTCTAGAGCATTATCGGAGCACCCAGTATCTAACATTTGATCAGTACACCTATTATTTGCAGAAAGAAGTAAGATACTGTGAAATTAAAAATCAGTGAGTTACTTGGACAAAACTGAGCAAATGCTAATGCTGATGCTTCTTGAGCGAGAAATATATTTAGGATTTTTCTTCTTTCCTTTATTAAGGGCATTTGCATTGCTTCAAACAGTCCAGCCTAATGTATGTTATAACAAGTATCGCTAACTTGAAGTTATTACTGACTTAGGTGTTTTCTTCTGTTACTGATGCTACTTCTATACAAACGCTAAGAGCACTAGAAGAAGGAATAGATGAGATCTGCTGGTTGATTTGTAAGAAAGTATATTTGGAGAGGTCTCATCCAGTCTTTGAGGATCACAGTGTCTATCAGTTGTTTAGAATTTACTGTCTGCTTGCTGAAACTGAACCAGATGCAACAGATGCTTATCTGGTTTGTTGTTTTTATTATAAACAAGATACCTATTATGATTCAGTATTTAACACGTCATCCTTTTAACGTAGATAACAATGCACGGCGACGAAGTGGCTCGAATTGCTTCCCATCTTGTGATGTCTCTGGGCCTGCAATGGGACGCAGTAGATTTCTCAGCTCTATCAGCGGCTATCGGGATGTTTAGGTAGTTTTATATTTATTCATTTAAACGTAAAATCGCAAACAAACATTTTGCTTATGAGAAATATTCCTCCAAGGTTCTCTACATTTCTGGCAGTTCTTGAATCCAAATACAGTGGTGGCAACACATTGGATACTGTCGCGTTAACAGAAGCAATCGACGACCTGTACCAGATATATGTGGAGAACGTGGTGAAGAAGGTAAATCAAAGTTTCAAAAAGGTTACACAATTAAAGTTTGCATAATAAATGGGTCACAAATTAAATAGAAATGATGTTACAGGGATATTTGATGAAAAAAGGTTTTCTATTGCCGACGTTGCGATACTTCTGGTTCGTGTTGCGTCCCGGCGAATTGACATATTATAAAGACTCTCAACAAAAAGACCCATCAGGATTAATACTGTTGAACGCCAACTGCTGGGCTGATGCGTCAGTCAATAGTGGCAAACCTGATAGAAGATTCATGCTCAGTACTCCTGAGCACAGATGCATTGAGTTGGTGGCAGAAGACCATAAGGGCAGGCTTCAGTGGCTCGCAGCTTTGCAAATTGCCATTCAGCACTCAGGCGAGAAGATAGGTTACCAAAGGAGTTTGGCTAATCAGAGGAGATCCTTACGACAGGTATGATCGACAATGAAAATCTAATGAGATGTATATTATTGCTACGAATATATTAATGTTCTTTCTTTGATATTTACATCAGGCAATTAAACAAGAGAAAGAGGAGACCAAGCTGGAGCTTCAGCACGAAAGACAAGCTAGAGTTGCAGCCGAAATACAGGCTCGGAAACTGGAAGCTCTGTCGAAGGAGGAATGTGCCAAGGTACAACAGCTGGAGGATGTGAAGCATAAGCTGGAGTTGCTATTACAGGAGGAGAAACAAGCTTTACGTGATGAGGAGATAGGTGAGAGTACATTTATTTTATATCATGCTACATTTCTTCTAGATCACATTTAAATATATTACACATATCACACAGTACGAAGTCTGCAAGCGAGAGTTTTACGTGAGGAATGGGAAAAAAGGGAGCAACTGGAGAAACTGCAGGAGGAGCAGCAGAAACTACTGGAAATGGAAAAAATGAAGAGACTGGAGTTTGAGCGAATGCAACAGGAGAACGAGCGACAATTGCAAGGTCTGTAAGCTCTTCTCCTTGCTCAGGAGCTTCATACTCCTTGTGTGAATGTATATTTTGTCTTATATCTTTACTTTAAGACTTCATTTTATATAATTCTATTCTTTTATTTTAATTTGTAGAGGCCGATTTAAGACTGCAACAACTAGAGGCAGAGAGACAAAATTTGGACACTGAACTGCGAGCCGCGCGCGAGAAGGTAAAACGCGCTGAGGAGGCTCAGCTTCTGCTGGAGGCTCAAATTTTGGCGCGACCGCTAAGAGGAGGTGAGAGAATCAGACGCACTCAGAGCTTCATACCGACAACGAAGGAAAGGCCGCTTTTGGAAAAGCTCGAAAGCAGCAGACCCATGACGCTGCATAAAAATCTCTGATGCATGTGGGCGCCAGAAGGTCGAAAAAGAAAACACAGCATTTATCGCTCGAGTTGCATTTAAATCTTCCACCAAATAGAACGACACAAAGAGCCTGGTAGAAACTATTATAGGGTTGAAAGGTAACTATACCTTATCTTCGCGAGGAATACCCATAAGATTTTCCAAGTGTAATCAGGGTACGAATTCGACACACAGTTCCTTATTCCTCTCGTCCACTTACCTTGTGTCCGCAAACTTAGCCAAAAAATATTGGTATTTTATAGGATTACTATTGCGTGTATACGAGAAGATTACGCGAAGAAGTATACGCGAATCTCTCCATTCTTGATCGTCTTAAAAGTAACGCAATGTTTGCAGATTTTAGAAATCTGAACCATACTTCCACACTTCTGTGACACATATTATACACACGAACACCACATGTACATCAGATAGTGTAGATATATTTTGTTCTTGATCATCTTTACTGAAGTAAGAAAATATTTAACGCAAATTTAATCCTAATTCCGTTGAGATGTGTATACAAAACTGCAAGATATTTTCTCTAATATATACGCGCGCATATAAAATATTTTTAATATCTTATATAAAACAGAGAGACTCTAAAGCTTTCCGAATATAGGCGGAAAAACATTTCCTAATATTTTATCCGAGTCAAATTGGATTTCTTATTTGAGTCGGATAAGATTTTACAATATTTTTATATAAGTGATGTAAAATCAGTTTTTACTAATTAAATAAGTAGAGCTTGATCGTTATTGATCAAACATATACTGCACATGGCTGACCGCGGCAGTCCCAGTGTGTTGTTATCCTTGAGAAGAATTTGTATCTTGTTAAAAATAAACGATCTGAATACTAATTTATAAAAAAGGAATATAAGATCATTTATTCGCCACAAGATGCCGAGAAAAAAGGGAAAAGGAAATAAGTTAGCTCGCATGAGCGACGAGGAACGCGCTCGTTACTTGCAGCATCGAGCCGAATTGGAATTAGAAGCAAAACGACGCAAGCAACAGCTGATTGCAGCTTTTACAAAGGTACTGTGAGTACATAATTAAAAAAACGTGAATGCGACTTTGTAAACGGAATATTTTTCGGACGTAGAACAAGCTAAAACGCGAAGAGGCGTTCTCTCGATTGAACACCGCGAAAATCAACGAACAATGGAGGTTTATTCTACGACGAATCAAGTGCAAAGAGCTTCACGAAAACGTAGAATATTTGTGGAAGAATTTCGATCGCATGATGAAGACGAAAGATTCGATAATACAACGCTTGTATAACGAGCTAGACGCGGCAGATGTGGATCACAGAAGACTACAAGAGGCTCATATTCAGATAATGGATTTCGTATTCGGTAGCTCACACGTGTAGCATATCTAAAATCAAACAAATTTGAATTTATGCACCGAACAGTCGAATATTCTAATTTATTATCATAAGGATTCTAATTTTAAGTCTCACATATATGTATATATAAAATTTCAAGCATCACTCTGATCTTAATTTTTGTAAAATTTATTAATATATTAATGGACTTGCTAATATACGCATAGGAAAGTACAAGCAAAGATGCACTCGTCTGTATGAATCCTTCGTACGTGAGCGCAATCATATTGTTTTGAACGAAGTGAAAGAATTGAATGAAATACGAAAAAACCTAGAACAACGTTGCGAACAAGTGCAGAGTATCATCTTCGAGCAAGACAAGCAGATAGAAAACGCATTGATGCAAACGAAGATTCAGAACGCAGTTAACACGTACAGCATCGTGTATCTGGTACGGGTTTATATCTTATCGTTATCTTTGTGATACAAATTGATATCGACCCTTTGAACCAAAAATATTTCAGAAGGAGGATTCCGTATCGCATTTGATGCAATACACCTCTAACGAGATTGAGAAATTGTGGCGGCAGCTGAACGAGACGATAACCGAGTACGAGAGGAACACGAGAGACAAGAGAAAACAGTACGAATACTTGAAGGAACAAGACGATGCTCATCATGCGGACGTGGCGCAATACCCGAGATTGCACACGCAATTACAGGGCGCGATCAAGAACCTCAGGCAGGACACACAAGCGTTATCGGAGAAACGCGAGCAGACTATAACGGAACTCAAGGATCACATCGTGCGTATGGGAAAGAAACTTCAGAGTTTGAGACAGGAATTCTCTATGGCTCGAATGTTGGACGCCACACAGTTGAAGAAATTAACCATTATCAGCGCCAGTGTTCTGAAAGTAAGAAGATACACCTTCCTTACTCTTCTGCGGGTTTTACACGCGGGGAAAAATAATTATTGTCAAAAGTTATTAAATTGAATTGTTATCGTTATCGTAATCGTTGTATACGCTAAGCTGCAATTATCGGAGAGTTTAGCTGTTACATCTTAAAACGCATCTTCGAAGTTGCTCGATTTGCAGGAGTTGCAGAGGATTTCAGAGAAGGGCACGATGTTGCTTTCGTTGCTGAAGATGTGTTCGAACTTGGAGCCGTTTTCGTTGACCGTTCAAAGATACACTTTGCGCGACACAGGATCTAGGAGAGCTTTCACCAGCTGCGTGAGTATCGAGCGTGAGGAACGAATGTTAAGACAGTTGCGCGATACGAGATTGCTTTCGTAGATGTCGGAGCCGTTCGACAAGCTGGAGAAGTTTTGGGAGCAGTACAATTACATTAAGGCCGACAACATATTTATGAGAAAGGAGTGTGACAAGTTGTCGTTCGAGAACAAACAATTGAGGAACACGTTACGCACGTATCTCATAACAGTTTCCAGAACTCCGGCTGCACGGCCATTTGCATCTGTTATCGTATCGTGAATGTACTCGCATTCCCATCGTATCTAGAGAGAGAAGTTCGACATTCTTGCACGAGAATCACTGAAAACATATACGTGTTCGGGTATCTGAAGTGAAACGAATTTCGTATCAATACTTTTCTCATGATTAGTAGTCTAATCTCTTTGTACATACGACACGCTGGAAAATCAAGGAGCGGATATTAAGAGAGAAAAATTTATTATCTAACGGTGAGTAAATATGCCTCCTCCCAGCGGCAAATATTTGTACGGTCGAGAGCGAGTCCTCCCTCTCACAGGATGGAAGAAAATCTTCTCTTTCGGCGCCATGCTCTCTGTCTCCAAATAGATATCGAAACAAGCCCTCAAACGCTGGATCTGCGCGACTAACGTCGGTGATTTCGTCCACATCACGTTAACTTCTCTTTCGATGTCTCTAACGATATCGGCAGATGCTGGAACCATGGGGCTGATGCTCACGTTGAATATCGGCGCGATTTTCGGGTAATCGGGTTTAATGGCGATTCTCGCCACGAGCTCACCTAAGAGAATATTTTAAACGTATAACATTCTATGTTTCATTACACATTCATTTCGTGATTGATTCTCAATACTGAAGATAATCTTACTGCTTCCACGACGAAATATAGCCTCATAGAAGATATCTATAGATGACAGCAGTTCCCGCTGACAAAAATTAGGCGAGGATACGTAATTTGAGTAATTTTTCCAAGTTATGGTCATGAAACGGTGCAACGACGTGGAGATCTTCTGCGGCATCGGATCTGTCGTACTAACGAGGATTGGTAAATTGCCAGACTCCAGGTGTCGTATTTCCTTACACAAGTCCAATCTTGCTTTCACGCGCTGTTTAATCTCCTTCAATACACTTTCGACGCAGTCTTGACTCAATTCTTGACTCGTGAGCTGTATAGAAATGGTAAATTTGCATTTTAGCTGAACAGAACGGTGATCTGATCACGTTTACTGATCGACATGTACCTTTTGTTCGCGTATATTCGATGAAACAAATGTCAGACCAGCCATTCTTTGCGCCCATTTATAGGGAATGCCTAGTCCCAATAACGATAGCGGACCCGTTATGTTATAGCGTGATAGTTGATACTGATTGGCAGGATTTGGACTCTCCAACCCCAGATCCCGTGGATACAATTCTCGGAGAATCGATTCAGATATTAACATATCCCTGTTGGTTGAACGTAAAATGAAAAATTTCTAAGTAAAGCGAATCCATTTCACATCGAAATACTCTCACTATGGTGTGCGTGTATGTGTGTGTGTGTTAGTATTTAAATAATCAGATTTCACATACCCAGCACTAATACCTCCCAATTCTTCTGTGTCAAGTTTTGACTCTACTGTAACTACTTTTAAATAAATCAGGTAATAGAAATGCAAAGTCAATTTCGTTTCACCTAAAAAATACAACTTTGTTAAATTTTTTAGTTCATATCGAATATATTTTAAATAATTGGGTTTCCTATAAAATATGTAGATCTATCTGTAATTTACCTTTGAAAGTGATCACAATTTTTACATGCAATGGGTGTCGTTGCATTAATTTTGATCTTTTCTCTTCTTGTCTAGCTTCACGAGATAATCTATGATGTCTTTTTTTGTGCACTGGTGTTTCCTCCACGATATTCTCCGATTGATTTTCAGTGTCTGAATCGGATTCCTGTAGACCATCCTGACTATTTGCACGTTTTGCCTCATCCTCATCACCTTCTACTTTGACTAGCAATGTACTATCTATAAAGATATGAGTAGCCGCTGCTATGAAATTTTCATTTGCGGAATGGTTACATATGCTTATATTTTAATATATATGTATTATATACGTATCATATAATAATTATAAGCACATAAAATATTATGTACTTATATTTACATATATGTAATATGTTTTTTTTTATATAAGCAAAGATATTTGATTATATTGTAATCATAATTTATATATTGCTATATATTAATTACATTAATATCGATATTGAATATTCCTATTAATCATACCATAAGCATCCCTATAGGCAGATACTTTCGCATACAGGACATAAAGTGGTGATGCGAGTAACGATGCCTTTTGATGCTCCTGACGAATTCTATCGAGCGGCAATCCAAGACTTTCTTGCAATGGTTTGCTTGCCTGTAACATGTGAGAAATTTAATTTCCTAACTGTACAAACGTTTGATAAAAGAATTTATAAACAGAAATAGACTGCTACTTCTAATATGGAACGTAGCTGTGGCGCGAGATTATCCAAACGTGTTTGTTTTGTATCAATGCTAGCTGCTACTGCTTTTTTACTTTCTGTTAGTTCATCGCACAATGCCGCCAATTGTTTCCTTTGTGTCAGTTCCCATTCCAAACGTGCCAACCTTAATTGATGTGGATTGTTTTTTGTTATTTTCTAAAATACATATATAGACACTCATTGTAATTGAATAACAGCTTATTTAAATCATATTTTTTGTAAGTTGCATATAAAAGATACATACAGGCCGTGAAATATTTTCAGGAGCGTCTTTGTAAAATTCTTCTTCTGAAACAAGTTCTATTAACTCGTCTTTAGATCTGTATATTAAAGACATAATTTGTTAATCAAATACGATAAAACTTTATAAATGCTTTCATATAAAAGAATTTACTTGAACTGAAGACATTTGATAACTTCTTTCTTCAAATGCATTACTTCATACAGTAAGTTCTGTAAATGCAGATGTTTGCTGTCTACACTGCTTTTTGCTGTCACAAGAGAATCACGTGCAAATTTGGTACGAAATTTCTCCATGCGATTTAGCTTCTTTAATTCTATAAAATGCAAGGATGTCTGGATTTGCAGTTCACGAATTTCATCCTTTGCCTGTAATGTTATCAGTCTTATTATACTTCAAAAAAATTTATTAAAATTTATTAAATTTATTAAATATTTATTAAATTTATTAAAAATTTATTAAATTTATTAAAAATAGTGAAGTAATAGCCAACAATTAACTTTGTTACCAACATTTGAGTCTCCGCTGGATTTCAATTTAGCTACTTTACTCATTGCAGTTCGAATATTATTGCAAGTTGTCAGGAAGGATTCGGAATCATTCTCAGGCAATCTTTCAATGGCTTCCTTTTCTTCATGACTAATTATTGTCTAGAATACGACATTAATAAATTACATAAAAGATCACTTGATTCTACCTATAATTAATAATAATTATTTAGATGAAGATTCTTACACAGTTAAGGTTTGTTTTCTATTGAACTAACTATGTTATCTTATAATTTCTTTTTCTCCCAAAATATGTATATTTATTTTATATGTATATTTATTTTTTTTTAATTCCAAAAATGTACATTAGTTTAACGATAGAAAACAAACTTCTAGTTAATGAACAAATATTAAAACAGTTTTCAATATTTACATACTTTGTACATGTCTCCATCTTTCACTGTGGTTCCACCGCATCCGCTTACAGATTTCCTCCTTTTCTTTGTACCATCTGTTTCATTTTCTTTGCCCATTCTGTCGATTATACGTATTAAATTATATTTTTATTAATCAAATTTTAAAATATGTACTTCCGTCAACAATATATCGCGGAAAGTCAGTAAAGAAAGAGGTTAGACCCAGTGATGACAAGTCGTAGGAAAAGTCGCGCACGCGCACTGAGCAAACACTGTAGTAGCTTCACGGACCAGTGCTGAGAGATCCAAAGAATTTCCCACGCTACAGCGCATGCCTGAAATGACGTAAGCTACATATATGTCAAAACCACTGACCACTGACGGTTTAAAACGCATGATAGAGGATCCATGGAGGGGCCCGCGCAAAATATCTGTGTCTTCCGTAGTTGCTTTCCCACGTTTCTTCCGCGAGTGCGTGGTTTAGAGTTGGGGCCAGAGCACAGACTTCTGCACAACGCATAATACACAACGCATAAGAGAATCAACCAATCACAGTTCTTCATTTCTGTCCTGAGGAGGGAAATGAAGGGCCAGAGCACATACTTCTGCATAACACATAATACACAACGCATAAGAGAATCAACCAATCAGAGTTCTTCATTTCTATCCTGAGGTGGGAAATGAAGAAAACTAATTGGTTTATTCTCTTATGCATTATGTATTATGCGTTATGCAAAGGCCTGTGCTCTTGCCCGAAGAAAACTAATTGATTTATTCTCTTATGCGTTATGTATTATGTGTTAGGCAAAAGCCTGTGCTCTTGCCCTTAGGTTACCCAGTAAACATTAAATATGTTATATTTATGTTACGTCACATCAACATTATAATTTCTTAATATCATTAATTAATGTAATGTAAATGTTACTTAGTGTTTATATGTAGTGTGTAAGAATAGTGATAGTGCAATCAGTGATATCATAGTGCAATTATAGTGTTCATTTTTTGTTAAATAAAATATTAAGTGCTGTGAAAATGGATGACCAACCTTCAACCAGTGGCATCGAGAAGAGGAAAGTTGGAGCACAAAAATTTAGAACAGCGTGGTTAGGTATGAATATTTTTAAAGATTAGTTGACATGACATCAGGTACGTTCAATAACAGTGAAAGTGTGTGATATTAAACACATTTACATATCATTAATGATAGTACTAAATATTATGTTCAATATTAAGTTCAACATTAACATAAGTATTCTTTTTAACGTTTATTTGTTTTGTACAATTTTATTGTAAGAATATTAGTAAGGTTTTTCTGCAGTTTCCCTTGCTATTACAACAAATGTTGGTATTCATATATTATTTTTCTGCAGTTATTAAAAAATAAAATTATATGTTTATTATTAATTATGAATAGTATTCTGTTTCTTTCACAGACCTTTCTATTATCCCTACAATTCCTTCATATTTTCTTTCAAACCAGGGATCTTATGTCCGTATTAGACTATAGATTGAAAATTACAGTTGGACCAACTTAAATAACCAAGATTTAAGCCAGCGGCACACGGTGCTTGTTTTCATGCTGGATTGCTTACTGGATGAAAATACTGCGTTCTGATTGGTGCATTTCCATCCATCTTCGGAAATAAACCAATCAGAACGCAGTATTTTCATCCAGCAAGCAATCCATCACGAAAATAAGTACCGTGTGCCGCTGGCTTTAGATTACCTGATTTATGCGATTGCAATTTTTAATCCATAGTATCCTACGGGCGAAAAAATACCTTTAAATTAATACGGTACTGAGGCTCCCACAGCGTTTGCTCAATGCGCATGCCCGGAAATTCTCTGGATCTCCCAGCACTGTCACGAACATATATATTTGAAGGTACCGTTAGGTCCCCACTATGAAAGAAATGTGAAGGAAATTATAGGGAACGAAAAAAGCTTCTGTTCAATAAATATAATAATATAGTTTATATATGAATAATAAAAGATAATAATAAAACTTATTAATTTGTAATTTTTTTACATTTGCAGCCAATATATTATATTTATTATTCCTATTGCACTTATTATCACAGTTCTTTCTTAACTTATCACTACATTTATCGCTACACTTATTTATTATAACATTTTACAGTATGAATATATAACCTAAGTATTCACGAGAAAAACGCGAAACAACTGTAATGGATAGCCACGCGGGACCTTTCGCGCGCATTATTTGCACCTACTATCTGCGTTTACATCAATCATTGGAAACGCTTGCGTCGAGCTCGACGTCATGCTCACGCATGCGCACAACGGCTCCCATACGGGAAAAATTCCTACGACTTGTCATCACTGGCTAGACCTGCCATGAAACTACGTAAAATGATAGACGAAGAAATAGAAAGAAATTTCCTGTCTATATAAAGAAAGTAACTATGTAGAATCGTGCATCATCAGGCTGTTTCGATTGTCATCCGAAGTGCTGGAAATAGAAAGACCTTCATAGCTCTTTCTATATCTATTTCCTAACCTTTACGAGGCAGTTTGTATAATGATGTGTGTACGTTCTCTAGTTTTAGGGTGTCTTATGTTCTTGCTAATGTTTCTAATGAGTGGTAAAGTGAGTGAAAAGCCATATGAATTTAAAAGAAATTATGGGTAAATATCATTTTATATTATATTGAATATATATATTTTATCACACATACACACAAAATTACTTAATTAAATTAAATCCATATTTGAACCACCTTGTATTTGTTCCATTTCTTATATTTTAATCAATAATGAAATAAAATATGAAAATTATATTAAAATCTTATTAGTATATGTTATTATTTATAAGTATCATTATTTATTTATGAAAATAAAGGTTTTATTTAATATTTTACCCTAACTGCCACCGTACATCCCTGATAGCAAATATGTTTAGAAAACATCCAAAGAATATCCTGGAGACGTCCTATATTCTTAGGACGGCCCTGGGATGTCTCTGGACGTCTCCAGGAAATTTATGCTAATCAAATGGATTGCTTCAATCTCTTAAAAATATGCGTTCTAATCGTAAATTTTCTTTTTCTTCTTCTTCTATTTCTTCTCCCATTAAAATTCTCATTATTGCATCCATTGGTCTATCTCTTTGTCTTTCTCTTTTTGCAAATATTAATTTCTTTTCTAATAAATCCTTTTTAATTGAAGATTGTTTAATATTCACTAACTGAGAGAGAGAGAGATTATTAGAAATAAAATAATAAATTAGTTTATTATAATTATTAATATTCTTATTAATAATAAGATATATAAATAAAATGTATACTTACAGGATAAAGATGATAAAAAATCTTATGTATATTATTAAATATATTGAGCTGTCAGTACACATTCACTTAATCCATAATGGAAAAAAATATCAAAACAGCCAAATAATATTTAGTAATTTCATAAAAATCACTATACTATTTTATCCGAACGTTTTTAGCTAAAACAATGGGTCTGTTCTTTTTAGCTGCACTGCTGAACTGGTGCAATAAGTTAAAGTGAGAAAAAATATAGTTGTCTCATTCTAACTTATTGCACTAGTTCAGCAGTGCAGCTAAAAAGAACAGACTAAATGGCTGCATTCAGTAGACTCAACAGTTGGACAACATTACTAGATTTTCCACTGAATCTCGCTCCTGATTGGTAAATACTTCTGGGTCTATGAAGAACCTAAAAGAATGCTCCAATCATAGACAATAATCACTAAGCGCTCTCTGATCACTTTGTTCTACTGAACGCGGCTATTACAGATAGTATAATACAATCCTCTATAACCGAAGATTCCCGATCTGTCATAGAAAAGCTATTAGATAGTACGAATTATTATAAGCATCAACTTTCCTGTCTTATCTATTTTCTTTTCCTTGCTTACGCCTTTTTATGTCTATAAAATTACGTAGTACCACAACTGAGTACAGAATTTTGCATAATATATAATGGCCCGTCTACACAAATCGCAGGACGCAGAATTGATAAGGTGAATCGTGAATCCGCCCTGAGGTATTTAACTTTTTCTAGGCACCCTAGAAAATCTCTATTTGACAGCCAGTTAAAACGTTCGATAAACTTGTACGACGCATGTAATAAGGGTGCGATCCACTAGAAGCTACAAATACTTTGAAGCGCCCAAGGAGAAACCGTGATTGATCCGTAGGGCACTTCGAAGCGTTTGCAACGTGTAATGGATCGTGCTCTTAGTCTTAAACTTCTTATTTAAGCGAACATGCCTATTAAATGTGATTCGAGTCTTTACTAAATTTTACAGAGTCTTTTATACTGGCTCCGGGAGAAAATAAGTGTCCCCATACGCCATAAATTTTACGGAGTAATCTGTACTGATCTGCAGTTTAAGGACCAGAGCACTTCTACAGACTTCTACATAAAACCCTAAACACAATGCCAGGCAACAGGCAATAAGAATAAAAATAGACCAATCACAATCGACTATTACAAGAATAATCTATTGTGATTGGTTTATTTTCATTCTTATTGCCTGTTGCCTGGCATTGTGTTTAGGGCTTAACGCATAATACACAACGCATAAGAGTATCAACCAATCAGAGTTCTTCATTTCTGTCCTGAGGAGGGAAATGAAGAAAACTAATTGATGTATTCTCTTATGCGTTATGTATTATGTGTTATGCAAAAGTCTGTGCTCTTGCCCTTAGTCTTTACTAATAAAGTGATTTTAGTCGATTAATCAAGCTTCATCGCATAACGGTTCCTACAGAAAGAACACGACAAGAAAACGTAACAGCCAATGAAACTACCACTTTTACCGTGAAAACGAAAAGTTGATTGGTTATTGAATCATATCCTATCCTCAAGAGCCAATTAGTGGCAAAGAGTAAAGGATGAGTGGTGGAGTGAGCGAGCATACGACTGGCTGGCTCGAGATGCGATTATTTCCCTCAGGTGCTCCAATGTCACGTAGTAACATTGATGGAATTGTCTCCTCCATATTCGCCCCTTACGTCGTACCTCGTGTCTATCCTGTTTTTCGCGCGTTTCACCTGGCTGTCGTACTGTTGAACGAGGAAAGCAGAAGAGTGCTTTGAAGGATACAAACTTTGAAGAAAAAAAAAGAAGACTTCGTGACGGAAGGTCTCGCCGAACGTTGTCGTCGATACGACAAAACGACGCGGTACAGCGGGCGTGGGTTCCCTTGATTATCGTCGGTTCCTCTTCTTCTTTATGTATCTCAGAACGTAATCTCGAGAACGCAGAACGAAAGGAAAAATGGAGCTGGAAGAGAGAGAGGCGAAGGTGTGCAGGCTATGTGGCCAATTTGAAAGGCTCTACATCGATGTGTTCGGCGAGGAGGGCATGAGACGCTACCTGAGCGTCAAAATCCACTCGAAGATCAACATAATGGTGAGTTGTTGTATTGCATGGCTGCGCGGGTTTCCCGTCGTAGGGTCTCGCTAGCTAACAGGTATAAGGTCGGCAAAAATAAGAGAGTTTGCACGTTTCGGCTATACTTTTTGAATGAAAAATGAAACTGGTATATCTGCGACTTCGCGAGTAAGATAGAGGTGACAAAGTGTAGAAAGTTCAGCGGAAACGAGCAGATACAACAGCTACAAGGGGAGACGCGCTTTTTATGCTTCTCCGTGGTTTTATACTAAACCAACATTCAATATAATATCTCTCATATATGTTATAAAATATCGTTGCTTTGGCTGATGCGCGAGGCTTTGTCTGCACGTAATTCAGTATCGCTTACAATGCTCCTAATTTCGATAATTTTCGAAATAATCGCAAGAAATAATGGCATATATGCACAAATAATCTCTACTAAAAATTACATGTGTATGTATGTATGTTGTGTGTATGTGAGTGTGTATATATATGGGTATGTATGATGCGTATGTATGTATGTAAGTATATACGAATGTATATATGTATCTATCTACGTATATGTGTATATACACAGAATTTTTTTCTGCTTATTTTTCACAAAAATATGACTGATATTTAAGGGACATCATGCTGAAATTTTCTTGTTATTATATTTGCTCTTTATTTATGAAGGAAAGAAACTAAATGCTTTCTTTGTTAATATGTGGAAATATGTGGTTATTAATATATTCTAAAACATTTTAATTTAATATTTAAGATTGTCTTAAGTTTGCATAGCCAATGATTAAAAAAAAATTATAGTTGATGAAACAACTCTTACAACATCTTAAGATTTAAGAGTTCTTGAGACAATCTTATTTATAAAATCAAACTATGAATATTGCTTTCAATAATTTATATTCCTTTCTTATGCCTTGAGATAATTGTATATATATCTAACACATCTAATGATCTCTAGTATGTAAGCTTTAAAAGAGAAGAAAGAAAATATATAAAGTAACTGCTACATAAGGAATATTAATTTTATTTACTAATATAGCAGAAATTAACTTTACTCAGTATCAGATTACCCCAATATGTCACTCCAATATTATAATTGATAGACTTTATTTTATATGAGATACCTTATTATATGAGATAACCTTATTTTATATGAGATTTTATGAGATACTTATCGATATGATTTTTAGAAGAAATTATACAGGTTTATTATTATTATTATGGCTTGTTATTAAATATAGCTTGTTGTTTGATACAATTTTGTTTTATAAATTACTCTTGTATTTATATATAATTGTTGTAAAAATTCTTTGCTGAAAGAAAGGAATTGCGTTGCGTTTAGAGGTGTAATTTATATACATTGTCATTATATGAATAATTTGAAATAACAATTCCAAGCTTTGTCAATAACTCCGAACTTGTCAACAACTCCAGGTATAGTTCCAGAACACTCTTGAATTTTCATTTCTATTTTCTTATCAGCTTCCTCAGACATTATATTCACAGTTTATGATGATACACAGAGACATAAAACATGAATATTGAGTTTAAATATTGAATATGAATATTGAAAAAAAAGAGTGTTCTTGACTTAATTACCAGGGGGTATCTTTATTAGTGGGTACCAGAAATACGATGTCACAATGGTGTCTCTATAGAGCAGAGCGGTAGTATTTGCATTCTCTCTTGAAAGAGAAAGAGAGAGAATAATGTAAGTTTCACGAAATAACAAGATCTCTTCGTTGCCATCCAACGGTGCACATCTCGTACTTAGGTGCTTCTTCTTTGTGAATCGCAGATAGATGAAATGGATCCTCTGCCCAAGGCGATCTGTGTTCAGTGTCTGGGCAAGCTTGAATTCGTCTGCGACTTTCAAGAGGAATGTCTACGCACCCAACATGAGTTACGCGATCGATACAATCTACCGCCCTTAACAGAGTTTGTAAGTTTGTTTTATTTCTACCGCTCTATCGCTCTCTTTCACCATGTAATTGTGCATCATGCAAGTATACGGTTATTTCCATCGTGTCTTGCATCATCATTCGAGCAATATCGAACAATATCGCGGTAGAAAGCAATTCAGTGTAACATATACAATATAGTAAAATACAATTAAACAAATCGACCGTAATTCTTATTCTAGATAATATTGCCGAACATCCATCTTATCTCTGTTAGAATTGCTATACATATTATCCTTCGATTTGCGATTGAGAAATCTTGTTCTGGTAGTTTGTGGAAAATTGTAGAAAAAAATGTTCGTTCGAAAAGCGCAACGTTCTGTTGCATTGTTACAAAAATTTAAATTCGCAAATTATTAAATTCGTTCTTCCTCTTCATTATCGTGAAACAGAGACAATCCTGGTACCCACTTGTATATCTTAATTCAATTCTCTAGACGCAGATAAAAAACGAAGACACACCACCGACCAGATCGACGGATAATAACAACAGTATTGAAAAGAATCTTAATTCTACTAGCGGCGAGGACTCCGAGCAGCAGCAGCAGCAGCAGCAACAGCAGCAGCAGCAGCAACAGCAACAACAACAGCAACAACAGAGAGTCCTCAGGAGAAGTCTCCGTAGCCAACAACAAGCTGTTAAATCTAACGACGAAATTAGCGTGGAAGAGAATTCGCAAAGTAGTCAGAGTATACAAAGCACAGAATTGACGCCGACTCGTTGGTTAAGACGTCGGCACAACGTGGACTCCACGACGTCGTCCGTGGGCAACAACAACGAGCAAGACGAAGACGTGATCCCAATCGCGAACAGATTGAGGAGTCACAATAACGCGGATAACAGTAACCAGGCTAATGCTTCTTCTTTGAGTGTCAGTAATAGCGATAACGAGAGCGCTACGGAGAAGCATTTGTCACAGGACCCATTGGTTGTGGGGTCGACGATACAATTACCAACTTCGGCGTTGAACAAATTGTTAACTCTCGTCTCCGGTTCTCCCGACATCGAGGTGTCGGTGAATGAGCCGCGGAATCGCGGCGGCGGCGGCGGCGGCGGCGGCGGCGGCGGTGGCGGCGGTGGCGGCGGCGGCGACGATGGAGACGGCGTCGGTGGTAACAGCAGTAACAGTAACGGCAGCAACAACGATGCTGAGGATATCAGTTTTACCGTGGAACTTTGTAGGAAATCAACTGAAGACGACGCATTACCGGAGTTGAGAGTGCGCGCACGGGTGTTCCCCGATCAGGGTTCCTGCATGGTCGACGCCACGATCGTGGACTTGCTGCAGAATTCTCAGAGCACCACCGTGGAAGTGAACGGTATCGTCAACAGTATCCTCAGCAGCACCGGGAAGAACAATGGTATCACGGCGTCGAAACTGAAGGACTTGGCGAAGCTGGAACAAATGACAGAAGCCATGCAAAAACCCGAGGACCTTTTTCGTGTGGATGGTGAGGAGATCAAAGTGGACGATAATGTGGAGCACGTGACGAACGACGGTCAGAACGGCTACGCGTGCAAGCTCTGTCAGAAGTTCTACGAGCGCCGGGACAAGTGCACGGTGCACGTGAAGACACATCTCGGTATCAAGCAGTACACATGCGTCGTGTGTAACGCCAAATTCGTCTGTAAATCAGACGTGATGAAGCATATCCGTTGCTCGCACACCAATCCACGGCCCATACAGTGTCCCAAGTGTCCGAAACGCTTCAAGTCCAAGTTTTACCTGACTGAGCACGATAACGTTCACAAGGGCGTGCGACCGTACAGCTGCGCCGACTGCGGGCAGAGCTACCATCACAAGGTTTCGTTGCAAATTCACATGAAGTCGCATCAGCCGTCGCAGAACCTCGCCTGCGAGTACTGCGGCAAGGTGTTTCCATATCGCACGCGACTCCTCAGTCACATCGCCAGTGTGCACCTGAAGAAACGCCGTAACTTCCGCTGCCGCTTCTGCTACAATCTGTACTCCAGTCTGTCTGTGTTGAACGAACACATCAAGACGCGCCATGCTACCACGCACACTTGCGGCATCTGCGGCAAGACTTTCAAAGTCGTGTCCAAGTTCAAGGCGCACGTAATGCAGCACTCGAATCCAAAGCCGTTTGTTTGTAGCATCTGCAACAATCGTTACGCATCTAAAGCCTTCCTTAATGAGCACCTGCTCAAGCACGAGGGCCTGCGCAAGCACAAGTGTAAAACATGCAACGCCACTTTCGCACAGGCGAGTCACCTGGCCGCACATCGCCACGTGCACGGCGAGAAGACGCACGCTTGCCCGGAGTGCGGGCGTAAATTCAATCGTCGCGATAACATGAAAGTGCACCGGAAGCGACATTTCGAACAAAAGAAGAGTGGCGGCAAGCAAAAGACTACTGCGTCCAGCGGTAATGATTCGGTGGCTGCGCCGACCGCGACTAACGAAAAATAGTGCGGGCGGACAGTGAAAATAAAATTATCATTACCAATGGCGAAATACTGGAGATTTAGGCATAAGAATTATGTAGATTTTGTATAACAAGAGACTTAAAACTGTAGATCGCGAGAGGTCAACGGTAACGCGCGTTCGACCGAGGAGTCCTGAGGCTCGAGTTTAGAAAGTAAGTGGGAGATACTTAGCGAGAGTGTTATGAAAGATTGCTCAAGGACAACGATGGTCTTTTTTTACGTATATATATATATATATATATATATGCTTGGTGCTGCCCGATGAATTATCGGCGAGAGTTCTGACCTTTAGCAATAACGGTAGTCTATTTTCTGGAAAACGAGACTTTTATTTTTTATATTTTATAAATGTCGCGCATCAACTTTTCTACTAGGATTGATGAATCCGCTTCTTCTACCTGCGATTTCGTTTCTTTCCTTCATCGGAGAATCGAGTTTGTTGAATTTTGAGAATGTATTTTCGTGTCTTTTCATCTAATTCTTTTATAGTGAATGTCGATCTACTGTATCCAAAAATATGATGAGTAATATATGAGGTATTGTCCCTGCATGTCTTCTTTCGATATCTTTCATACATTTTTATTACGTGAAAACCTTGCGCGTTCTTCTCGCAAGCACATGCGGAAGAGCGGGCAACGTTTCGAGGAAAAACGGTTTTTGTATAACAGACAATATCGAAATACGGCCAAAAACGCAATTATCCGTATAATCACGTAATTTTAGGGAAAATTCAACGACTCAATGACGCGCTAGGAATCGGGCTTCCAAAATCGACTAGAACCTCGATTAGAACGGAATTATTTTCTATAGGCCTTTGCACGTATGTACATATGTACATGCGTGTATGTATAATGTAGGTATATATGTTGTATGTATGTATGTATGTATGTATGTATGTATGTATGTATGTATGTATGTATGTATGTATGTAAAAATATATGCGTATGATGCGTGCGTGTGCGTGGGTGTGTGTATGCATGGAAAAGCGGTGATTCGCGCTTTCCATACATTTTGGAGGACACTTTACAATGACAATCTTAATATATGGAAAGCAAAGGAGAACGAAATTTAAAGTAATGTTAAGAAAGTATATTATTATCAGTGCCTTGAGAACATAAAATTGTCTTATAAATAGGAAGACAGGATCAAGTATATTTGTTCCAAATTCTCGTATTCGTTTCCCTATTTACTATATTTATTCCAGTCGTCTCTATAAATTGCCGTTCAGTACCCTAACTGACATTTGATATTAGATACAGTGACAAAGTCAATGTGAATTGATTAGTAAAAAACATGTAATGTTAATTAACATATGTGTTGTAAATTCTTATATTAACTTTGTTACATGTTCTAAAATACCGATTTGTGCCATTCGGTATTGTAATATGATCCCGTATGTGGTCGCGTGGTAACTTCTTTACAAATGCAGAAAGTGAATGCACGATTTTTGTAAGTATGCCGTGCAATTGTAATGAAACCACACGCGCGCGCACACACATACACACACCCAAGTATTGAATCGACTGATAAATCTATAAATATACATTGAATTTATTTTCTTTTTTATTGTTTATCGATCCTGTTAGAAGCTAAATGATAATCACTTCCAATTTAGATTAGAGTAATGTCATTAGATTTTTAATCGGCTAATTCATAGATAGATATACTTTAAAAATCACATATATTAATACTGGAGACTTTTTATCCGCGACTCGCATGAAGAACTCCAAAAAAGATATTAATTATTAATTACTATGATCGATTAATCTCGTTTAGTTAAGTAATGATAACTATAATTGACTTTTTCAACTCGCTTAAACGATAAGCAATACATGCTATTTTGTACGTCACATGTATAATCAGTAGAGGATACCTTTCCATTCGGAAGATATTGTATTATCTTCGGCATGTTCATATGTTATTATTGCGCGTCCTGTGTGTGAGGTACATACACGTAGGATTATTAATTTCTACAACAGACACCTGTTTAACGATTCCACCGTTGTCTCAATAAAGGCACGATATTTTTGGGATGCCTCGATTCACTTTATTTTACTTGGGCTTAGTTCAATATTGGAGTGACACTGATCAGGTGTAATTCTAGCTTGTATTTCATAGCTTTTGCGATCTAACACATTTCTCTTATATCTCATACAATCGAATTCTACGTACCACACTGATAATTTTATTATAATTATATGATGAAGTTGTAATTTTATGACAATTAATAATCTGCGATATTAGAGTATTACGTGTTGGATGCCATCAACGTTATTTTTTTCTGATACAAATTTTCTTCTTCATGCTGCTATAAAAGTGCGATACAGGACCAACGTAGCGAATACGATTACGTGCAGAAAGAAACATACAGCGTATTTCAGCCGAGGAAATACCTTTGCGCTTTTCCACGTCAACCGGAGAGGAAGGTATTGATTCACTTACCAATCGGCCTAATGACGTACGATCATCTTCATATCGTTAAAATTCAAATCATTGTTAACCTGTTTAGATCACAGAGAACGATGGTCTGCCACAGCAAGTTTGCTTAAGGTGCTGCGCAAAACTTGATTTCGCGTGTGACTTCTTCGAGGATTGCCACAACGTTCAGCAGGAATTCGCAATATTGACTGCAAGTTTTTCTCATTAAATAAGCTAATCCTCTTTAATCTTTTTTATTTTCATTTCCCTTTTTTAACAATTTTTTAAATAACATTCCTTCACTATGCAAGTGGGACTATGATTTTTATAATTATAATATAACATTACCAGGCGCACTATATTAACGCACTATATTAATGCAAATCAACGCACTAAATCAATGCATTGCAAGATGAACACTGTAATATTTTAAAAATTAAATGTTACTCTCTAATAATGGAAGTTCACAACTAAAGTATTTGTAGTATAATTCATCATTCCCACTTTGCAAAGTGGTACCAAAGAATACGGTATTTATTGGCTGTATATCTACACGTATAAAACTTATTTTTATAATTATACAGAGTCAAGATATGGCAACAGCTATAAACCAAAGATATGACGTTAGGATTGAGGACGAAGGCAAGAATAAAGATAAGGATGAGAACGAGAAAGAAACTAATAAAGAGAATATCGTGCCAATTGTAAAAAAGTCTATAAATTCAAAAATAATCCGGAAAAGTCGACCGAGGCCACAAATTATCAAGAAAAACAAAAAGAACACCACACCACTCAAGGAACAAGTTCAAAATATCATCACCACTAACGCACTCCATCAGAAAGCTTCGAATGATCTATCGGAAGTAGCAGCTTGCGATAACGGAAGTAGCAGCTGGCCAGTTTGCAAGTCACAAATAATGATCGTGAAGGAGGAGAACGTCGACAGCGAGAAAACGTCCTCGCACAGTCATCAACTAGTCGAGACTTCGAGCAAGAATGATGATGTGATGCAGACTCCTATTGAGAATTCTCAATCAAACGATAGCAGAGCATGCCAGGAATCGAAAAAGAATGCGTCTTGCATCGATACAATGTCCGGCGATCAGGAATCAAAAGTCGAGTCTGATTCAATGTTGAATCAAACGACCAATATCAACTCGAATGATGTCTCTTTCGTAAAAATATTTCATGACGGTGACATGAAGACCGCTATCGCGTCGCCAGTGCCAGTGCAGAGTGACTCTTTTATTTTGGAGAAATTGCATGAAAAGGAGCAGACGAACGTACAGGACGAAGCGTCCTGTGTGTCCAAAGAGAATAAGACCGAAAGAAAGAGTACTATTAAGATTTCTCAATTGATGAGTGAAGAACAAAAAAGGTTGATTGAGACAAGTTACACGATAAATTTAAGTCTCATGAAATACGAGGTGCAAAACAAAATGACTGTGCTGAGCAAGGATAATATTAATTGCAATATTTGCGGGGCGAATTATTCCAGGCCAGACAAATGTAAAGTAAGTATATCAAGTGTTTAAGAAGCATTTTTTAGACTCTTCAATATTGTGAGTGCATCTTTCCCATTATCATGTTATTTATTTTAGCACGATCCTTTTTGACAATTACATTATTATATTATGTAAAATATGTTGTGGTAATTTTTCTTTTTTTATTTTTAACTACATGATATATTTCCTTTAGGTCCATATTATGAGTCATTTGAAGATCAAACCCTACGAATGCATAAAATGCGATTATACGACAGTGACAGTAAGCAACATCCGCGCTCACATCCGGAAAAGTCATCTAAAAATCAAACCGTACGTCTGCGAGCAATGTGACAAATGTTATCCGAGCATGGTACTTCTGCAGGAGCATATTAACATTCACACAGGTGAACGGCCGTTTAAGTGCCAAATTTGCGGCACTGCCTATGGAAGTCGACAAGGATTAAATTGTCACTACAAAACACACAAACAGGACAAAGTGGGTGATAAAAATTTCAATTAATAACAATCAAAATTTCCAAAGAATGGTTAATTTGAGCCCGCACACGATGTAAAATATGAATTATAATAAAATATGAATTACACTAATTTATTATTACAAAAAATCTCAGTACATTAAAGTCAGTACATTAAAAACACAAGCGTTTTGGCCCTATATTTAAGCACTCGTGATACTTGGATGAAAATCACGGGAAATGCCGTGTAATCACACTTATAGATTTCATATGTTGAGATGTGTGGAGGACTATTATTTTAAACTTGTGCAATGTAATGACTAAATAAGGAAACAATTGGCTGGGTCATTACATATTGAACACGACGCGGATGTAACAGAGATTTTATACCTTACATTTGAAATGTCAACTCAAACGGAAATCGCTTATGTTTATATGTCTAACTCAAGTAGGGAGAACAATCTTCAAATCACATCTTACATGTTTACACTTGAATGGCATCTGAGAAAGTCAAGAACGGAACAATATTAATCTTTTAATAACAAGGTGTCTATTTATAAGTTTATGCCGCCTACAGATTATTTTATGTATAACATTTCGGAAATCATACATCTTCTGTAATACGGCTCGCAATCTAAAATTTTCAGATTGCCAAAATCAAAGTCATGACCATATTCATCTTCCATATTCTATCCCAGTTCATCTATCACCGATAGATTCCCATAATTAATACGTTTATATTCTCTTAATCGAGTCTTCAACAATCTACTCGTTTGGCTGATATAACATGCATTGCAGTCCTTACAATGTATGATAGACAACATTTTTTTTGTAGCAAGTCCACAATCGAATCTTTCTGCGCTTTGATAATGCTCCCTGAGATCCACAAAAACATATCTTGATATTAAGATTCTTGGGAATAAAGGATTCTGATAGGTGGTTTTTTTAAATATAAGATAAAGATATAAATTTATGTAACTATCCACTTGCTTCATTAGAAGAATGTGGTCGCACCGATAGTTGTTTGTGGACTTTTAACCGATTTGAAATTGTGTTAAAGATGAAATTTAGTGGATAGTTGTTACTAAGCAACAATCGTATTCAAGTTCACCAACTCCAAGTTCTGATGGAATAATAAAAATGTTCTCTATCTGTTAAACCCATCGTTACTTTTTTCTTATGACAAAGCGGATGATTAGAAAGGAAATTAAATATACGAATTAAGCCCTAAAAAAGTTGGTTTATGATATCAATCTTTACCTTATATTAAAAAACTATCCGTACTCTTTCCCGTATTTCCATATTTAAGAATTTCAACATCAAAATAGGTTTTTGTGGATCTCAAGGACTAAAAGGCATCATCAAAACGCAAAAAGATATGATTCTAGACTTGCTGTGAAAAAATGTTTATCGTATGCATTGTGAGGACTGCAATGCAAGTTATACCGGCTACACGAGCAGATTGTTGAGGACTCGATCAAGGGAATATAAACATATTAATTACGGGAACCCATCGGTGGTAGATGAACATGGATAGAATATGGTCATGACTTTGATTTTGACAATTCGGAAATTCTAGATTGAAATATTATACAATATTATACAAATATTATAAATACAAATAAATACAAAATAAAATAATCTATAGGCGGCATAAACTTGTAGACAGACACCTTCTTATTAAAAGATTCATATTGTTCCGTTTTTGACATTCTCAGGTGACATCCAAATGTAAACATGTAAACATATGATTTGAAGATAATTGTTTTCCTTACTTGTTAGATGTATAAATATAAATATAAACCGAAATCGTTTGAGTTCCGTTTGAGTTGATGTTTTAAATATAATGTATATCGCATTCAATGTGTAACAGCCCAGTTAATTGTTTCCTTATTCGGCCATTACATTGCACAAGTTTAAAGCAATAGTCCTTCACATCTCAACACATACAGTCTATAAGTATGACTACATGGTATTTCCTGTGATTCTTGTCCAAATATCAGAAGTACACAGTGGTATATATATTTTGAGATGAAACATTTTAGAAATCCCTTTCTAATTCCTATTGAGCCAAAATCACTTAATGGTTTGAAGAAGTGCACTGCTGGGAGGAACAAATGGTTTTATTTAAAGGGCATTAGATGATCGTCGTGGGAGGAAATTAGTGAGTCCACATATTTGCGTATATTTTTACCACTGAAGAGGGCCAAATATAGGGCTGAAACGTTTGTATTTTAATGTAGTGACAAATTTTTTATAGAAATAAATTATTGTAATTCACATTTTACATCATATGCGGGCTCAAGTTGGTCATTTTTTGGAAATTTTGATTGTTATTTGACAGAGCCTTAAGATAATTCTTTAATTAATAATGTTTTAACCTTCATACTTTAATTTGCAATTTCCTATCTCATTAATATGTTGTTTGGTGGAACCAAACACAGTATAACATTGTTTATGAGTATTCTGTGATTATTACAGGATATTAAATGTGACATATGCCCTAAAATGTTTAAATCCACGGCCAGAAAGAGAGCTCATATGCTCATCCATAATAAAGAGAATATGATTCAATGCACGATGTGCAAAAACTATTTATCAAATAAGATAAGTCTTGATCAGCATCTGCAAAAGGTTCACTCGCAGAAATATATCTGCAATATTTGCAACAAGGAAATGCTGTCTAAGAAAGACTTGTACAACCATAAGAACGTACGTATGAAACCTCAATCATTAATCCTATGCAGGGTGAGGAAAAAGTATGTCCTTAAAAATCTTGAAAGATATGTTTTAGAGAAAAGTGTTTCAGACAAAAATTATAAAGCTCAAAACGATTTTTACTGATCTTGATCAGTTTGACTTTGAGTAGTATTGCCAAGGTCAGATCAAGATCAACTTATTTTTTTTTTTAATACAAACCCCAATTTTTTATTATATCTTTTTCTACCAATTAATTTTAATAACTTTTATCTGAAACATTTTTTCATTTGGCTAATATTTCTTGAGATATTTAAGGAAAACTCGGAAACTTTTTCAATATTTAACTTACGATATCTCGCTAACTATTTGTCGAAAGAAAAAATGCTATTAAACTTTTTTACTCTACTTGGTCTCAAGAATATATTGTTACAATAGCGGCCTGATTTCTGTTAATTTGATGATTTTGAAATTTCCAAAAATCAATAAGTTAACAAAAGTTAGGGCACTATTGTAACAATATATTCTTGAGACCAAATAGAGTAAAAAAATTTAGTACCATTTTTTCTTCCGACGAATAATTAACGAGATATCGTAAGTTAAATATTGAAAAAGTCATCAAGTTTTCTTTAAATACCTGAAAACATATTAGTAAATAAAAAAATGTTTCAGACAAAAGTTGTTCAAATTAATTGGTAGAAAAAGATGATATAATAAAAAATGGGGGTTTAAAAAATTGTTTAAAAAAATAAGTTGACCTTGACCTGACCTTGGCAACGCCACTCAAGGTCAAACTGATAAGATCAGTAAATACATTGTTTTGAGCCTTATAACTTTTGTCTGAAACACTTTTTTGTAAAACTTATATCTTTCGAGATTTTTAAGGGTTTCCATACTTTTTCCTTATCCTGTATATCTAAATATATCTAAATACTTTAAACATACAGAGTTTTAAGGATTAAGAAATGCTATTTTCAATTTATTGCTTTAATAGTGTGATTGTCAAAACTCTGTATATTATATGTAACTCTGTACATATATTAAAAATAGTTGAGAGTAATTATAAAGATGACACATTCTGCCACTAGGTTACTAAAATTAATATGTCATTCATATGCAGGTACACATGAAGGCTAAGCATCAATGCAGTTTATGCTCCAAATGTTATAAGAGCAAGCACATTTTGAAGGAACATATACTAAAACACGAGGGTATCCGAAAATACAAATGTAATGACTGCGGAAAAACATTCGCTCAACAATCGCATTTAGCTGCTCATTCAGCTACACATAGCAGTGTTAGGTAAGTATTCTCATTCCAGCAAATATGTTTTATATTTGATATTATAATTTAATATTATAAATGTACATATAATAATTTTTTAACATATATTAGGTTTTCCTGTTCGGGTTGTTGGAAACAATTTAATCGTCGCGACAACATGAAGACGCACACCAAACGTTGCCAGTTCTTTCTGCATATGAAAGATATACTTATACCAGAAATTGATGAGAAATGCAGCAATACACGGACGGAAAATAAGACAGAAGACACAAGATGACGATTGACAAAATGCACCACTAATATGATTCAATATGATATTGAATTGATATTGAAGAAAAAAAGCAAACTAAGACATTAGAGATGATATGTTCTACAATAAATAAAAGTTTACAATAAATTAAAGTTGAAGAGGAATACATGAATATCGTGTCGACGTGATTGGATATCATAGATAAATATTCTTAATTAAAAATTCGCTATCATGTTTGAGTATACTGTAAAAATTGTATTAATAGCGGCAATATTTTTTTCATATTCATTTGGTAAATTTAACAATGGTTGTACAAGTCTCGGACAGCATTTTCTTTTTGCAATCATCGCAGATATATTTCCGCGAGTGAACTTTTTGCAGATGCTGATCAAGACTTATCTTATTTGATAAATAGTTTTTGCACATCGTGCATTGAATCATATTCTCTTTATTATGGATGAGCATATGAGCTCTCTTTCTGGCCGTGGATTTAAACATTTTAGGGCATATGTCACATTTAATATCCTGTAATAATTGCAAGAATACTCATAAACAATGTTATACTATGCTTGTTTGTACCAAACAACGTATTTACGAAACATTGCAAATTAAAGTATGAAAGTTAAAACGCTATTAGTTAAAGTTTTTATCACCTTCTTGTCCAGTTTATGTGTTTTGTAGTGACAATTTTATTTCTGTCGACTTCTGTCGATAGGGGTGATACATTTCGTCCTTTATATGCATTCCTGGAAATTGTTGATAATTAATGGTATAGTTAATTGTATATCCATGTATTGTGTGCGATTTTATCCTTTAATCTGTGTTTGCTGTATTGTAATGCACAACTAAAGAAACATGGTTGTATTCTTATATCTAAAACTGCTGTAGAACATAGAAATTGGTGTCAAAAAAAGCTTGTACAACCATAGGAATATATATACAGGTTTAGTTATTAATTTTACATGTATAAACTCTTTAGAGTGTTAATTTTACGCTGTCGAATGAAAATTTCAAATTTACGTCATTTTTTATATCTACTTGAGAGATAATTCAAACAGCATGCGTACCTAAAAGACATTTTATACACATTTTCAGGACATTATGAACAGATGTTTTAAATGAAAAGATAGGATATTATAAAGATATTTTATTGATAATCTTCTTAAATGTTTTAGAAGTTCTAAGATATCTTTAAGGCTTGTAACAATATTATGTGGGAAGGAAGAATGAAAAGACTGTTGAATATACTGTTTGGCTAATTATAACGGGTACAAAGTTCCTACGCGTCTTTATCTTTGTGAGCAATGACTGATCATTTTATAAATTTATTTATCTCTGCGCAATTGATTACATTTTATTCATATACACACATACGGAGTGTCCCAGAACAATTTTTATAGAGCTCATAGAGGCATAGGCGGATTAAGACAAATATAAAAGTCTCATACCGTTTTGCGATATTCATGATAATTATCGTGTTGTTAAATCTGAGGAGTGAGTGATTAAAGAAGCGTTGTAGCCTTTCGGGCCACAGCGTGGCTCAGTCAATCTAACAACTGTTGGCGGCGCGCCACGAAAGCAAGAAAAAACAATATTCCACTATTCGTGTTTTATCTCGTCGCTTCTACATCTCCTAGATTCAAAAGTTCCATGGTTCAAAATTCAATATATTCATATCTGTCGTTAGACACAATTAGCCATTGTATAATTGTAGATTAAGTCATTCTAAACGAAAAGTGCTTATCATTTTGGAAAGTAACATAATTAGTACAAGGTATTAGTACAAGTACAATTTAATACAAGTAAGTATACAAATTTTCAAGTTATCAATTAAAAGAACCTTTAGATATGATCATTTTCAATCATTAATAACTTAATAACTATTTTAATAGCGATTTTTGCAAAATAGGGTAGTATATGACTTTTCTTTTCAGTTTGATTTGATTAATCTTCATAATTTTTCATTTCCAAAAGATCTCAGACACCCTGTGTATGTGTATGTGTGTGTATATATATATATGTATTATTGTGAAATGATCTTTAAGAATAGGATTTTAATAAGGATAATAAGGATATATCCTTTAATAAGGATAATAATATTTTAATAAGGATTTTAATAAGAGTAGGACATTTTCTTACTCTTATTAAAATATTCACTAATATTTTCCTTCATATTTCATTTGTATTTTTATTTAAAATAACTATTTTGCTTCCGATAAAAGTCTCATGCGATAAAAGATTTTCTATCCTCCAGAAGGAAATCACATTATTTAATGGAATTATCTAATATTGCATTCCTAAGAATTTAACTCACAAATAATTTTATATATTACTGTATTCTCCATGCATGGTTCCAAAGCATTCAAACAGAATGCTTTTATACATCTTATTAATATAACATGAATTATATTTATTACTAAATAAATATATAAAAGTGAGTTTTATATATGTAAATATACGGCAAATATAGAAAAATAGTGTATTCCTCGTGCAATATATGTATTGCAAATATATTTCTGCAAATAAATTTTTTTCGTATCTATGTTGAAATTTATTTTGCTCAAGAAATAACTCTTACATATTATACTTTATATCACTTTTCCTTTGTTATAATGATGTATATGTTCTTTTCCAACTGTTAAATATTTGGAAACATATATATATGCACATACATATGCCCGCGCCTGTGTGTGCGTGTGTGCGTGCGTGCGTGCGTGCGTGATCTACACACACACACACATACAAGAGATGTAAATCCGATCGTGCAACCTCCACGCGGTACACTTTGGGTAATGCTAATGCCGATGGTACTGTAACTTTGAAGCTTCATAACTCGGGATGTACTTAACAAAAAAATACTTTGTTGTAGTGTTTTGGAAAGCTCTTGAAATACGTTATAAGAATATGCCAAAAAAAGTAGGGCGTTCCATTTGAAAAGTTCAAGATGACTTTGTTCTCACCTTGTTGATGCTAGCCAAGGTCAATGATGATAAGATCTGATAATAACTGATAAGAACTGATAAGAAGTAAATAGATCATTTTAAACCTTACAACTTTGGCCTGAAACATTTTTTCCAAAAACTGATTGTTTTCGAGATATTTTATCGTTCAAAGACTTTTTGAGAACCCTGTATATCATTGAGGGAGATATGATGCGCATCACTTCTCTTTCCTCTATATGACGTGTTTTAAAAATTTAACTACTAAGGATTTTAAGGATTACATGAATTCATACAATACATGTTGCAAAGTCAATACGATTTTCATAATTAAAACGAAATCCCATACGAGATTTTAAATAGTTAAATTCGGCTTTGACGAAAATAAATTCAGTGTAAAAAAATTACATATACGAGTTTTATTATAATCATTAGTGTGCAAATTTGTGTCGTTTGTGTAATTTATACATTTTTATTTCCCAATGGTAAAATAATATACAGAAATAAAATTTGATCATAATTAGCACCTCTAAGTGAATGTATAAACACGTCTACGAGATGGCATTATACTGCACTAAATATAACGTATAATTTAATGTAAAATAATAAATATATTTTAACGATAGAATTCTCTACTCAAAAGGCGATTCGTGACAGACAATTCAACAATTTTTATTATTCTTGTAACTACAGAGATATGTTGTTGAATTATTCAGAACAATTGGTTTGGTCTATCTTATAAGATGGGGAAAATAAAATGTCGATGTAATCGTTATTCAATGAAACATTAATTATAAATTTCATGTTCTTTTCATAATGATTTTTATGATACGAAACATCGTTAGCAGAACTTGATTACTGAAATAAGTAAAAAGAAATAAGTGAAAACACTTCTTTTAATCTATATATATTCCCTCGGCAAACAATATTTCAGCAACTTATAAGCAATGTTGAAACGTTGCTGAAATACTGCTTGCCGACTGTTTGTAGACTTCTTTTTCCCTGTATTTAAATCAATATATTGAAACATAATCTCTTCCCTATATCTTTATCGTTAACAATATTTCTTGTTTTTTGCAACAGAAAAAAGAATTAACTACGAGCGAAGAGCATGGAAAAGTTGATTTACAATAATGAAGGACGCACGATCCGTATGTTCATTTCGTGAACGGGTAATATAAACTTCGATGTTAGCTCGCGCGGCTTCATTTCGTTCAAAGATACGGTCGAGGTAATATCATTCTCTGTATATCAAAATATCGCTTTCTTTAAAGCATTAAAATTACTGTGTCAGCCTGTTTAGTATCGAATTCGAAGTCACAAAGTGAAAAGTACAAAGTGAAAGTGAAGAAATTAAATAACGAACATGGCGCGACAAGCTCCAAAATACGAATTTCTACCCGAGGAGAAGACAAAAGAGATGCTAAAATTATTTAAGGGAGAGAGAACTGGTTGGGTGCAAGTAGGCTCGCAAAAATGGTTTTTCCCTTACCGGTACACGGAACAAGGTGCCGGATTCTATAATTTTGAAGCCAGGCCAGATGACACTTGGATAGTAACTTATCCGAGATCTGGTGAGTACGTATCTAACATCTAACATAAGTGCGTATATCTAACATATATGCGTGTTGCGTAATGCGTATTGCGTTATATGTATGTAATTGCCCATGATAGTCCACATTAATTTTCTTTTTACCACATGTGCCACATATTAACGTTAATTTAGCATCCCTCTTGTCAGACTATGAACATGATTAACAATTAAAAAAGTATAAATAAATAAAAGTATTATTGTACAACAAGAAATACTGATATTTAAGTAAACTCGAGACGAAGGAAGAAAAGAGGAAAAGACACAGACAGATGCTAAATCAATTCATTAACTATGTAAATTAACCATCTAAAATTAACTATTTGAAATTCCAGGTAAAAATATATCTCCTTAAATAATAAATGTTGTTTGTCAATTATATAATGCAAGAGCAAATTACTTGTAAAAAATGTACGAAAGAACAACTTGTAAGTAGAGATGTGTGAATCAAGAATTTTTATGTCGAATCGAATCGAATCGAATCTCATTTTTTAAATTCGAATTCGAATCGAATCGAATCTATGAAATTTCATTCGAATTCGAATCGAATCGAATCGAATCATTAAAAAATTTAACATGACTATTAAATATGCAAATAATGATGGAAGATTTTAATATGAATATTGATATTGTAATATCATCTTAAAGTAAAATATATATTTAAATATTTAAAATAATTTATAATTAAGTTATTAATTATAAGTTAAGTTAATTATAAATCTAAGAAATACGTAGCTGATGCATTTTGTAACTGATGCGTGCAAACGCTAATATATTTGATTCGTATTCGAATTTTCGCGATTCAAAATTTTCGAATTATTCGGATTCGAATTGAATCGAATTACATTAAATTCGATTCAAATTCGAATAGTACATCTCTACTTGTAAGAAAAGTACTTGTAAGAAACGTTGGTAAGAAAAAAAAAGTAGTGATAAGTTTTCAAACAAAATTATCTCTGAACTTTATCATTATTTTTCTCTTTTCTTATCAACATTTCTTGTTAACATGTTGTTTCTTTGGACTGATTATTTAAAAATCTATATGTTAAAAGAAATTCCTTTATCTATTACTATTCTTTTATTTTTACAAATAAATTATATATAGTATAATTATTTAAATATTTTTTAACTGTCTGTTGATTATTATTTTCATTTTTCAGATACTTTTTGATTAATTACTGATTGTTTGAACTTTCAAATATTCTGTATATGATATCAAGATTTTTCAAACGTCTATTAATTAAAGTTTTAATTCTTCAAAGGCACTACATGGACGCAAGAGCTGGTCTGGCTATTGTCAAACAATTTGGATTTTGAGACGGCGGGGAAGCAGTATCTTACTGAGAGATTTCCTTTCTTCGAGTTAGTAACGTTAATGTTATCATTCATGACCTGTACATGAAAAAAAAGAGAAAGTCAGATTATTCATTATACTTCATATTTGCATGAGAAAGTGCAAATATGGACACATTTATGTATTTTTTCTGTAGCTTAAATTTCATAACTGGCAAATATTTGACAAATAATATTTGGTTACTTACTTTCTTTGACTTCAGCGTATTGCGGAACAATTTTATCAGATTGTTTCCTGCATGTTATTCTGTTAATGTTCCTGCATACGTGATAAAACGTAAATTATATGACTTCGTATTATACGTTGCATGAAATGATTGGATATTACGTGCCAGGAAGTGGAAAACATCGCAATAATAGTACAGCAATTTGTTGATACGCTTATATGTGTCATAACAAATGTGTGCTAAGGTCTTTTTCTAAGGTTCTTTTAAATTGAATATTTATCTTTCTTTGATATGTTTAATACATAACACATAATACTTAACGCATAATTTTAACTATAGAAATTGTAATCTGGAAAACATGACAAAATTAATGCTTGGAAATGTACCGTAGGAATTTAATTGCGTGTATATGAATATTTGCGTTTATTCCGTAAAATTCCTAGCGTGGATATTTGTTTAAATTTAATATTTTCATCGTGAATGTTATATACATAATTCAGTAGTATAGTTTTAGAATTTATATCTAATTTATGTAATGTCGTTATATTTCAATACGTACGACGTTTTTCATTTTTGTGACCTCATTCAATCGAATATTGGCTAGCGTAACCAGAAAGATAAACTTGTAAAGGTGGATTTTGTACAGACTTTATTTATTTTGTGCAGACTTTGTCAGCAATTTGTTAATCGAATAGAATAGAATAGAATTAATAGAATAAAAATACAATAGAATCTAATGGCAAAGTATGGCAGACTGATGGCGGAAACCTACCGTCTTAAATGAAATGTACTGCAGATCCTGCTCGATAGAATACTAAAAGATTGCTTACTGGTTACATTTTAGATTCAGTATGTTCCAACATCCTGAAGTGACAAAAAATTTGGTAGAGATGAACAAAGATAACGCGGCGAAAGAATTATGTTTGAAAGTAGCCAAACCCGGTTACGAGGTCATCGCGTCAATGCCGTCGCCCAGATTCATCAAGACACACTTTCCATTCAGCTTGCTCCCAGGGATCCTGGATGTCGGTTGTAAGGTAATTGCACATGGAAGAAAAAAAGTACGAGAGTTTCGTAGCAATTATACGATTATCATAGTTTCTGAATGGCCGTTTCTTTTTTTTACTTTCAAATCGTGTTAACCTTTTATTAATCTTTTTTAAAGATTATCTACGTAGCTCGCAATCCGAAGGACGTTGCAGTCTCGTGGTATCATCTAAACTTGTCAGCCACGACTCAAGGATATGTCGGCGACTTCGCTACCTTCTGGGATTACTTCGAGAATGACCTTAGTAAGTACAAAAGAGATTATGAATTTTGAAATTCTAAATATATTTATATTCTGTAATACTTAGGTACTAAAATGTACAACATGACGTAGCAGCTTAAAAATTAATTTATAATACCCATAACCTACTTTTTCAAAATCATTAATACAAAATCGATTTAATAACTGTTATTACATGTACCGATGTTATACATGCAACTAATGTGTTATATGTGTAATAATTATGTTACAATTATATATATATTTATTTACTGAATTGATGAATCAGTTTTATATATGCCAGCCGTCTAAGTGTCGACTGCGGATACTCGTATTACTAAACCAGTTCCAGAGTATCGTATAGACATAGTCTGTTATCACTGAAACATTTAACCGCAAATATAGTCGACCTTGTAATTGTTACTTCTTCGTTAATGATATCAAAAGTATACACAGATAGTTCTGTAATTACCTTGTATTTTTATATTATTTCTTCGGATTGAATTATACAAAACACGTTTGATTACCAAGTGAAGAGATCATGACATGTATGTTATTTCTCACGCGATGTAGATCCGCTTACTTATATTTCTGACAGTTCAATGTATGTATTCGGGTCGCATCTGCTTTCTTCCAATTAGAGAATTTCTCTCGAAAAATAAATCAAAGATTTGTAATGTGCTTATTCAACACGCTTTTTCAGCGGCCTGGAGCCCTTATTGGACACATTTGAAGGAAGCCTGGGCTCTGAAGGATCATCCGAATCTTCTATTTTTGTTTTACGAAGAGATGAAACATGTGAGCAATATCAATGTTATTTCTTCCTCACTTTTTTACATCATTATATGTGTTTTACATCATTGTATGTGTACTGAAATAATCGTTCGCATAAATTTTCTTTCAGGATTTCCTGAAAACAATCAAGAAAGTTGCAAAATTTTTGAACAAAACATATACCGATGAACAGTTAAGCAAGCTGGTAGATTACTTGGATATTAAAAACTTCCGCGACAATAAGATGGTCAATAATGCCGATTTGAAGAATATAGGCGTTATGAAGCATGGAGATTTTATCAGGAAAGGTCGCAATGGTGAATGGAAGGAAGTCTTTACTCCTGAGATTGCTGCTAGAGCAGACAAATGGATTGAAGCGAATCTGAAGGATACTGATTTGCGTTTTCCGGTTTTCAACTATGATAATTAAATTAAAATAGTTAAATTAAATTAAATTAAAATTAAAATAAATTAGAATTAAAATTAAAATAAAAAAATAAAATCAGACAACTGAGTGAAAAGCAATATCGGTAAAATCTCTATGAAAGATACCGGCATTCAGCAAAGATCAACCATTGGATCCATCTTTGATACGTCAAATGAAAGAAAGGCGTAAATGAAATCTTTTCCTAATATGAAAAATAAAAATGGTGCGATAATAATTTGTGAAAAAAAGGAGTAATATTAAATTGATCGAGAAAAATTTTTTTATACGTAGTATATATGTATCGTAGAAATTGTAGAATATATATATATATAAATTTTTTTTATTTATTGATATATTTCTATTCAAATATTCCTATTCAAAATTTTTTTTTAATTTTTTATTTCAAAAATTTTGTTCTCGTATAAAAATTTATACGATGTTTACGGCAAAAAAACTTTTGAATCAAACATTAATAGGGATTATATTTTAAACTTTCGCGGCTATTGATACAATCAGGGTGTATTTCTTTCGAATAGATACCACGTCGTAAATCAGCTTTGTGCCAACGTTTCGCAAATATTGCAGTTTGCATCATCAGGGCTAGGAGCTCTGAGCTAAATATATAAATATACAGCAAATAGTCTATTCCTCGTGCAATATATGTATTGCAAATATATTTCTGCAAATAAATTTTTTGCGTATGTATGTTGAAATTTATTTTACTCAAGAAATAACTCTTACATACTGTACTTTGCATCACTTTTCCTTTGTTATAATGGTGTGCATTTGCTCTTTTTCAACTGTTAAATATTTTGAGACATATATAAATACATATACAGACATATGCACGCGCGCGCGTGTGTGTATTTGTGTATATGTGTGAACAAAAATACTTATCTATTTACATTTAATTATTTACATGTTTAATTTTATGCATGTATATTATAGGTTTTATTATGATAAATATATTGTAAAAATATATATATTGCGCATTATTATATTAATATTTATTATGTAATCATAAACAGTATATTTTAAATATAAAATCTGTACTATACATGCTATACATATTAGGTTGTTGCAGATGAAATGGCCATTTTTTAATTTTTAATTTAAATTTTTATTCGACACACTTTATACAGGGTTCTCAAAAAGTCTTCGAACGATAAAATATTTCGAAAACAATCAATTTTTGGAAAAAATGTTTCAGGCAAAAGTTGTAAGGTTTAAAATGTTCTATTTACTGATCTTATCAGTTTGACCTTAGCTAGCGTCAACAAGGTCAGGGCAAAGTCACCTTGAACTTTTCAAATGGAATGCCCTACTTTTTTTGGCATATTCTTATATCGTATTTCAAGAGCTTTCCAAAACACTACAACAAAATATTTTTTTGTTAAGTACATCCCGAGTTATGAAGCTTCAAAGTTACAGTACCGTCGGCATTAGCATTACCCAAGGTGTACCGCGTGGAGGTTGCACGATCGGATTTACACCTCTGATGTGTGTGCGCGTGCGTGCGTACGTGCGTGTGTGCGTGTATGATTGCGCGCGCGCGCATGTGTGTGCGTATGTGCGTGCGTGCGTGCGTACGTGATCTACACACACACACACACACATACAAGAGGTGTAAATCCGATCGTGCAACCTCCACGCGGTACACCTTGGGTAATGCTAATGCCGACGGTACTGTAACTTTGAAGCTTCATAACTCGGGATGTACTTAACAAAAAAATATTTTGTTGTAATGTTTTAGAAAGCTCTTGAAATACGTTATAAGAATATGCCAAAAAAAGTAGGGCATTCCATTTGAAAAGTTCAAGGTGACTTTGCCCTGACCTTGTTTACTCTAGCCAAGGTCAAACTGATAAGATCAGTAAATAGATCATTTTAAACCTTACAACTTTTACCTGAAACATTTTTTCCAAAAACTGATTGTTTTCGAGATATTTTATCGTTCGAAGACTTTTTGAGAACTCTGTATACATCTCGTCAATCGAAATAGTCTCCCTCCACCTCAATACACTCCCCTCAACGTGATACAAGCGCATCAATGCCTTTCACGTAGAAATTAGAAGAGCGAGATGCAAGAAATTCATTGAACGCATTTTAGGCGTCGCTTTCTGTTTGGAATACCTTTTCACTTAAAAAGTTATCCAGGTGCTTAAACAAATGGTAATCAGTTGGAGAAAGGTCAGGAGAATAAGGAGGGTGATGGAGAACTTCGTATTTGTATTCTGTTAATGTTTTTACAGTTTTTTCTACAATATGCGGTCTAGCATTATCATGGAGCAATAACATACCGCGTTTATTTAATAACGCCGGCTGTTCAATACGCAGTTTTTCCATCACAATGTCAATTTCTTGGCAATATTTGTCAGCATTTATAGTTTCACCCTTTTTCAAAAACGAAAAAATGCACAATACCCTTGGCAGACCACTATACAGATACCATAACTTTACGTGGATGAAGGCTCGGTTTCGGCATGTGTTTCGGAGCTTGATCAGCATCTAATCACTGGGCAGAACGTCGACAATTGTCATAAAGAACCCACTTTTCATCACACGTTACTATTCGATTCAATATTCCTTCATTATTGTGTCGGGAAAGCAAAAATGAGCTGATTTCCATACGGCGAAGCTTGTCTCTCTCAGTCAGTTCATGTGGTACCCATTTGTCAAGCTTTTTCACTTTCCCCATGGCCTTTAGGTGTCGGGAAACAGTGGAATAGTGAACGTTGATGCTATATCTCGAACGTGTGCAATATCTCGAACTGATAAACGCGAGTCTGCTTCAACCATGTCTTTCAAAACATTGTCATCAATCACTGATGGTGCATGATTGCGAGGCAAATTGTCGAGATTTGTATCACCAGACTGAAACTTTTCAAACCAATGTCTAATGGTTCGATCACTTACAGAACCTTCCCCAAAAGCAGTGTTTATGTTTCGCGTTGCCTCGGCCGTACTATGACCAAGTTTGTATTCGTACAAGAATATTATCCGCATTTCCTTACTTCCCATGTCGAAGAGACAGCGATTTTCAACGATATACACAATGTGATAAAAGTAAGGTTGTGCGTGCGAATTTACGTGTGGGGCATAGGGCCAGAGCACAGACTTCTGCATAACGCATAATACACAACACATAAGAGAATCAACCAATTAGTTTTCTTCATTTCCCTCCTCAGGACAGAAATGAAGAACTCTGATTTGTTGATTCTCTTATGCGTTATGCAGAAGTCTGTGCTCTGTCCCATATACTTTTCAAATATCACTCATGCAACGACAGCTGCATGAAAAGAGCTGAACTACTCGGCCGGGAAATTTGAATTTTGATAAACGGTCATTTCATCTGTAACAACCTAATACTATGACTGCGTTCCGATATTCACTGCCAGTACTGAAAATCTATGACATACATGACACAAACTATATATTTTCAATATTGACAGTGAATATGGGAACACAGCCTATGCATACAATGCATACTTTGTAGTGTTCACATAAAGTAAATAACGAATTCTTGTATCATACGACTACATTTTTTAATGCTGAACGCAAATATTAAGATCGATTATCTTTTCATTTTTCACGGTTATCTTAATAATAACTACAAATTTTGACTCTTTCTCACGGAAAAGGAAACTAAATAAAGATTACATATAAACAGATAAGAGAAAGTCAGCTGATTGACCTGAATTGCAACAAGAAATTCAAACTCAATTATTGGCTTTAAGCGATAATTAGTGGCTGTAGATAATTGATTATATGCCGATAAACTATTATTAATAAAAATTGTTGATATTTTCAATGCTCAGAGAAGCTATATATCATATCTCACTGAGGGAGATATGCATTGCGCATCACTTCTCCTTCCACTATATAATGTGTTTTAAAAATTTCAACACTAAGGATTTTAAGGATTACGTAAATTCGTGCAACGCATGTTGCAAAGTCAATACGATTTTTATGATTAAAACAAAATCCTATACGAAATTTTAAATAGTTATATTCAGTTTTTGTGAAAATAAATTCAGTGTAAAAAAAGTAGCATGTACGAGTCTTACCATAATCATTAGTGCGCAAGTTTTATGTTGTTTATGTGTAATTCATATATCTTTATTTTCCAGTGATAAAGTAATGTACATAAATAAAATTAGCCTATAATTGGCACTTCTGGACGTATAAATAAATCAATAAGAAGGCATTATACTATACTAAATATAACGTATAATTCAATATAAAATAATAAATATATTTTAACGATAGAACTCTCTATTCAAAAGGCGATTCGTGATAGACAATTCAACAATTTTTATTATTCTTGTAACTACAGAGATATGTTGTTGAATTATTCAGAATAATCGGTTTGATCTATCTTATAAGATGGAGAAAATAAAATGTAGATATACCTAATTGTTATTCGATGAAATATTAATTATAAATTACATGTCCTTTTCATAATGATTTTTACGATACGGAACACCGTTGGCAGAACTTGATTACTGAAATAAGTGAAAAGAAATAAGTGAAAACATTTCTTTTAATTTATGTATATATTCTCATTCGGCAAACAATATTTCGCAATATTTCATCAACCTATCAGCAATGTTGAAACGTTACTGAAATATTGCTCGCCGAATGGACTACCTTTTCCCTGGATTTAAATCAGTATATTGAAAGATAATCTTATCCCCATATCTTTATCGTTAACAATATTTGTTTTTTCGCAACGGAGATAAGTAATAACTATGATCAAAGAGCATAGAAAAAGTTGATTCACGACAGTGAAGGGGACGCAAGATCCGTTCGTTCATTTCCCGAAAGGGTAATATAAGCTTCGATGTTAAGTCGCGCGACTTCATTTAGTTTAAAGATACGGTCAAGGTAACATCATACTCTGTTTATCAAAATATCGCTATTTACACAGCATTCAAATTATCGTGCCAGCTTTGTTTAGTATCAATCGAAGTCGAAGCCAGCATAAAGTGAGAGTGAAGAAATTAAATAACGAATATGGCGCGTCAACCTCCAAAATACGAAGTTCTACCCGAGGAGAAGACAAAAGAGATGCTAAAATTATTTAAGGGAGAGAGAACTGGTTGGGTGCAAGTAGGCTCGCAAAAATGGTTTTTCCCTTACCGGTATACGGAACAAGGTGCCGGATTCTATAATTTTGAAGCCAGGCCAGATGACACTTGGATAGTAACTTATCCGAGATCTGGTGAGTGCGTATCTAACATCTAACATGAGTGCGTGTATCTAACATGTATGCGTGTTGCGTAATGCGTATTGCGTTACATGTATGTAATTGCCCATGATAGTCCACATTAATTTTCTTTTTACCACATGTGCCACATATTAACGTTAATTTAGCATCCCTCTTGTCAGACTATGAACATGATTAACAATTAAAAAAGTATAAATAAATAAAAGTATTATTGTATAACAAGAAATACTGATATTTAAATAAACTCGAAACGAAGGAAGAAAAGACGAAAAGACACAGGTATTAAATAGATGCATTAACTATCTAAATAAATCATTTAAAATTAACTATCTAAAATTCCAGATAAAAATATATCTTTTTAAGTAATAATAAGTTGTTCGTCAATTATATAATGCAAGAACAAATTACTTGTATAAAATGTACGAAAGAACAACTTATAAGAAAAGTACTTGTAAGAAACATTTCTTGTCAACATTTTGTTCCTTTGAATTGATTATTTAGAAACCTATACATTAAAAGAAATTCCTTTATCTATTACTATTCTTTTATTTCATAAATGAATTAAATATAGTACATATTATTATAGTATAATTATTATAGTATAATTATTTAAATACTTTTTAACTGTCTGTTGATTATTATTTTCATTTTTCAGATACTTGTTGATTAATTTCTGATTGTTTGGACTTTCAAATATTTTATATATAATGTCAAAATTTTTCAAATATCAATTAAAGTTTTAATTCTTCAAAGGCACTACATGGACGCAAGAGCTGGTCTGGCTACTGTCAAACAATTTGGATTTTGAAACAGCGGGAAAGCAATATCTTACTGAGAGATTTCCTTTTCTCGAGTTAGTAACAATAACGTTACCATTTATGATATATACATGAAAAAAAAGATAAACTCATATTATCATTCATTACACTTATCACTCATATTTGCACGGAAAAATGCAAATATGGATACATTTATGTATTTTTTCTGAAGCTTAAATTTCATAATTGGCAAATATTTGGCAAATAATATTTGGTTACTCACTTCGTTTGATTTCAGCGTATTGCGAAATAATTTTATCAGAATATTTCCTACATGTTAATCTTTCTGCATACGTGACAAAACGTAAATTATATAACTTTGTATTATACGTTGTATGAGATGATTAGATATTACGTGCCAAGAAGTGGAAAACATCGCGATAATAGTACTGTAATTGGCTGATATGCCCACATGTGTGTTAAGATCTTTTTCATTGAATATTTATCTTTTTTCGATATGCTTCCTTAACAGCACAGATGTCCAGAGAACGTCCAGAGTACGTCTTAAGGACGTCCTAGGGACGTTTCTTCATCCTCAGGACGTCCATACGACGTCCCTAGGAGATCATGTGCTGTCTGAGTTAATACATAATACATAACACTTAATTTTAACTATAGAAATTGTAATCTGGAAAACATAATAAAATTAATGCTTGGAAATGTACTAGAGGAATCTAATTGCGTGTATCTAAATATTTGTATATATTGCATAAAATTATTAACGTAGATATTTATGTTTAGATATTATGATTAGATATGTGTAGATATTTATGTTTAGATCTAATGTTTTCATCGTGAATGTCATATATATAATTCAGTAGTACAGTTTTAGATGTGATATATCTGGTTATGTATTGTCGTTATGTTTCAATACGTATGATGTTTTATATTCTTGTGGCTTCATCCAATTGCTCAATGAATGTTGGCTAGCTCATAACCAGAAAGACTAACCTGCGAAAATTAATTTTGCACAGTATTTACTGCAGAATCTGTTAGCAATTTATTAATAGAAATACAACCTAATGGCAATAGAATCTAATGACAAAATATGGCAGACTGATGGCAGGAACTCTGAGCAAGATTTACCGTCTTAAATTTAAATAAAACACTGCAGATCCTGCACGATAGACTGCTAAAAGATTGCTTATTGGGTACATTCCAGATTCAGTATGCTCCATCATCCTGAACTGACAAAAGAGTTGTTAGAAATGAACAAAGATAACACGGCGAAAGAATACTGCCTGGAATTAGCCAAACCCGGTTACGAGGTCGTCGCGTCAATGCCGTCGCCCAGATTCATCAAAACTCACTTTCCATTCAGCTTGCTTCCAGGAATCTTGGATGTCGGTTGTAAGGTAATTGCACATGGAAGAGAAAAAGTACGAGAGTTTCGTAGCAATCACACGATTATCGTAATTTCCGAATGGTCGTTTCTTTATCTTTTTACTTCCAAATCGCGTTAACCTTTTATTAATCTTTTTTAAAGATTATCTACGTAGCTCGCAATCCGAAGGACGTTGCAGTCTCGTGGTATCATTTGCACTTGACGATCACGATTCAAGAATTTCTCGGCGATTTCACTACCTTTTGGGATTACTTCGAGAATGACCTTAGTAAGTACAAAAGAGATTATAAATTTTGAAATTCTAAACGTATTTATATTCTGTAATACTTAGGTACTATAACGTACAACATGATGTACATAGCAGTTTAAAAATTAATTTATAATAGCTATAACCTATATTTTCTAAATCATTAAAATCGATTTAATAACTGTTATTACATGTACTGCTGTTATACATACAGCTAATGTTATATGTGTAATAATTATGTTACGATTATATACGGTGAGTCCCAAAAGTAACGGACCATCCTAATAACTCTTCAGTATTGAAGTTTCAAGGAAAATGATTTCAATAAAAGTTGTAGGGATTTAAGTGAGCTACCTTATGATGACCTTAACTTTGACCTTGACCTTTATTTTCAAGGTCAAAATCAAGGTCATCATAAGGTAGCTCACTTAAATCCTTACAACTTTTATTCAGATCATTTTCCTTGAAACTTCAATATTGAAAAGTTATTAGGGTGGTCCGTTACTTTTTGGACTCCTCGTATATTTATTCATTGAATTGATGATAAATCAGTTTTATATATGCCAGCCGTCTAAGTGTCGACTGCAGATACTCGTATTACTAAACCAGTTCCAGAGTATCGTATAAACGGAGTCTGTTATCACTGAAACATTTAACCACAAATATAGTCGACCTTGTAATTGTTACTTCTTCGTTAATGATGTCAAAAATATACACAGATAGATCTGTAATTATCTTGTATTTTTATATTATTTCTTCGGATTGAATTATACAAAACACGTTTGATTACCAAGTGAAGAGATTATAACATGTATGTTATTTCTCACGCGATGTATGACCCGCTTAATTACTTACTTATATTTCTGACAGTTCAATGTGTATGTATTCGGGTCGCATCTGCTTTCTTCCAATTAGAGAATTTCTCTCGAAAAATAAATCAAAGATTCGTAATGTGCTTATTCAACGCGCTTTTTCAGCGTTCTGGAGCCCTTATTGGACACATTTGAAGGAAGCCTGGGCCCTGAAGGATCATCCGAATGTTCTATTTTTGTTTTACGAAGAGATGCAACATGTGAGCAATATCAATGTTATTTTTTCCTCATTATTTTACATCATTATATGTATGTACTGAAATAATCGTTCGCATAAATTTTCTTTCAGGATTTCCTGAAAACAATCAAGAAAGTTGCAAAATTTTTGAACAAAACATATACCGATGAACAGTTAAGCAAGCTGGTAGATTACTTGGATATTAAAAACTTCCGCGACAATAAGATGGTCAACAATGTCGATCTGAAGAATATAGGCGTTATGAAGATTGGGGATTTTATCAGGAAAGGTCGCAGTGGTGAATGGAAGGAAGTCTTTACTCCTGAGATTGCTGCTAGAGCAGACAAATGGATCGAAACGAATCTGAAGGATACGGATTTGCGTTTTCCGGTTTTCAACCATGATATATAAATTAAAATAATTAATTAAAATTAAAATTAATATAAATAATTATAATCGACAATTAAGTGAAAAGTAATATCGGTAAAATCTCTATAAAAGATACCGACATTCAGCAAAGATCGATCGTTGGATTCATCTTTGATACGTCAAATGAAAGAAAGGCGTAAATGAAATCTTTTCCTAATCTGAAAAATAAAAATGATACGATAATAATTTGTGAAAAAAGGAGTAATATTAGATTGATCCAGAAGAGTTTTTCTTATAGAATATACGTATATATATATATATTTTTTTTTATTTAGTGATATATTTCAATCTCAAAAATTTTGTCTGACTTTCTTTTATTTCAAAAATTTTGTTCTCATATGAACATTGTGCAATATTTGTGGAAAAATACTTTGAATCAAACTAATATTAATAAGGATTATAAGACTTTGATAGGTAACATTATTGAGTCACGCATGTGTGTGCACGTACTTTTTTTCTTGTTTTATTATAAAGGAATTTTTATACTTTTATTTCATTCCATTTCATTATACCATGTATTCGTAAATTTTGCGAATACATAAATCCTGTTATTTCATATGCAATTGCATTTTATCATAAAAACGCGCGGCAGTATTGAATTTTATATCGGCTAGTCCGAGGAACTCTTTTGAATAGTGCATTTCATAGTAATATCCGAGAATTTGTCTTAGAATTGTCTTTTTAAAATATTAGCGTTGTCGCAAGTGATAATTCGCATTTCGAGCAGAAGAATAGTGACGATAAGTAAAAGATTACTGCGTCCAACAATAATGATTCGGTGACGGTATCGACCGCGACTAACGAAAAATACTGTGGGCGGATAATGAAAATAAAATTGCCATTATCAATGACGAAATGTTAGAAATGTAGACATAATTATGTAGATTTTATATAGATAATAAGAGACATAAAATTACATAGATCGCGAGAGGTCAACTATAACGCGCATTTGAGCTAGGAATCCTGAGGCTCGAATTTAGAAAATAACTGAAAGATACTTAATAAGTGTCATGAAAGACTGCTCAAAGAGAATGATGATTTTTTTTACATATATGCTTAGTACTGCCGATGAATTCTCGGCAAGAATTCTGACCTTTAGCAATAACAATAATCTATTTTCTCGAAAACGAAACTTTCATTTCTTAAATTTATTTTGTAAATGTCGCATTAACTTTTCTGTTAGGATTAACGAATTCACTTCTACCACTTTGTGATTTCGTTTCTTTCCTTCATCGGAAAATCGAGTTTGTTGAATTTTGAGAATGTGTTTTCGTATCTTTTCATCCAATTCTTTTACAGTAAATGCCGTTTTATTGTATCCAAAAATATGACATAATATATGAGGTACTGTCCCTGCGTATGTCTTCTTTTAATATTTTTCATGTTTTTCATACATGAAAACCTTGCACGTTCTTCTCGTGAAAGTAGAAAAGCGGGCAATGTTTGAAGAAAGAAATGGTTTTTATATAACACATTTTATAGACAATACGGCCAAAACACAATTATCCGTATAATCATGTAGTTTTGGGGAAAATTCAACGATTCAATGATGCGTTAGGCATTGGGCTTCCAAAGTCTTTTTTAAAATATTTGCGTTTTCGACGAATTCTGTGAACGTACAAATTAAAAAAAAATGAAAAATTCATTAGTCATATCTATATGTAGTAATTTAATTCAATATTAAATAACAAAATCCGTACGTCCTCCTATGAATTTACGACAACCCGTATAGTTTCAATGTCCTGTCCATACTAGTAGAGGCGATATATTGCGCATGTTTGCCAAAACGAACACCTGTGGCTGCTGCTGTGTGATCATTTAGCACCTTCAATTCTTGCCATTGCTTGCAGAGATACACCCTGGAAATAATATAATATTAAGATTAAGATTCAAATAATATTAAAATATTTAAAATAGAATTATCATTTATCAGCAATAATGTGAATAAAACCTAATATGTAGTCATAATAATCCTTAGGTTCAATTAATGAACAAGGCTTGATGAAAATTTGATATCTTACCTCACGTCTGTTCCAGCCACAGCCAGATACGTTCCACTTTGATCAAAGCAAATATCTTTCACTTCGTAGGATTCCTCTAGTTGCAATGTTTTAAAGTTCTTCAATTTACGCAAATCCCAGAGCTTTACACACGAATCCTCTGCTGCTGTCGCCAAATAATATCCGTTCTCAGAGAAACTAATGGCTGTGATTGGGCCTGTATGGCCCGGAAAGTTCGCCACGTTAGATTGCTCCTTCAGATCCCAGATTTTCACTTGAGAATCTGCCGTGCCGGTGCCGAAAATCAAACCGTCAGGATGGAATTGAGCAGTAGTCAACGGCTGTCCGACTTGTCCCGCCACCTTTAAACATTCCATATATAGTTCATTTAGAGATGATTTATTCGAAACGGAAAAACTTATACTTAAATAATAAGATTAAAAAGAAAATAATTAAATGATTGTTTCTTACAACGTACTTTAGTTAATAATCTGCCAGTGCGTATATCCGAAAAAGCCCAATGCTGATCCAGAGACGAACTAAGCAAATAATCACCAGTTGGATGTAAAGATAGTCCAGTTACTGGGGCATCATGAGCTTTCAATAACAATGTTGTCTGACTGGTACCGACGTTCCACACACGAATTGTAGTATCAGGAGACGCTGTCATCACTATATCTTCTTCCGGATGATAAATGACTCGTGTAACCTATGAGAATGATCAAGAAAAAAACATGTTATAGTTGAAAAAGTAAAATATTAAATTTTACGCTACAACCATAAACACACCTTCTTTGTATGACCTTTGAGAATAGCCACAACTTGCTCGGTATCCTTGTTAAATACAGTAGCATTTTTGTCTGCACCACCTGTTAAAATCTTGCTAGTGTCAGCACCATGAATGTCAAGTGCGAGAATTCCTGGTACGCTAGCAGAATGAAGTCCCTGAAATCACAAAATATTTAAATTAATCATATATTTATGCAATAAGGCATTTAACAATGAGGATATTAAGTTTGAGAAACTGTTTACAAAAAATGAGACAAACTTACAGGATGAGATGCAAGTGTTTGGAATGACCGGATATTGTCTTGTGGCATTAGATCCTCTGGCACAGAGCGTCCACGTCGTTTTCGCTCCTGAGTAAGAACAGTTGCTCGCTCTTGAAGTTTCTGAATAACGTCATCAGTGATGCCTGCCTGTTCCATTGGTTGGGCAGCTGTGCCACCAGCTTCCACTGCTACAGCCTATTAAATTAACATACACATATATTATTGATAACTAATAAAAAATTGTCAAATATTTAGAGTTTGATTTGAAATATCAATAAATAACAATATAATGATAGTATCATACAGGCTGTGGAATTGTAGTAGCTTGAACAATTCCAGCTTGAGGTTTCAGAGTGGCTAAAGCTTCTCTGGCAGCAGTAACTTCTTTAGTCAATCTTGCTATTACACGACAAGCTGCATCATGCTGATACAAGGCATGAGACAACTCCTGCCTCGCAGTTTGAAGTTGCTGCCGTAATGTAAATGAATGTAACATAACAGCATCCCATTCATCTTGTAGAATTTTTAATATTGCAGGAATGGATGTAGCACTTGGTGGTTTGGGTTTGACAATAGGAGTTGCTATAGCATAAAAATTTTGAGCATAATTTTATATATATGTTAGAAGTAAACAATTTAATACAGTTTAATATGAGCAAAATTTAGAGATAATATTGTTTTTTCACTTATATTTGGCTTAAATAATCTTTGCATAGTTTTTAAGTTACATAAATATCTTATATATGAGGAATATTCAAATAAAAATTTAAAGATACCTTTTATATCCATTAGCTGTTCAATGGTAAGCTCTTTGCCATTGGTTGGATCCACTCCATTTTCAGCAACATATTTCTCAATAAGACGTCTCTCAAATATTGATCCAGAAACAAGAGATATTACTGGATGTTCTGGTACTTCATTAGAAACTGTAAATAATGTACAATTTAGGATTGCCATTGCAATCCATTTCCACTTGATTTTATTTTCCCTTATATCCAGTTGACTTAATAAAATTTTAATATATAATCTGTAACTTCATTCTAAGTATCAAACTAGTTTGACTTGGAATTAATTAAAATATAATACATATACACATGTAATATAAATACAAACAGAAAAGAATTAAAATCGTTACAATATAATCATCTTATAAAATTCTTTTGTTATATAAAAAGATATTGTGTTCTCTCTCTTATTGTCATATCTTTATTATACTTTGCAATCCGAATGGAGTAATGCTACTTATTAAAGGTTATGTCCGCTGATTTCGCCGGCATATTTTACTTTTTAGAAAGATGCGGAATTTTGGTGCAGGTATTGTCGCATAAATTGAAAAGTCACAAAAAGTAAATCAGAGGAGAAAAAGAAGATATAATAAAGCAAACAACACACATATGATAAAATACTCACTCGCACAAGATAACGCCATTTTCAGGCACGATAGACGCGCGTTTACTGACTGTCTCTGTCGTGGTCTTTTCTACTTCTTGTAAGTAGCTAGACCGTTTCATCGTGGCTGAGTTATGAAATTCACTGCCAGTACTGAAAATACATAGTTTATGTCACGTATACTATAGAATTTCAGTGCTGGCAGTGAATATCGAAACGCAGCCCGAGTCTCTCATTGGAAGAAAATTTTGCTCATGTCGGATGCTTCCATTTGCATTGCCCACATTAAGGCCTGGTCTACAATACGTGTTGCTGACCAATTATAGCCGATTATTTTTGTAATAATCGACTGTGACTACGTTTACACGGCTTCTAACTTCGACTTAGTGATGCTCAGGGTTGGGAAGCAACGCGTTACTTGTAACGCCGTTACTGGTATTGTTACTTTTTTGAGTAACGATTAGGTAAACGCCGTTACTTTTTGGTGTCAGTAACGAAAAAGTAACGGCGATATATTTTTTTTGTAACGAGTAACAAAACGTCCGTTACTTTAATCGTTACTTTTTAATTTTTATAAAATTAAACTTAATTGTATTTAATTTCTATGCATTTTTTGTTTTATGCTGGATTTAATGAGATGGATTCAATAAAGATGGACTCACATATTGTCATCCATTGGCCGTAGCTATACAGAAAGGTTTAAAAGAAAGGTAAGTTGGTGTAATTTGGTTAATACATATGTTCATCAAATAACATTCATCTGATCAAAAAGAAAAATCAATATGTTCATATTTAATTTTATTGGTTTAACTTTAAGTTTTGTACTACATTCGGAAAAGAATTGATAATTGCCAGCTGTTTGCATCCCAAATTGAGTTGGTTAGCTGGAGATAAGTGAAAACTTGCGCAAACGTATTTAGAAGATTTATAAGGAATTCCTTCAATTAAAAATTTTTTGATGTCTGATAAGCACAATAATAACGATGACTTTTTAAATTTTAAATAGCAAACATCAAATGAGAAATCTGCCTATGATGAATGGCAAAGATTTTTAAAGTCAACAGGCACTAATGTCCAAATATTAAATTCATATCCACTAATTAAGAAACTTTTCATTAAGTACAACACTTAATAACATAAAATAATAAAAATATTTAAATATATATATATATATATATATTTCTAATCGTCTTATGTCTGATTTATATCTTGTCTTAGCATCTTTCTTATAATCCTGGATTTACAACAAAAAAAAGTAACGGAAAGTAACGAAATAAAATAACGTTACTTTCAAGTAACAGTAACGCGTTATTTTTTTAAGATCAGTAACGAGTAACGGTAACGAGTTACTTTTTACCGAAAGTAATGGTAACGGTAACGAGTTACTTTTAAAAAGTAACTTTCCCAACCCTGGTAACGCTAATGTTATAACTCCTACTTAAGGTGAGTTGCGTTTACATATTTACGCTTATCTATTTGAAATAACTTAATAACTTTCGAGTGAGTCAAGGATTTCCATTAGTACCAATATAAAAGGCCGAAAAATGAAATGATTGTGATTGTACTCTGAATATAAAAGAATTAGAATATGAAAAGAATAGTATGTAAATAAATCAACAAATAAAGTGAACTTTTAGATTATATTATGAGTTTGAAAATTATAAAATATGTATATATCAATATAGTAAAATTTATATAATAAAATATAATATTTAACTAAAAATGAAATTAAAATTTTAGGTTATTAATTTTGGAAAAAATTAATCGTGGAAAATATGGAAAGCATACGCTCGTTTGTTGCTATATATTTGAAAATATATAAATAGAAAATATGACGATGCAATATATACTATGACTACGTTTACACGGCAAAGTTAATCCGGATTAGTAACAACCATAGTTATTGAATTCTTTGATTCGATTAGTATATTCTTTTAGATCTAAAAATATACTCTAATCGGATTCCAGATTGCACTAACTACGGTAGTTACTAAGCCGAAGTTAGAAGCTGTGTAAATATAGTCTATATGTACGAAATATTTTGATTAAACGGCGAAAGCGTCAGAAAGAAATTATATTACATTTGTTATATTTAACATCACCAAATCATTTGCTTAATCTCGGACCCATATTACAATTTTCACGACATAAATCAATTTTATAATCAAGTTAAGATGTTCAATTTTTATATTGGTATTATTGTCATATTTACACCTGGCGGTCCGTTTACACGTCTTCCCTTACGGTCCGATGTAGAAACCCTAAGTCTCTTCACTAAATGACTTTGAGTTACTACATCAATGTAATAACTTCGTCGTAAAGGAGTGTTTACACGGCATCTAACGTCAGTAGTTATAACATCGATGTTATAACTTTAGCGTAAATTGGGTTGTGTCTATATCGGAACGGACTTGCAGTACTGGCAGTACTGCCAGTAAATAACGAAACGCAGCCTTAGTAACTACCGTAGTTAGTGCAATCTCGAATCCGATTAGAGTATATTTTTAGATCTAAAAGAATATACCAATCGAATCAAAGAATTCACTAACTACGGTTGTTACTAATCCGGATTAACCTTGTCGTGTAAACGTAGTCTATGTCCGTGAAGCTACCACAGCGTTTGCTCAGTGCGCGTGCGCGACTTTTCCCACGCTTGTCATCACTGAATACGGGTATAAAGCCAACGGCACACGGTGCTTGTTTTCGTGCTGGATTGCTTGCTGGATGAAAATACTGCGTTCTGATTGGTACATTTCTATTCATCTTCGGAAATGCACCAATCAGAACGCAGTATTTTCATCCAGCAAGCAATCCAGCACGAAAACAAGCACCGTGTACCGCTGGCTTAATATATGTGTAATCAACGAAATTGCATTGGCCGCGTTCAGTAGAACAAAGTGATCAGAGAGCGCTTAGTGATTATTGTCTGTGATTGGAGCATTCTTTTAGATTCTTCATAGATCCAGAAGTATTTACCAATCAGGAGCGAGATTCAATGGAAAATCTAGTAATGTGTCCACTGTTGAGTCTGCTGAATGCAGCCATTGGCTGCGTTCAGTAGAACAAAATGATCAGTGAGCGCTTAGTGATTATTGTCTGTGATTGAAGCATTCTTTTAGATTCTTCATAGACCCAGAAGTATCTACCAATCAGGAGCGAGAATCACTAAGCGCTCACTGATCACTTTGTTCTGCTGAACGCAGCCATTGATTCCTTGCTGAAAAGCATCACATATTTCTAGATCTATTTGATAAAAAGTATTTAAAATTCGACAAATTATAACATTCGTAAGAATAATAATAATGAGATGTTTCATTCCTTTTATCTTATGTATTTCTACATGTATTTCTAGAAATATAAACTATTTAACTCAGTTACACATTTAACGCGGTATCATCAGAGTTATTGCGGTGTAGTGCATCATACAACGCTGAAAAAATCAAAATTGCAATATCGAAACTTGTATAATTGTAAATCACACATCTGTAATTTTGAGATAATGTATTAATTTTATCTACTATCTTCCTTCTTTTTTTGTAAATATTGTCCATTTTTCATAAATAATGAAATATCCGACATGATTTAATAGGTTTCGCTTTCTTAACTCCTTTTAATATTAACCACGAACTTGCCGGGATGGCGAGCACTATGGAGCAAAAATTGTTCTATAATACTGTGTTATCGCAAACATTTTCTCCTGATGGGAATTACTTAATGACTGGCAATATTTATGGGGATGTGTCAGTATTTGAGTAAGTATTTTATAATGTATACAATATATAGAATGTATGGAATATAATTATGAAAATCATATTGGATAGTAATTTTTTTTGTAAACGAAGTGGAATAAATTAGTGTTCATATTATTTAATGAAATAAATATTAATCTCTAAATAGTCTGCCAAGAGCCTTAGGACCTAACAAAATAGAAGAAAATGAATTACAAGGACCAACTTATCGTTTTGCTGCACATCCTGATCAACAGGTTGCTTGTATGTTGTCCACAGAAGATTTTTTCATAACAGGAACATGTGGTGAGATATCAGGATGGGATTGGAAGATGGTGACTTCTAGCAAAGCTCCCAACAGTAAAATTTCGTGGAACATACAAATTCCAACTAACAAGTAAGCAGAAATATTATCTAAAGAAAGTAAAATATATATTTGTTTTGGTCCCATGCTATATTTTTGTACATTTTATAATTATAATTTTATAATTATAATTCTTGAGAGACAAGACAAGTTGACAAGAGAAACATAATAAATCATATTTGCAGAGATAGTTATGAGAAGCCAGATGTAAATTACATGGTATATTCAAAGACAAATAAATTATTATATGCTGGCTGTGGAGATAATAATATATACATCATAAACTTAGAAGATGGAAGGATTTTGAGGGATATGCAAGGCCATACAGATTATATTCACTGCCTTGCCATAATGTAATTATCATTTATCTATACCAAGTAAGTCATGAATAAAAAAATTGTATCTGTTTTATAAATAATAATTAGGAAAGTACTATAAATTTCAGGGGTAATCAGCTTGCATCCTGCAGCGAGGATGGCTCTGTGAGATTATGGGATTTGCGTAAAAAAGAGAATACCAACATATTGACACCTCATTTAATAGACAAAGTTGCCCGACCACGATTAGGAAAATGGATAGGTGCGGTGGATTTTACTGAAGATTGGTTGGTATGTAATAAATTTATGGTAATACTTACCTAAGATTTACAACGATTGTAACAGTGTTTGTAAATTACAAATTGTTAAATACAACTCTAGCTATGCGGAGGTGGACCCAGCTTGTCTTTGTGGCATATGCGCACCATGGAAGCCGCGACAATCTTTGATTTGACTGATCAAGGTATTCATGTAGCAGAGATCTATGAGGAACGTGTGATTGCGGCTGGTGCGGCCTCCTATATCTATCATATAACATACCAGGGTGAAACCCTGGCAAAGGTGCCCACGTCTAGCAATACTGTCTACAGCGTCGTGTATCAGGAATTGCCACAAAAAGTGCTAAGTGCAGCTGGCTCCTCGAATTACCTCGATCTCTGTACGAATTTCAATTACCGCGAGATGGTACTCAAGTTCGCGTGATGGATGGAGTGAATGTAAGACAGCCATTTAGTTTTTATTTTAATAAATATACATATATATTAATAAAGTATATGTGTACATTTTGTATGACACGATACTTCCTTTGTACAAATATACAAATCGATTTTCTGCTCGCCATTGCGAATATTTGCATGCGCGAACATAATCCTGGCGGGATGGAAGAGCGGAGATGATAAATCTATCCCGTGTCAAACGACCGCAGTTATTAAAATAACATTGATGCAAAAGCGATTTGGTCTAGGTTGAGAACATTGATTTCGCAGGGTAAAAATAACTTTAACGAATTTTTACAAATATTGACTTAACAGCTCTAGTAACTTCAATCTTACTTTATGTTTGTACAAAGTGAGATATATCGACGAATAATATCGCACAGCTCGATCAGCTCTAAAAATAAATTAAAAGATCGCGATTAATTATATTAAATTCGATAGTGTGAAAACGCAAATCTTTCTTTCCATCAGTATCCATATCGATATAGTTTTAGACATAGAAATTGGATTATATCAGAAGACTCGAATTGGTATGCCACCTATGTTGAGAATTTTTGCTGCCACGTTGACAGAAAACAACAAATCAGAGGAAACCATGGCCAGCGACGACTGCCGGAATAAAGCCTTCCCTGCCGTCTCTGGAGCGCACCCAGAACCAGTCACTCACATGATCGCTCAATAAGGCAACCACGTCGCCCTTGGACACCGTCAGTGCGTTGCCGCCGCGTGCCTCGTAGTCGCTCCTAATCACCAGCAACGTGTGCCTCGATCCCTTAGTACGCGCGTTCGCCGCTGCTCTCAGGTACAACCGGTCGACGCTGCGCTCGCCGCACGCTGACACTGCGTCCCTCGAACTCCGCCGAACTCTGCCGCTGCGACCGCGAGCTCCTCCGCATTCTGACCGAGTGTCTCGAAGTTTCTCCGTATCTGTCATGTTTCCTAAAAGTTGAAGGACTGACTAGTACGATGATCTTATCGATTGTAAAATAACAAAGTTGACCCGGAAGGATACAGATTACGCGCGCGTACACGTAGTATTAAGATATTTCTACATATGAGTTGATATAGGCGAACTTTCCAATGCTCGAAATTTGATTTTACCAAGCAAGATAAGCTAGATCAATCAGAACTAGCTTTACGCACTATGTATTATAATGATACAAGGAATAAAGGATGTTTTCAAGGATATTCAGTGTTCGTACCCATTTTCATTAAAATTGCCGAGGAAAATTTCGCTCACCGAGGGGCCGGGGGAAAACATCGGTAGAATCCTCCCAACAGGGTCCTCGCGTAGGTTGCGGTAGGATTCCGAGGGGTAAACAGGCGGCATAGCCGACGTAGCCTTCTTGGCCATGAGGGGTTTGCACGTACAACCAAGTTTGGTTCTTGAAGACTGCGTTCACAACCGTACCTAGGGGCAAGGCCACCTCGTCCTGAGTTCCGCCTTGAGTCTGGTACAACACCGACGGGAAAGACAAGACGACTGGAATGTTTGCTGGTCTCTCTATGGAGGCCTGGAATTTTTTTACGCGTGTGTCAGTGTATCTAAAGTTGAATCGAAGTAAAAAGTGAAAGCGGAATCACCTTGGTTAAGAAGGCGTCGAGATCGGCGATCTCGTAGCCGAATCTACTCGGTGGCCTAGGTTTGTGCGAGCGTTTTGTTCGCCTGTGCCTGTGCTTCTCTCGTCCGCTAGGCGTCGACGTTGACTCTCGCGACACCAGAGAGGGCTCGGAGACAGCTCTCTTCACTTTCTCCTTCGTATCCTTCAAGCTCACGAATTCCTTGTCAGAGTGTTGCTTCTCCAGCGGGCTCTCCAGTCGTCGCTCGTTGCCGATCGTCTCCTTGCCGATAATCTTACGAAGAATTATTTCGAGGAAATGCAAAGACCGTACGAAAAGAAACCAAGCAAATAATCGTAGCAAATATTTTCTTCTTTACCTTCTCGGTTCTTTCGATCTTCTCAAGCCTATGCAGAATCTTCTTCTCCCGCTTCTCGATGCTCTCCTTATTATTTTCGATATTCTCCTTGCCGGTATCCTTCTCTTTGACACTCTTGACACTTCTCCTCGAAGATCTGTCCTTACTGCCTCGCGACAAAGTGTCTCGATCGCTGTTCGTACCTTCGAAAAATTCGGGTAATTTTATTAACATGTATTGGGTTGGCAACTAAGTGATTGCGGATTTTAAATAAGAATGAAAATTCAAAATTTTAAATTTGCTTTTTTAAATTTTTTTCAATGCATGTATGCGATACATTGAGCTTCTCTGCAATATCACGTGTTGTGCTATGACGATCTGAATCGATAATGGCCTTGATATGGGTCTCATCGACTTCAACTGGACGGCCAGATCGTTGAGCATTTTTCAATGAAAATTCACCAGAACGAAATCTGGCAAACCAATTTTGACACTGCTTTTCTTTCAAGGCTTCATTTCTATATACGGCACATAACTTCTTGTGTGCTTGCGATGCGTTCTTGCCTTTTCGGAAATAATATAATAAAATATGTCTGAAGTGCACGTCTTGCTCTTCCATTTTAAATTGGGATAAAAATAAAACTAAAGAACTAATCGATATAATTTTTGTACTAAATGAAAGGTAGAAGTCCAAACAATAAGAAAAAAATATAGGTTAGGTACTTTGAACACGTTAACGAAACAAAAGAAAGTGTAAAATCCATCTGTCGACAAAATCCGCAATCACTTAGTTGCCAACCCAATAGAATGATGGAGTAGTTTTTAGGATTTGTAGTAGAAAAAGTCTCCGATTTTATTCAGCAAACTTTGCTATTTCCCACGTAACTCTATCGTTATGAGGACAGATCCAAATTTTAATATGATAATGTCTATTGTGATAGTTGATACGCAATTACGAAATCTGAAGAAGATCTGGCAGAAATAAGGAGGATTAATAAAATAAAGAAGAAAAAATAGATTCTACCGCCGCCTCCATTGCTGGTCGGACAAGGCCCGTTGGGCCCGGGTTGCTGCTGGCCACGAAGAACCCAAGTCAGGGAAATTTTGGGGCGCAACAGAGCGCTCGACCGCTGCCCCATGCTCCCCGTCGACACGGGGAACGTCGTGGACGACGGCGGCGTGGGCGTCGATGATCTCGAAGGTGACGGTGACCTCGAGTTACTCGTCACGACCTGCAACGGACAGTCCGCCACCAAGTCCACCGTCTGCATCGAACGGCCATATTCCTGAGAAGTGCACATAAAAATGAGAATGGCAAATGTTTGGGAGATTCTTGGCCAAAGATAATCTCGTAACTTTTACAGATAAAACTTGTAACTTTATAATTTGTAATCCCGTAACTGTTACATGTATGAAATTTAGATAATTATGACCTCCTCTCCGTGTGTTTACAATATTTTATATATTTATACTCCATTCATTATATATAATTTTATATATAATTTTAATATAATATATATATATAATTTATATATATAATTATATATATATATATATATATAATTTTATATTATATTTATATTTAATTACTATATGCATTTGTACACAGTTGTAGCGAACACACTGATAAATACGTTCAACTTTATTTCCTGCTTTTCCGGTTGAATTAATACCTACTATTCACGGGACGCATGTAATATCGTGTAATGTTGTACGATATTTCTTTATATTGATACCGCGTCGCATCTCTGCATTTCTAGAACGAAGTTACTCGCTCGGAACGAAGCTGAAGCAGGAAGCTGAGACGGATCCTTTATATCTTTATATTCTTCGACCAGAGAGAGAGAGAGAGAGAGAGAGAGAGAGAGAGAGAGAGAGAGAGAGAGAGAGAGAAGCAGGGATGTTTCTCTCACGCAGAGCAATCGCTTTCTTTGCAATCGCATCCGATAACTCGCATTTGGTGCATACAAGTTTCTCAGTTGCGGAACGCAGATAGAACCGATGACAGAGCGGTAATATTTATTTAACGTTTACAGAGAGTAGAATTCTTTCTGTCAGATCTATCATGAGAAAATATTCAATGTTGAATTTATCACAGAATCCTCGGAGATAAACCAGACTAGAAGCACTTTGGTGCCTCCGAGACACCCAGTAGAGGAAGCGGTTCTTGCGCGAGATAAATCGCGCTTCCGTGGTTGCGATCGAGGTGGCCAGCGAATCTCCTGAAAGGGAGAGAAGGAGGAAGAGAACGAGAGAGAGAGAGAGAGAGAGAGAGAGAGAGAGAGATCCAGGGCCGCCAAGAGCGGATTCAGGCCTCGATGAGAAACAGATCTTTCGGTTACTTCTGTCCGGCATTCGCACATTGACGCGCGAACAAGAGGACGAAGCAAGTATCGAGCGAGGAGAGAAAACGCTGATATTACAGTGCGCATAAAGAAATCAATAATTATCGAGAAGGACTGAAACGATGTGCACGACGTGGTCGATTCAGGACTCGTAGCCCGGAAGGAGGTCCGGGTAATTTGTATCGGCTTGTGCCCCCTCTTGTCGGGCCTGCGGAGGCCGCGAGGGCCATCTCCTTTCGCGCACAAAGTGGATTATTAATGCGTCTCATGGGTGTTCAATTAACCCGCGCAGCGGCGAGTCGCCGAGATGAATTATTCGGCGGAGCCCCACGGTGCCCCTTTTACCTTACTCCCTCCTTCTCTCCCTCCGTCCCATCAGCTCGTGCTTTACCGCGCCGCGGAAATTTACGGTCGTTGCCCCCCTCGTCCCTCCCTGTGTCTCACTCATTCACATACTCCTTCTCTCTTTCTCTTTCTCACGTATACGAACAAATGGCCCCGGTGCGAAATTTACGAACGACCTCGCCGCCGCCGCTGCCGCCGCCGTCGCCGACCGCCTCGTAAAACCTCCGCCGTGTACGGCCCTGTGCCCTGACGCATTTTTACTTTTAACGTTATCGTGCGGTACACAGCATGAATTATATTCGCGCTATATGTCCCACGAATTTTATTGATTAATTTCGCAGGGGAAACCGAGCCGAAGTCGAAAGCAGAGAGCCGGTAACGCCAGGGGCAACGATCGCGAGAACGAAGTCATCCCGTCCGTCCGATGCATAGTTATCCGCGATATCTGACCGAGGGGACTCTCTCGTCCAGCTGAGCGTGAAATGCGCCTTTAATATGCATCGACGCGTTTATCGGGGCCCACAGGTGATAACCGCTCTCTTTCTCTCGTCGTTCTCTTCTCCTCTGTCTCTCCCTTCCGCTCCACCCTTTCTACCTCTTTCCGAGCGCGCGCGACCACGTCGTCGTCCACGCGGCACCGTTAAATACGCGCGACATAAAAATCCTCGCAACGAGAGAAGCACAGGAGATTCAGGCCGTCTATATCCGTTTGAACGCGGGAATGCGAGAGGGAACCGTTTGCGGAGCGAGCGCGTGCGCGCATCCGATGCAGCGGTCTAATAATCGCAACACGCCATGTCGCTTCAGCGGATTTATAATAACGTCCGCGTATTCGGCGCGCTATGTACCTCTTTCTCCCTCCTCTTTCTCCTCCATGGCCGCGCGACCGCAACCTAGATAAATACACATAACGTAATAGTCGATCATCTTTACACACACACACACACACACATAGTTAAACGTTAAACACAGTTAAACGTACAAGTCGACAAGGAATCTCCGAGAAAATGCAGTTCCGATCGAGATCGACGTTTTATTATTTAACACCCTCTGTCCCAAAAATAACCGGAACGGCTCTATTTTAACGAAATTAGTGGCACCTTCTGTTGCTGGGAGATTAAGTTAGGAAGTGTCAGCCTTTCTTAATAACCTGTAAAAATTTCATGACATTTCGTTCACTAGAAGCCAAGATACGCATTAAAGTAAGGCATTTAAGTGACATTAGTTTGATATCTCGATCGAAAAATAGGGCAGTTGGCGGTTGTTGCACGATAATGGACCTTCTCATCGTTCGTCAATTGTCACTGATTTTTTGAGCAAGAATCAAATTTGATTGCTTCAACATCCCCCGTGATCAGACGATTTGACACCCTACGACTATTTTCTATTCCCTAAGCTGCAATTGCCGATGAAAGGAAACCGTTTATCATCAACTGGACATTCAACGGTCAACAACGAGCAATTTCAACACCATTCCAATCAGCGACATAAAAAGTCATTTGATATACTTCTTGAAATCTTCGTGCAAATCGTTGTATTTCTGCTGAGGGAGAATATTTCGAATGAATAAAATGATTTTTGTCAAGATTTCTTAATTATTTTTATTTTTTTTAAAGCCATTCCGATTATTTTTGGGACAGAGGATATATTAACGCCGTAATCAGCGAGACGACACGTCGAATTAAAAATTTAATTACCTTAAATGCAAACAAAAATTTTGTTGAATTAATCTTATGAATACCTCTAAATAAGATGCAGAGAATATTTTCGACCACAAAAAAAAATTGTTCAATGTTATGAAATTTTTATAAATAAATAATTCAGAAGATTATGGCAGAGGTAATATTCTAAACTTCGGCTAAAACTTCGAATAAAAAATACAGATAAAAAACAATTGGTTAAAAAAAGATTGCAGCAAGAATATTTGCTCTTAGTTTCGGCAAATTGCCGAAACTCAATTTCTGCCAACTTCATACTGCGATTACAACATTCCGGTGCAGTTTGGCGCAGACAAACTTTTTCTTATTTATTTCTACGTATGTATCATTACATTTTAAGTTCTGCAAGAGTCACAGCACCGGTTCATAACGGGGACTTTGAATCGCAATTCTTAATTAGAGTTACATTTTACACAACAGCACTATTTTGCTTTACTCAGGAAGCGTATATTTATATTAATTGCAACGAAAATTTAATAAATAACAGTGTTATTAGAAGCACAAATCATACAACTAAACATCGATAAAAAAGTCTAATGACCTGATGTAGTGGCAATCCTGTGAATGGAATCACAATTGTCATACTGATTATAACTCCTAAAATCGTACAAGAGACTTGCGGTTTTCATGAACTTCGTGTACTCGTAACTCCCATAAATGGAATTATTTTGCAATACACCTTTACAGAAGTCTAGAAAAGACTTAGAATTAACAAAATATGATATAATAATGATTAAAAAAAAGATGTAAAAAAAAAATGGATTTTGGCCACGTTCTCTGCCGTTTTGACCACTGTGCGTCGGAACAGATCTCTCACAACGCATCCGTCCACCTCGTCCCACGAATGTGAGCATAAAATGTTACGTGTACCTGCGGTCGCCGTGCATAAAGATCACACGTTTCTACGTTTTCGCGCAAGGGGGTACCGCGTGAGGCGGCGGTTTCCCTCCGCGGAATACTTAACCCCGTTGACCCCGGGTTACATCCCTGCCCTCTCCTCCTCGTTCCCTCCTCCTTCCTACCGAAACGTCCAAGAGTTCTTAGTCTTTATCTCCCTTTCGTTCCCTTTTTACCCCCCTCTTGCCCTTTACGTTTCTCATCGAACTTTCCCCTTCTCTCCCTCGCGGCTCCGTTCTCCCTGTTCTCCCTCCACCATCTCGCGCGGTTAATTATAAGGTCTTAGCTCGAATTATCGTGCACGCCACCACTTTTACCTTCGCGAGAGGGATCCTCTCGATTTTCTTCGGACAGATCGAAGGACGCCAGTCCGCAATGTCGGAGAATGCACACGCCACACTCTCGCCACGGTCTGCGCGATGCAGCGCGAGTCGCACATTCTCTACTCTTCGAGTAGAAAATTTCATCGAAAATTGTGGAAAATGTTGTCACTTTCTCTCTCTCTCTCTCTCTCTCTCTCTCTCTCTGTTTTTTTCTTCTTTGCCTTTTTATATAAAATTATCCCAAAATTTCGAACGTGTTCAGGTGATCGTCATCCACCCTCCATTCTAAGTGGCATCGCGTGCCACTTAGAAGAAGCGGCTACCATGTGTGATCAGACATGGCGTCTCTCGTTCGTTGCCCCTTCATATTCGTCACTCCCCTCTCCCCCTGTCGCTAGCTGCGGTATTTTTATCCTGATTTACGATTGCCTCCTTTTTACCCTGCGCTTGTGTAATTTACGCCACGCGTATCTTTCGCGGCCGTCGGCCGGCTCGAGAAAGCCGTAAATCATAATAAAGTGCTATCTACGCGTTTGCCTATCCCGTATTTAGCGAGAGCCTAAAGCGCATCCTTCATTCGCGCCGCGACGCGCTAACACCACCCTCCCGCGAGCTCCGGCAGGGAGGAGGAAAAGGCGATCGACAGCGGCGGAACAATTCGCTTTTGTTCCGCGCGCCTCGACGAGAGGGATCGATCGGAAGTCTCGCGCCGGCTTTATCTTCCACTTTCTGCCCAATTTCTTCACCTCTAGATAAGTTGTCGATAACTTTATCCATGAGATATCTTCCAGAGTCGGGTTTCTTCACCTTTGTAAAGTTCGTATCCGGCAGATAAACTTATCCGGTAGCGGATAAGTAGCGGAATCTGATAGATATTGATTTCAGTGACATAATCTAAAGATCACTGGATATTGTGGAATCAGTGGATATTAATATTTATGAATCTGATGATGATGATGATGATGATGATGGTGATGAATTTGTAAAAAGAAAACGTGGAAAATTTTCTGAAACAGCATTAAATTCGTCGCAAATGTTTTCTCCTTCATTTTTATCCTTCTATGTTGTTCCATCGGTTCTTTTATTTTTGATAATATATATATTCATATTTTAATGTAATGTCGATTAACAAATCAATTTCAGTTTTTGCAAAAACTTTTTTTCCTTCTCCATTAAGCCGAATAATTGTTTTTTCGACCTTTTTCAAAACAGTTAACCGAAAATAGGCTCAAAAATATTTATTTTCGCAAAATATAATCTCACTTGGAAGGAATATGTTGGTTGGTTGATTGTAGTGCTGGCCCGGAGAAGAATATATCGCTGGCAAAATATGGTAATTCATAGTAAATTTCTAATACATTTTGTGTCGAAAGTTCGCAGTATGAAGAATAGCTCTGTTAGATACGTAACCAGAGGTTTCGGCGAAGAAAATGAATTTTTAATTATCTGACGGATATCTTTATCTGAAAGATAGCTATTGGGAGGTGTGAAGAAACCGGACATTAACGAAACGATAAAGCCTTAAACACAATGCCAGGCAACAGGCAATAAGAATAAAAATAGACCAATCACAATCGACTATTACAAAAATAATCTATTGTGATTGGTCTATTTTTATTCTTATTGCCTGTTGCCTGGCATTGTGTTTAGGGCTTAAGGCGCGACAAGGGAAAGAAGTGTGCTGCGGCTTGACCGCGGAGCACAGACTTCTATATTATACACTAGACTGATAACTTGTCTCTTTAATACATTCCCTAAAAATATGTACTAAAATTCCGTGCATGCGCATTGCAAGGTCCCGAAAGAAATGTAACTGCACGTATTGCACCGTACAGGCATTTTTATTCCAGAAAATGTTAATATTTATCCAATATTTAATACTGCTTCTTGCAATGTCACATTCAATGACACAATCAATGTTCACATAAATATTAAATATTAGATAAATATTAACATTTTCTGGAGTAAAAATGCCTGTTCGGTACAGTTATGTTCTTTTCGGGACCTTGCAATGCGCATGTACGCATAATTCTATGTTTTAGGGACGCTTTTATATATGAATTTACCAATGGAAGTTCTCAGTCTAGCTTATATAGTATATAGAAGTCTGTGCCGCGGAGCGGTTGCGGTCGTTCGCGACTCGTAAACCCCGCGCGTCGCGGAATTTTTCGATCGATCGATCGATCGATCGATCGAAGAGAAACGCGCGGCGAGCAAACAGTAATACCCGTATTCATAGTCAGGTCTTACATTTGAGGCCTCCTTATATCCATCTTTAGATGCTGCACGGATTATTTTATTGGCTACAGAGCATCTGAAGATAAACTTAAGGAGGCCTTAAATATAAGGCTTGACTATGAATACGGGTGTAGGGGAACGATACGCGTCCGAGCTTCAAAGTTCGACGCCGCCAAGTAAAATTGTAATTGTCCGAGAACGTGAAATTCGACGAGGGAAGGGTCATAAGTCGCCGCGAACGTTGCGGAAAGTGTCAACGGTTCTCGACAACGGCAGTGTCTCGATCAAACGCGCGAATTAACCTGCTTTACGCCGGTGGAGCATGAAAAATTCACGAGAGTCACGTCCGAGAGCGGCGAAAGAGATTCGCCTCCTGGACCAGTTTCAGGTGGCCCACTTTATTAACCGCGAGACGACATCCTTTATCGGAATTATCCTCGTGGACATCGTTTTATGAGCCCGCGAGGCCATACAGAACGACCGCGTAAGACCGAACGAGCTCGATTATGAACTTCGAACGGCGATCAAATGATAACGTCGCGAATTCCGAGACGGACCGGCCAAGTGTTGAGCGGGGCCGAGAGTTGACGCTGCGGCAACATTTTATTCATATTATATAGACGCGACCGCGCGCGAAAAATGTAGCCAGACGCAAAATCCGCGTTTCTATTTCACGCGTTTCTCTGTTACGATGTCCTTGCACCTCGGGATTATTATCGCGGCCGTTTACACGTTTATGCTCTTTGCTGACCGCTCTCCTCTCCTCTCTCTCTCTCTCTCATCGGCGAGGTTAACGGTATCTCCGGTTGTCGGTGTAACGCGACGTCTGATTTTCCGGTGCAATAAAATCTCCTCGCGAGCGCGAACGTCGGCGCAATTAAGAATCGTCGAGAAACTGCAACCTTGATTTAGAACCGGGACGTGCGCGAGTAACACCGAAGTAATAGCGCGCGGTAATACTAGAGTAGCAGTGGCCACGCGCGTTACGTCACGTTTGCTCGCGAAAAGAAAAAGAAAAGAGGAAACGGCGGTTCGTTGTGAGCCGTATTTACGAGGAGACACGGCAATTCTGCGTTGGCGACTAAATCGCGCGATCATTGTCGCGGTTTTTCTAATCTATCTGTCAGGGCGGAAGATGATCCAAATTTCACGGCAGATCCGAAGAAGATCCACTGTCCCGCGCGGACCCGCGCAAGTATCTCCGTCAAATCTAACAAAAGAATCAGTGACTCATCGCGCGACATCGCGGCCGAAAACTCTCGTAATAATTTTAACGCCGAAGACTGCGAGAACCACAGACGTCTATGTGTAAGCTAGACTGAGAACTCCCATTGGTTTTCATGTATAAAAGCGTCTCTTATGTAAAACATAGAATTGTGCGCACATGCGCACTGCAAGGTCCCGAAAGGAACATAATTGCACCGAACAGGCATTTTTACTTTCAGATAATGTTAATATTTATCCAATATTTAATTAATATTTATGTGAACATTAAATGTATCATTGAATGTGACATTGCAGGAGGATATATTAAATATCGGATAAATATTAATATTTTCCGGAGTAAAAATGCCTGTACGGAGTGCAGTACAGTACGGTGCAGTTACATTCCTTTCGGGACCTTGCAATGCGCATGCGCGGAAATGTTAATATTACATACCTTTAGAGAACGTGTTAAAGAGACCAGTTATCAGTATAGTGTATATAATACAGAAGTCTATGACGAGAACAAAGATCGCGACGGAACGGCGGCGGCGGCGGCGGCGGCGGCTGCGCAATTGAGGGGCCCGTTTTTGCGGAATCGCGCGCGGCCTTGGTGGAGCCCTTTACGATTGCGCCACGAGCATCGAGGTATCGCATCGCATCGCCTCGCATCCCGTGGCCATCCACGATCCACGCGGGGAGAGCCGTCGCCATCGAGACGGTGAAGAACGAACGACCGCGTGCGCGCTCGTTACATCGTCTAAAAATATCGCCGACGTTTCTTCCCGCGATTTTCTTCGCTACCTCTCCCGGCTCTCCTGCATGCGTCCTGCACCCTCGTGGCGCGCATTTTAACGCAAGCGAAGCGAAGGGTGGCCGCCCTATACATGGACGCGCAATGGCTTCTGAGAAGCGATGCACGGCAGCGCAGCGCTCGGTGCGGAAAGAAGCATCTCGAGCGTGAAATCGGAGGAACGAAGGCAGTTATTTGCATTCAGCGTGTTTTGCGCAAGAACGCGCGAGTCGCGAGAAAGCGAGCGAGCGAACGTGCGTCGAAGCGATGAGGAACGCTTTAGGCGAGGAAAACGGCGGTCGTTGTAGTGTCATCTGTCAAGTGGGCGAGAGAAATCGCATAATATCCAAAGCGCGGTGATCTTACGGTCCGATCTCACACATGTCCTTCGAATGTACAAAATAGAAATTCAGTTTCTCGAGTTTCGCACGAGTGTCCGAGAATTATTATTAGAAAATTGGCTCTGTCCGCAAGACTGTCGACATTTGCTGCGCCGAGTGCTGTTCGCACTCGGTCCGTTTCGCGATCCGTTTCGGCCGTTCGGTGTCATTGACACACGGCAGATACGCCGTGCAATTCGAAATGCAATTTCTGCAGTTGTAACCGCGGCAGTTGCAGCAGCGTTGTTAAAAGCCGAAGGCGACGGCGCGCGGCACGGCGTTCGCTCAGATTTTACGGTCGCCGGCGTTGTCTGGCCGCAGTAGTAAAAGAAGATGCACCGTTGCACGGCGCAATGATCCGCTCGCTCGTCGTGTACGTGAAATGTAATTTCGGTTAAACGCCGTGAGATCCTTTCTCGCTCGCGTGGTCCTGCCGACGAGAGCGAGATTTTTACGGCGAAGACAAATTTTCTTTCCCTTCTCTTTCTTCTCTCTTCTTTCTTGAAAAAATACTCCGTTGGAAAAAAGAGTCACTATGTAACGCGTTGCGTTTGATTCTCATATTGTTGGTATTCTCAGTTTTACGAAAATCTGTTGCAAATTTTTCAATTCGCGAGAATTTGCTACTCGAAAAAAAAAACAATTCGAGACGTCGAGTGCGAAGACAATGACGAGAGGAACGGAAAGGATTATGAAAGGAAACTCGATACGGTACCTTGTAGGAGATTCTGTCGTCGTCCGAAGGGGCTGAGGTAGCGGAATCTCCCCCCGAGGTAGTAACAGCTTCCGTTTCCGCCGGCTGATAGTCGACCTCGCTGCTCCACGAGTGTCGCCTCTTCAGGTCCCCTGAAAAAAGAAGCTACACTCAGAGATTGGTAATTCAAAGCGGATTAAGCAGATCGGATTACAAGGACACGAAAATAACATAACAACGGATACGTGTGAATACTGACAAATGGGTGGAATATAAAATGCTTGTGGATTAATTAGTAAATGAACCAAGAAAACAACTGCGGCGGATGGAGGATTTTTAAATTTGCCAATAAAGTTAAATCGACGACTCGAGGAGAACTGACCGAGGACGATCTGTGTATATGTTTTCAAATTACCATCTTCCGTTACGATCCTGATCCTGACGGAATCACTTTCAAGGACGACGACGTCTCGTGTGCCAACGTCAATTAATATCGAGGCGTGCTCGGCCGCGCGAATTTTAATTAGAATCGTCGCTAATCGTTCATCTGGCGTCGCTCCGTCGTTTAATGCTCAAACTGTCACCCATCGTTGCCACCGTTTATCTTCTGCTTTTATAGCGGCAAAAGCGATTTCCGCCGCAAGATCGCCGATCGAACGGTCGCGAATTAATTTATTCCGCGCGGAATGTCGTTCGGGCTCGAGTTTACACTACGCGTTCTTTCAATGAGTGCGCGAGCATGAAATCGCGCCTTCACGATCTAAGAGATTCAACGCTCCTCGCGCCTCTTTAATAAGCGACGCTGATAAGCAATAAGAGTAACGGCGCGTCACGCGAAAATTGTATTCCCTCCAAGTCGAAACGCAAGTAGCAACGCGTGGAAACGAGAAGTTGCACTAACGGCGTCTCTAATCAGTCAGGAGATAATCCCGAACGAGAATGATCTCTCTCCCGGGGATAGTGATAAATTTTAAGATAAATTCTTCAGAGTGATAAGTTTGAGGGAAATTTGCGAGAAAAATATATACGTTGCACAGGATATGCACGGGGTGACAGGGGATATATCGGCGACACCTGTGTAATCCTGTAATCTCGCTTTCGGATTTCTCGCGATCCTCTGGCCGATCGGCAGCCGATTCCTCCTGCGCGAACACTATTCGCGTGTCTCGGCGTGCTTTCCGCAGCTCGAGAGGATCTTCGAAAATATTTCGGTGCCCCGCACGCACGGCATCGCATCGTACAGGATAATGGACGAGAATGAGCTCGCGGCGCTTAAACACAGTATTCGAGTTCGTGACTTATGGGATTCGATCGCGCGTACGGGGCCCGTGGTATAGGTGGGACGCAACCTACGAATTTGCTCGTTTACTCGCGCCGGCGGAATGCCGGGGCACTGCGGCGATGGGGGTCCCATGGGAAGCGGCTGATCGCGGCGAAGATTTATCGATCCCGCGCGTCGATCCGAGTGTCGATTACGTCGACCGGATCCGCGATCGAGCGAGAACGCGACGAGCGAGAGACTTGCGGACACGGGTAAATGCTTGCGATACCACGACACTCAAGTGATCGTCATATTAATTATTTGAATTGATACATAAATTAGTACTTTATTAACTTTCATCGAAGCCTAAGAATTGGATGTCAATGGAGGACGGACGTTGAGCGCGCGCGCGCGGCTCACCGATCGATCGCACAAATGACATCATATTAGTATCTCGGAGTGTGTAATCTTCCAAGTAATAATTTTCACCAAAAATCAACGAGGGCAGAGGTATATCGGTGTATCGATACGTGATTGCTTCGCTGCTCGTCGGCGGGTATTTCGGACGATACCGCGCACGTAACACGTATTCGGCCGATGCATTCGGCCAGGTGACTTGCCAGGTCGATTTGCACGCACGTGACAAGCGTGCACGTGCCGCTAAATGGCCGTCGAGGCGACACGCGCGCGATTTTTAACAGTAATGAGTACTCTCTCAAGAGAGAGAGAGAGAGAGAGAGAGAGAGAGAGAGAGAGAGAGAGAGAAGGAGAGCGAAATGCTATAATTTATACCCGACGATTTATCGTAGATTTTCTTCAGGATGGCTTCTCCTCTTTATCTCCTCATCTGAATTTTAACTCAGTTTATCGATTCAGCCTAGATTTCAAATTTTGAAGCGGCCATTTCGGCGAAAACGCACGTCGATGCGCGACAGATCGCTTTTCCTCGACTCATTTTCCCCCCCTCCCTCGCTCTTTCTCTCTCCCCCTCTTCTTCTCCTTCTCCTTCGAACTATCATGAGCGCGAATAGATCACAGAAGAACACCCGGAGCAGATTTCTTTCGAGGCCGTAATGAACTACTCGGCTTTCTCGATGCTGACGTACAGTCCACTCGATCCGCCATAAATTCTCGTTATCCCCATCGTCATCCGATGCGACTTATCGAGTTTCTTCGACGCGTACTCTCCGTGTTCTCTCTCGTGGACCGTTTGACGGATGATGTCTGTATATCGCCGCGCGTGAGAAAAAAGCTATCCCGGCCGGGATAGCCCGGGGAGGGAGGAAGGGGGACAGGAATTACCTGCTCTATGTGACGTCTTCCGCTTCTTTCCGACGCTCGCGGAAACTCGTTAACATTTAGCGGCTAATCACCGCGCGATTAAAGCCCGCTGTCATCCGCAGATCAGCCGGCCCGGCTCAGCTGTCGACGCTCGCTCTATCATTGATGCTCCAGTCACTCGGAATCGACGACGTTCGATAATTAGAAAACCGCCAATCGATCTCACATTTCGCACGATGTCACACGTTGCGCTATCGTTTATCGCGCTGCTCGGGCATTCGCGCGTGTTCTCTCTCTCTCTTTCTCTCTCTCTCTCTCTCTCTCTCTCTCGCTCTCGCTCTCGCTCTCGCTCGCGCTCGCGCTTTCGCTCTTTCGAAGTTTTCTCTTTGCATGCTCCGCGATTTCTTATCGAAGCACTATGTCGTCACCGGCAGAATTTCGACGGATTCTGGAATCCATCCGACCCCGAGCCATTGCAATTGACAACGTACTCGCGCTTGCATCACGAACTAGCACCGTCTCAACACGATTCACCATGTCAATGGATCTTGAAGAAGCATACTCGTCGTGCAAACGACACGTAGTTTTACTCGATCGAGGCACCACGGAGCTTAGCCGAACTATCGACCTCTCTGGAGTTCACTCGAGGTGTTCACTCTCCCGAGACCGCTCGCGACGATAACGAGTTCGCACTCGCGCTGACTAGGGGAACACGAGAACCGAAAAATGGCGAGAAATCGACGAGAGATAGAAAATAGCTTTGATCCCGCACAATCTTTTTGTTTGATCGATCATCGGTCGAGCGGCGGCCGAGAGGCGGGAGAGATTACAGGTGCGTTACAGGTTCACCCACAGGTGCAGCTCTGACTAGACTAAAGAGCGGCGGGAGCGTGCTCGTTGCGGCGTGCCGGGTAGTACTCTAGGAGAAGAGAGAACCGGAGAGAGAGAGAGAGAGAGAGAGAGAGAGAAAAGGAAAGAGAGATAAAGAGCGAGATGAGGAGAGAGAAAGAGAGAAAGAAAGAGAGAGGAGGTAATACCCGGTGCCTCGATTGGTCCATGTTTCCCGCGAAAACGGCCCGGCCAATCGCCGTGACCGCGTAATTGTCGGCTATCAGACCTCGCAAAAACGACCCTGGCCCAGCCGCCCCTTTGACCAGGGTTCACCCGGTACACGCATTTCAGCGTATCCTCCCCCTCGACAGCGACGGGGAATACCGTTACACCGTTGAAAAAAGAAGATCGATAGAGAACTCCCTACCGAAAAGTCGCGACGAGACACCTTGGATGCTGCACGGGAGATTAGCTTGGCTGGCTCTTTGACGAATTAACACGCACGCACGCACGCACACATACGCGTAAAGAATATTTTTCTAAAAAGGAGGCACTTGGGAATTATCTCGAAGTATCTTCACCTACGGAGATGCTCCATCTACCGAAT